ATGCATCCGGGCGATTAGAGCATAACCAGGTCAGCTTCTTACAAACCGATGCTGATAACCAGTAATCAGTCATCAGGGACAAATCCAGAAACCTGGACACACGGGGCTTTCCTTCTACAAATCTCCTTTAAATGAATTCAAGACTTCTGCAGCTATGGTCGCGGTGCTTAATATTTGGCGTTTAGAATGATCGCTTTTGCTGTTGCGGTCCTACCTATTTCCAGAGATGGATGACAAGTGACGAGTGTAAGAGATATATGGTAGGAGGCGTAGGTAGGGCAGATAAGATAACCCACCACAACATTCATTTCATATTGAAGAACTCAGCCTCTTAAGTATTGTTTATTAAAAGTGGAAAATTATAATTTAGTAGACACAATTTCTACGTCCAGTGTAAAACAAAATGTTATTAAACAAATAAGTAAAACAAATGTTTCAGCTGCTTCAAAATGATTTTCTGTTGTGTAAAAGTCACCCAGATTATCGGCAGAGGCGGACATATTTGAAATCGTTCACATTTTAAAACGTTTAACACGAGGAGTAATTCATGTATCACATGGTCTCAATTACTCCAACACATGATCTGTTCTAAAGCCTTTTACCCTGAGGACAAAATAATGTAAGCACATGAAATCAAATATCAGCGTGCAGCAAATATCAAAGAGGTCGGAGTGATATTCATTTCCCCGCCTAGAGGCTATCGTCTCACGAGCTGATGAGGTGCTTGTCTTGGATGGAAACCATCCCCCAAGCCCGGTAGTGCGTTCTGATGTCTTCCTTCCTCCTCAGACAACATTTCTGGTTGCATCTTATTCTAATGACGTGTATACTACTTCCAGAAATTACGTGCGAAAATATAAAGGTCGTGCTCTGCGTAAGAACATGGGGTTTTCAGCGAGTTTGTCTGTCGACAGAACAGAGGATACAGGACAGAGGATGCATCTATCAGTGTCTCTGTTTACGCCCTTATGAAAAATTGTAAAATCTCTACACTCTCCTTCACTGCACCACTTTAATATATTTTGAGGAGTTATATGTACAGCCGAGTGTTTGATATAAGCCTCCCCCAAAAAAATTAAATAACTGGCAATAAGGGCGATGTTGTACAAAGTATACATACAAAAAAGATCGACACCATAAATAATTTTGTAACATACAGCAGCAGAAAATGTCAAAACAAAAATACGCATGACACGTATACCTTAATTATTCAGGCCCAAAGGATATACACAATAAATACGAGGAGTATGTTTCCTCGCTCTACATGATAGACAGGAGGCCGGATGCCTATTAATATATAGGTTTTAAGTACATAATAGGACCTGCCTGAATAAAGTCTCATGTTTTACTTAAATACTATTCGGGTGGGTGTAACTCCGTGGTTTCAGCAACTTATAAGTTGCACGTTGCAGCTCAGGGATGGAGAGCCTGAGGTGGTGGGCATCGACAACGGGTATGAACCGAAGGAAGTGTGCATACAATTTTGACATTCTGTAAAATATGCAATGACTGACATTCAGTCTTCAAGATACGAGCTTCGAAGATTTCCTTTGCCGGGAGGAGCTTCTACAAATATTTTGCGGGTATTTCCCCGTCAAGGTCAAGGGTCACGATAACTCGCAACTCCAGATGTATTAATGTAGGCTTGACGCATGTTATCAGGGCCAGGCGGCAGGGTGACATGGCCTGTCACTTGATAATGAATGTGTCTGATTGCAGGTTATTGCCTTTGAGGTAATGTCAAGACTCTCAGTCATTTGACAAGAACCTTTGTGTCAGTTTAAATCCTTAGAGTGCATTGGTAAGCTAGGTGCGGGTAAATAGAAGCGAAGGTGTGTGTTGACCTCAAGTTATCATCAGCAGAGATATCAGGGAAATGCAAATGAGCCAGGATTTGTCAGAGTGATACTTTTAATGGCCATACAGACCAGAAGGGTTGAACTTTGAAGGGGTCAATAACCCCACAACCATAAAAAGTTAATGTGTAAATATTTTATTTTGGATATTATAAATATCTCTTATAAAGTTGTGTTTAACGTGCACACGTTGGTTTCCTTGTTCATCTATGTTGGCTGAACGACACTTCCTGGATTTTAACCAGAACGAAGCTTTAAACCCAAACAAACGAATAAGAAATCTTCTCCAGTCAGGCCTACACCTGCGCAATCACATTTGTATTATTGAAAGATTTTTTTAAAAACTTTTGTCAACATCTTTCAACTCCAAGACGTCAATTCTCAGCATGCAGGAGATCATTATGAATGTGCCTACACAAAAACCCTTTCCAGGGGAAATAATGCAAAGGGAGCAGAAGGTGACATCACTGACATGATTATGCAAATTATTGCAATGACATAATCAATCGAGCGCACCTTTTCCGAACGGAAGTGAACAACAGTCATACATTTTCCCAAATTCCAAGGCCTCCCCTCAGTGATGCAGTCGCAGCTCCCAAAATGCCCCGGGAGGAACGGCGCTCTGGGCCCGTGGGAATACCTGTCAGATTCACGGTCGGGGGTTCGCGGACGTACCATCAATTCGACGGTCATGACTTTGCAATCCACGCGTTTGGGATGTTTACATTGAGAAAAGCCACCCAGAATTACGGGGAGGAATAACTAACATGCCTTGGAACTGTTGAAAGAGTTCATTTTTATGGACTTCCTATAAAAAGAGCATTTCCATTTGCTACCATCAGACATGATTGCATGACTGTTCACGTATATAGCTGCAAGACAGTGATAACCCTCGCAATTATCGCTTGCAAAATGTTCCAGCAGTGAGGGTGAATACCTTTAGTCGTCATTACTCGAGCTTCGTCATCAGAACGAACATAGAGCTTTTAAAGTGATTTGGTACGAGTTAAGCTTTCGTCTGTACGTTCTGTCTTCGCCTAGTTGAACAAATTGAAACACCAAGGAGCCTGCTGTTGTTTTAAGCTCTTGATCCAGAAAGCGCCAGCCAAAAAAACCCTTTAAAATACTCAAATCGCATGCTATAAATTATAGCATTATATCAGATCCACTTCATCGATGCGAATTTCAGTTTCTCCTTTACACGAAAGATGCATGAAACGAAAGTCAAGTATTGATCAACCTACCCCAGACCCGTGCATATCATTACATGTAATTATACATGTTGTCATGGTCAACTCACACAATAATGTCTCTTTCCATCTTTCAATGCCAGGAGCATTTGCCCTGCCACGAACTCAAATTAAGGACACCTTGTCAAAAGGGTCGTTGGGACCAATCGAGGTGATCCAACGTCTCACTCTCCGATTCGTACCCTGGCGCTGCTACTAGTTAGCATGACACTTGTTTCCGTCACGCCAAATTTACGCTACCCTGCAATATGCATCAAGGTGAAGGTAATCCAGTCATCCCGTATATAACCCCCTCCCCCTAACACCCCCCCCCCCCCGGTTTATATAGCAACGGCAGACAGTAGTTACTAAGGAAACATAACTTTCACAAAGAACGAATCACAGTGTCGGGGTTGTGGTTTCCCCTTCCTCGGTGATGACGTTAGCATCAAGTTGTGTGCCTGACTCATCAGCACGGGATTATCTTCCGCGGCCTCTACAAGGCACCCTCTATAACCAAATGGAGCTCGGAGGGGCGCGTCTGAAGACGTTTAGTCACTGCTTGCAGTGGGAGTACCATCGTGGACTTGCCAAGTTCACGAACTTGACCCTTTCCCAAAATAAGGTGTGTACACCGAGTCAGGGCTCAATTTTATGTCTCTGCTAAACCACGACATTCCGCGCTTACGATCACCATTAATGTGCTACTGACAGTGCTCGCCGAAACATTCTGCGCTAACCTTGTAAGCACGGAATCCTTAGTTACGGGATGTACGCATAAGCCAAAATTCCTCGCCAACCCGTGAAATACGTTTCACTTAAGCACGGACATTTCTGCTACACTATAAGCAGGGTTTTTTCGCTAAACGTAAGCAGAGCCATGAAAATAGGCCCACTGCAGGTCCGAAATTCGCTAAGTGCTAATCAGAAAATGTTTCATGATCGCTCAGTCATACCAAATTCAAAAGCTCAGCCACCATCAGAGACAACATACCACACGACACCTCTGGCAATACATTATTTTTGCCTATAGTGAGGAGCAGCACATTACCCCTTAGGCCTATGCCGATTTCAAAAAGTCATTAACCATCAGCCGAAGAACCAGTAATAAGCACTGAGCACAGGAGAGTTTTCTGGTTCAGTGTTTGACTATCAAATAGTCATATAGCGAATTTTTGTTCCCTTGTAATTTTCGTTCCCTTGTATCGAAGAAAAAAACCCGAAGAAAACAACTAAATGCGTTTATTATGGGTCATCAGCTAATATTAATTTGCCACGATATGAAGGCGGTAGTAAATCATTCTTTATTTCATTAAAAAAAAATGTACACAAAACCCAGGACCGGTTTTAGAATCTAAAACACATGCTGAGTATACACACAACGAGAAAGACAAAAAACATACTGGTACTAAACGATAAATTACTATCAAATCATAAGTTCGTTAAAATGTCACGGGCAAACTTTGTCGATAAAATGGTACAATAATATTCATTAAAATGTCATAAGCAACATTTTTGGTAGGTCAGTAAAAAACCTAAAATGGTAAAATGCAGACAAATTTATTTTTACTATCTGTCAAGAACTGACACACACGGGCATTAACAGAAAGGGGCGGGGCATCGATTGATGGAGGGGCGGGAAACACAAGTTGAACACACGCTTTTTAATTCAGAAAAAAGTACTTCTTCCTTTTCGAAAACATGTCGAAAACATTTATTTCCTCTCTATTAAGGCAACATGAACAATAATGCCACAACAAAACTGAGGCATGATAAACCAGAAGTGGAAAAACGGTGCATGTATAAGGCTTGTATGAGTTGGTCGTCATACAACCCTTTCAAATTTGATCCACGTTCGCCAAAGAAAGAGAATAGTGAACCGAATTTCTGGTTTGTTTTGATTTTCGCTGTCCAGGGGAAGCAACTGGTGCGACTTCGTGGTGACACGGCAGGTGTCCTGCATGATTCGCAATGGTACAGAGATGTACGTCCAGCGAACCACGCCCGACTGGTGCAAGTATCAGCTACACTCGCTCTACGGGTCATTCGGCAGGAAAGATTGTGACAAGACCTCATATAGGTGAGTATATTCAAGCCACCAATCACAAGGCGTAAGGGTACTAGCGGCTACTTACAAAGACACATGCAGGTAAAGAGAAAATGAATCTGTTGATATTTTTGCTGGAACTATGAGATAAAATTGTGAGAAGGGGGGAAGCATGATTTTGGCAAGTTCCACGGTATTTTGCAAAATGGTAACTTACAAAGAAATGGGCCTCTGACGTATAATCAGAAAGCCTGTGAAATGTTTATCAAATAAACACAAGTCCCGTAATCGTAACGTTTTCTGAAGCAATGTGAAGAGAATACAAGTACATACAAACGTTCTATGCATCATCTTTATTCGTAAAAGTTTCTGACGTCAGTGACGCAATGCCATCCGATCATTGTCAATGAAGGAGCAAGGTCGATTGGTCGAATAGCTTACATACACAGTGCATTAAGTATATCAGACCGAGTAAGTGCCACCGTTATCTGTTGGCCATACTTTTAATTCTTCACAGATCGTATGAATCCTTAACTGCGATAAACACACAAACCCTGTACAAAACCGAAACATGTACAGCTTGAGTATTTTTCTCTCTTTCTTTTAAGGGGGGGGGGGGCAGGAAGCTCGGACTGAGCCTTGTCAACGCAAACGTCAAACTTTTCAAGTCTGAAAACCACGTCGTTTTTTTGTTTCGTCGTACTCGACCACAAAATGTTCAGCTTTGAACAAATGAGCCAACTTTGATCAAAAGTGCACAAACAGCCTTCACTGACACATTCACAGAGGTTGTCCCTATAGGCCCCATATTACAATCATGTTTGATGCCAATGTCAATAAAATTGAACTTCGTGTTAATACGTAGGCCTATAATGTTAAGCATGGTCGAGAAACAAAACCAACGTCCCGCTCGGGTGCGCACCATGTACCGAAATACGGACTTCTGATTCTGGCTGTGCAAACCTTCACCTGTAATCGTTTTTGGCAGAAAGCAGCAAAATTTAGCCTCCTTGGTTTCGATCATTTCCCAACTCCTTCGAGAATTATAGGCCAACTTCTGTCTGTTTGAGAAGTCATAGCTCCAAGCCAAAATTGCCAATGTTCTCACGTTTACCCAGATTTTCTGTATATAGTGCACGCATCGTATAGGATAATGTGACAAAGGCACTTTTACCAAATGTAGAACAGCCACTTGAAGGATGGCTAACACTTGAAAGTAGTCCTAGAATTATCTCGCATTTAAATTTCTCTCTGGAGAAAAATGTACTCTATCGAGAGAGGGCGGTTTAGTTCGAAGTTGGTAATACGACAATCGGTTGTTCAGAAGCCTATATCGTTATACCACACTTTTCATTGAACGGAGAAGGTGTACGGAAACCAATATCTCCCTCGAGCAAAGCCATTTAATACGTCAACTTGTTTTCTGGCCCTGGGAACAACGGGCTCTTTTATTCTTGTATAATTTTTCAGGTCATTCTGAATCTAATTTAAAGTTGGAATATTTTGCCAGCAGCATCCCCGAGGTATAAGATAAAGAGCAATTTTTGAAATGGAATTTGCCCATTATGAGGTTAAAAGCAATTGGAGCTGAGGGCTGTTTTCCAGAGAACAAAGTGCGAAAGGAAAACACAGAAGGCGATTTTGGCAACTGGAGCAAGAAACTAACAGGACAACAAAAATAATCACATTTTTCGAGGAATTTCTATAAATTGTCGGAAAATATATATGCTTTGCTCTACTGAAAGGTTCCCTGTAGTGAATGTTGTTGCCTCCAAAGCCTGCAGTCGAGCCATCACAAGTCCACAAAAGTCCGTTACAAGTCAATCACAAGTCATCAAGTCCCAAGTCTATGTAAATGAAATCTGACAAGGGATTTCTTTTCTTATTGTTCATCCCCCGGGTTTTTTTTGGGGGGGGGGGGACTGGAGGGGACTACATGTGTGATCTAGTTGTGATCAGACTGATGGTGTACTTATGATTGAATCGCCTGCTGGATTCGGCCCTTATAGATGCGGGAGAAAGAGTTGAAGGAGAGGATAGACGAAAGGATGAATGGATCACGCGTTGTAATTCCACCCACAATGATGCTGAGCATTAAGTTAGCAAGAATGCTCTTCGTCATGGGCGTAGAGAGGAGGCTAGCTCAGTCTCCTTGAGAACCAATTTTAAACAAATGCATATTATGGCCAATCCAACTCCAGAAAGAGGGAGAAACAAGCCAACACAAACAAGGACATTTATCAGATTGTATTTACATCCTCAGATTTTCCTTGAAACCTGTCCTCACACCGTCTAAAAAAATGCTTTGAAATTCCTCCGCCTCGGGGGTATGGAAGCAGAGACACAGACATCAGGTCCCATATATCATAATCAACACGGCCAAGGGTGCAGCGACCCCTACTTGGTCCGATTCTGTCAAGGGTTGTTACCGCTGAAAGCCCAACCGTCACCCCTTTAGTGGCACCCTTTCAATTTGAGGGGGGAGTTGACTGTGAAATTGGGGCGCTGACAAGTTTCTGGCGGCGTGCCATGATAACGAGTGTCGTGGATGATCGAAAAAATGTGTGCGTTCATCCATTATTTTTAAAGCTCCATGGTTCATCCGTGTAAATAAAAGACTTTGACGTCTAGAATTAAGTAGGAAATGAGCATTTTAAAACGATGCCATGGAAGTTATTTTGTCTAATTGTCGAAGGCGTTGAATGGTTTGAACCCTACCCCATCTTGAAAAAAGTGATGAGAAAGATGTACGTCTATAGGCCTATAATGTTTCGACAGTAGCCGTCTGTATCGTCTGGTTTGTGTGCATTGTTGCTTTTTCATTTCTCGTGCAACTGAACAAATTGTTCCATGTATCGTTACGGCATATTTTGTGCAATTCCCGCGAAAAGGGGTGGTCCACAAGCAGTATTTTACAGCTTTTAACACCATTTGGGGAAAATACAGTGACAACTTAAGTACATTTTGTTAAAATCTATAGCCACTGTGAACCAAAATATGTAATTTGACGTTTCCCTTCTTCTTTGATCATGTCTTTAAAGGATAATGTTCCGTCCCAAGTATTATGTCGGTCTCCGTACCGTCGAGACAACAGAACGTAGATGCTGCCCAGGATTCAACGGACAGAACTGCGACAGAGGTTGGTATAGGCTACTCTAAACAGTATTTTTCCCCCCTTTTTTATCTCACCTTTACCTTACCTCTGGAGCAAAATTGTTTTGGCCGTTATGTTCTGCATTATTTAACGATAAACTCTTGCAGTCGTTCCAAATTGTTAGCTCTACTACATTTGCCAGTGTTATAAAAAGAGGGTGTAGTCTATGCAAAACTCACCGCCGTATCTTCCATTCGTTGTGGCTTCCTTGTCAAGAATGTGAGACATAAGTTTCACGCCCAACGCCTCCGCACAGCATGATGTTGCAGAAAGAGTCCACACCACTGTACCAGTGCTCGGGGGTCCAGTCAGAAAGGGTAACAAGCAGGATACTTGACGTGTTGAGGATTTGAGGCCAAAGCGCTATCACTTCTTACATTGCTGCTTGACAGCCTATTGTCATACATGTATTTGCTTTCAAACCGAGTTGTACATGGAAGCTTTTGTCACGCGTCTGGAGGGTGTTCATTCAGCCATCATCTGTCGAGATTATACTTTGGGCCAATCAGCGAGGCGCGCGTGCTGTATGCAAATTAACAAGTTTGTTACGTTTGGACACCAGTTGATTGTCCAACGCACAATCGTTTTTTTCTTCTGCAACCAAATACACCTCTTGACACAAAAAAGTGAATATATTTTTCATCGATGAGTCTACGACTTGATTAAACACCATTTAAGACACAAATTCACTCACGTGATGTGTTTCACGCATGCGTATTAAGGTAAATGACTTAACTAGCCCACAGACATGGCATTGCAGAAGATAATTTTGGGTCCAGCGCTTGGTTTTGGGAGGCAATTGTTGAGTGATATACTTAAACCACGAAATTGAGCCAAACTAATTTGTATAATTCAAGGTTTTAAAAATGTGCTTTTTATAAACTAATCTGTTGAACTTCCGTTTCCATCTCGCTGTTCCTCCCATTTTCATACTCGTAATTTGTACTCTTTACAGTATGCTTCAATTGCACCCAAATAGATGAGTTACGCCAAAAGGTCGACATGTTGGTGAGTTTTAAGAACATGCAAGACAACTAATTAAATAAATGAACAAATAAATGCAGATAACTGTAACAGGCCACAAAATCCAGGCTTTGTCTCTGGCTTCAGAGACTTATTCCCAAACCTCATGTACATACAAATTACAACGTATATAAGATTTGGCGTTTTTGAAGCCGATTATAGCAATATCTGGCCAGAGACAACTTCGAACCTCCCCTACAGAAAACCAGCTGCATCAAAGAATGACAAAGCTTTTCACATACGAGCACACAAATGAATGAAAGCACTTGTGTGATAAATATTGTTCAGAATTAGTATTTTGTGTCGGTGTCCTATTCCTACACTTACAGAGCACTTCAAGTTGTGATTGGATGTATATAATTACGTAGAAATTTAACACAAGATTTAGATCGAATGTTAAAGATATAAAATGGCATCATTATTATACCATGGAAAAATAGGAGACTTAACAAAAAAAAGTGTTATGTTTTGCTTCAGTTATCAGGATCGCACTCAACACCGCTAGGCAACAGCCAATTCGTCAACCACATTCCCCCAGACAGCACCCAGCCAGTCACGGGCCACCCGGGTCCCGAGGGGCCTGCCGGACTAAGGGGGCCAAGGGGACCGTCCGGACCCCCTGGACCAAAGGGGGATGTGGGATTGCCCGGACAGAACGGGCAGCCAGGGGCAGCGGGTGAGCCGGGACCTCCTGGGCCGAGAGGACCGCAGGGGCCCCAAGGCCCGCCTGGTCCGGCCGCTCCAGGTTTGTCTGGTCTTTATACATTGACTATGAGATCAAGAAAACTGTGATTCAACATTTTTAATTCATAAGGGGACCATAATATTTATAACTCCACCATTTTTCTGTAGTCCTATCAACTGTGAAGAAACGAAGTCATGTGCTCAGAGTTGGCTTTTTCAAACATGAGGTGGTTGCCTGGGAAATTTAAATTGTGGATTGAGCCCTTTTAAACGTGCCAGCAGTAACATATCAAATTCATACTGGCTCTTATGATTAGCCAATGGAGTTGGGCCCTCCTTGCTGTACATGTAATTGTACACTGCAAGACCCATGGCAGTTTTTCAATTTTGGATGGACACATGAAGAATTTGGGTAAATGTATATGGTTTTGTAACTTCTTTGTTACAAGATGGAATTTTTGCGCCGGGGTGATATAAATCAAATTAGGTTTTGCCCTTCACCGACGTTTTAAACACTGTATACCCAGTGTGTTACCTCCCGAGTGAAAGTTGGGAAAAAATCACTCGGGTGGGACTCGAACCCACGACCTCCTGCTTTCTAGTGCAGATGTCTTACCACTCGACCACCGAGCTAACGGGATCGGTTGGCCGGTTCGAATCTGATGTACATAGCAGCGGGTACCGCATAAACTATTACAAGATTGAATTTTTGCGCCGGGGTGATATAAATCAAATTAGGTTTTGCCCTTCACCGACGTTTTAAACACTGTATACCCAGTGTGTTACCTCCCGAGTGAAAGTTGGAAAAAATCACTCGGGTGGGACTCGAACCCACGACCTCCTGCTTTCTAGCGCAGATGTCTTACCACTCGACCACCGAGCTAACGGGATCGGTTGGCCGGTTCGAATCTGATGTACATAGCAGCGGGTACCGCATAAACTATTACAAGATGGAATTTTTGCGCCGGGGTGATATAAATCTTCTTTGTTGTTCTTGTGTTTCTCACTGTTCAATCTCTACTTATTTTACAAAACACAAATTTGACAGAACAAGAATCAGCAAGAGTTATTTGGTCAGCAAAAGCCTGGTTGAAGTATGCTCTGTTCAAAATGACCAGAACTCAAGAACCAAAACGATTGTATGAACATGCTGACTGAATTCAGATCCGGTGTAATGAATCAGACCAACAAGAGGCATCGTACTTCCAAGTAGTAGCCACGTCAATAGAAGGGGGGCTTACCTATGTTCCCCAATACCTATGTTCCCTAACCCTAACCCTAAGGATTTTGGGGAACATATGTATTGGGGAACATAGGTATTGGGGAACATCGGGCAGACCCCAATAGAAGACTCATGTTTCAATTCTTCATATATATTTCTCTCTTTCCCCGTTTGTAGGTATTCAGGGAGCACCAGGTGAACCAGGCCCGCCAGGACCTGTGGGTTCTAATGGTGATATGCATGGGCTTAATGTTTCAGTAAGTAAACTTATCTTTTCCACCATTCTTTGAGTTTAATACTGTTGAAATCCTGTTCTAATTGACAATTTCACATCTGCAAGCTGATCCTGTTTTGCTAATGGTTAAGATATAACTTTTCGGTCATAGGTGCGAGTACCACCCAAGTAAGTTTGGGAGGTTTTTCTCTTATGAGCTCTTGGAAGGAACATATACGACTTCCAGTCCTTGACAAGTTCGTTTTTTAGCTTTCTTTCTAACAAAATAGTTCCATGCAGTTATCCAAATAATTACAATCCTCATACGGACTCGGAGAAAGACTATTCACGTTTCAGCCTTTCATCAACCTTAATGAACGCATTTCTTATTTTCCTTGTACCACAGGCTGTGGAACTAGAGGCTCTGCTAGTGGAGATAGCTGAGCTTAGAAGCCGGGTGTCATTCTTAGAACAAGTATTTATTATACAGTCAGGTCAGTTCCCAGATTACAGTTCCAGGCCTACATGTTTAATGTTTAAAGCAACTCCTATAAATGAAGCAATCAAATTTGATCATTCAGCAATACAGATCTATAGCTTAATCTTGCAATTAGAGGACAAACAGAAGATTGTTTGTGTCAGAGATGGATAAAAACTCAAGTACAGAGAAAATCTTCACATTCATCATTAATCACATACCAAATTGGCTCCCCATCCACCCAAGGTGAAACGTTTGGGAGACAATCACGGACCACACTTCTTGTATCCTCCCCAAACCATCATCACTGACTAGACTTGAGCCAAATTTATCAGTTGGTTACGGGTAAAAATCAATTCAATATGACGGCAACTGGAGGGTTTTCCAATTTTCCCAGCCATTGACCCTCGGGAAGAAAAAGGAAGAACATCTCTAATCATGTTGGCCGTCATTGGATTTCGACCCAAGTCACAAAGATAACATCTTCCACCCACCAATACACCTGACATCCCTTCCCTCACAGTAACCCTTCTCATAACTTCCATCGTCTCCTCACCTCAACAGGCGGTATCCCTGATCCCAGCAATGATGCTTCCATGAACCCCCTCTTCCCTTCCAACCCCAGCACCGAGACCACGATGACAGCCAACCCTCCCGGCTTCCCCACTGAGCTCCCCGACCGCGCTGGTAGGCCGGGCCTTCCGGACCTCAACACTGAGCTCCGAGTCCCCACGGAGCTACCAGCCGATGTCGGTCCCGTGACGGAGGAGACTTCGGGTCAAGGCGAGACCCCCAATGGCCTGAGTATATTCCCCGTGCTAGGAGACGGCATCAGACTAGACATAGAACCGATGGCCGTGGGCGGGATGAAGGAGTCGGAAATTCAAAACGGACAGACGGACCAGCTCAATGTTCCATGAAAAAAGATACAAAAAAGCAGGAATCTGAACCACTTAGGCTTGTCTCCAGTGACATAATTGTGATGGCTAAAGATGCCAACATGATTAGGCCCAAAAAAAAGTATCCGGTTTCTGGTATGGAGCTTGCCCCAAAAGTGGTGCGGCGACGCTTTTTTTTTGTTTAATGTTAGCTGATGACTGCAAATGGTTCCCGACTAAATTTAGTGCAACATAAATGGGAGTCCAGAGAGGCCACATAAAGCTTATACTCGATCGTAACCCCATCTAAAAACACGTTAAAATTGTGCAGCAGCAGGATTCCAGTCAAACCAGTGAGTTTGGCAGTTTTGAGACATCATCTTACATTGGAAAAAAAAAAACTTTTTCATTTTGCCGACGCGCATGGCTACGCCGACGCGAGCATACCAGAAACCGGAGACTTTTTTTTTTGGCCTGAAGTATCGTGTGAAAAATCACTGTGGCCACTTCCTCCACCTGATAATATTTTTATTGTGTTTTTCATAGATTTGTAAGAAAAGGGATCTTTTAATGGATATTGTGGGTTGAGTGTTAAATAATTGTTTTTTACTGCAATTTCACAATACATTACAGAACTTGTTAAATTTTGAGTTTTTTTTTTTAGAAAAGCAATCACTGCCTAACTGTACAAAAGATATATTTTTTCATGGATTTTAAATGACAGAAAGGAAAGGGCTTCCATCTCATCCTTCAAAAGTTTCAGGAAAATATGTTAATGTTTTTTCTGAATATGTATCTGGCTAATTCTACAACTGATAGCAGTATAAGAGTGGAGTACTTTGATCTTTATTTTCATTTATATAGGTGACTAAAACCAAGGCTCTGGGGACCAAGATAGGGTGGTGCCTGCATGTAAATTCATTAAATGACATTGCAATAAGATCGGGGACTACAACAAGATGGCTGCTACAAATCTCTCATATTATCAACCAATCTCTAGGGATCATCTTTATAGTATATTTAAACGATTCTTAAAAAGCATGTTGCTTTTGACTTAAACATGAAACTTATCTTTCTCATCGTCACACTGTAAATATTAGATTTCTTTCTTTTCTTTATTTAATGTTGTTTTCAGAAAATGCTGCATATTTTCAACTTTTTTGTAGATTGTTTGCAATGGCGTTAACACTTCGAAATGGGCTCCATTATTTTTTTTATGTCTTTGTACGATGGGAAAGGACATTGAGTTTCAATGGCAACAATAGTTTATCAGCAACTTCAGACAAAATGACATGTACCAACTTCAACCCATAACGCAATTGTGCAAACTTAATTTTAATTTTACGGATGGACTATTTCTGTTTGTTTGTTTGACTGTTTATATTATGTAATAAGATTCTCAAATGACCAAGAGAATGACAGATGGTTGCTGAGGCCCAACATTTTGTCCAATATACGGCATGTAACACCAAATATTTCTTTTGTAGGAAAGCGTTGTACAGTATGATACTTTTAAAATTATTTAAGCCTTGTTTTGACTAGGAACAATCATCATTACATCAGTATTGTGAGACGTAGATTAGAACAAAAGTAGATAGAATTTTGTTATTAGTTCAATTTATATTGTACCATTCTATTCTCCCCTCTTCCAAAATCCTTGACACCCTTGTACCTATGAACACCAATACCATGAAAAAAGTGCAGGGTCATTCTTTTTGTCTTAAAAAAACTTAGGACTTCAATAGAGTGAATTTAGCGAAATCCTTGGAAACCCAGATCTTCAGTCAACCAGTTCGCGCCGGGATTATTTTGACATGAGCTCGAGGCCGTCATCTGCGGGTAGCACACCCTGGTATTTCTGGCGAGCGGGTCGCAGACAGATATTTCCGGACTCGCTCGTTGCGTGTTTATCCGTCATCCGTTCCGAATACCGCAAAACCTTTGCGTGTATACACCTCATTCCACGTGAACTGGTTAAAGGAGATTAGAAATAATACATGTATTATGAACTATGCTCCCATCGAAAAACAAATGGAAGGCCTTTTTCACACCATCGTCTAGCATACCAATCATGCCAGTGTTAAATTCAACACAGGCACATCATGAGTTGAACCAGGTTTAGTTAAAACAGGTTGACAAGGCATACTGTTCACACTTAAACCAGTTTGCACAAGGGCCAGCCAAGGATTTTGGATTTTCCTACCCTGGCAGAGCCTCTCAATCCTGGTCCGTACCAGAGCTGAATTCTACCCAAGTACGCATAGAGCGCTGGACCCAATTACCAGCAATGTTGGATTCTTGTTTGTGTGAAAGGGTTTCCTGAAATTGTGGGGTTCGACCTGGGTTCAACACAGAGATTTTGGATAGTGCGAACGGGCCTATCGTTACCCTTGTTATCTATTTACCCAGTAACTAGAATCACAGAATGAACAAAGTCCCCTTAATGGAGTCCCACCTATGAGGGGATATTTTTCGACCCGGGGGGGGGGGGGGAGGGGGGAATCAGACCACTTGCTATAAAGCACAAACCTTACGTCTGACTATGGTTGAATATATGCTGCAAACAAATTAAGTATGTGGTACTGTTATAAGTAATTAAAGTTCAGATCCCACTCTCTCAGTTACACTAGGCAGTGCTGGTTTTCCTTATCTGGTCGAATTCTCCCCATCACATCTGTTCACCAGTAAGTAGGGATTTATTCGACCGGATGCCGAATCTGACCAACGATTACTAAGCAAAAACCTGAATACATGTACTATGCTGCAAACAATATAAGTACATGATCACGTCATGAGTGATTATGGTTACGATCTCACTCTCTCATTTACACTAGGCGGTGCCAGTTTTCCTTATGTGGTCAAATACTCCCACTTTTACCCCTACTGAACATTCCCACTAATAGACCTATGGACCAATCGGAGCCCAGATTAACTGCAAGTAGGTCTGCAGTAATGGCAGAAGCACTGTTTTGGCTATAACACAACCAATTCATGAAGGTTACTATGAATAATATATGTAGTTCACACAATGCGTTCGCCATTACTGGGGCCGTAATGAGTGTACAGCAACTCAGTGCCCACACTGGTCTATTCGTGTACCCAAGAAGGGCAATCTTATCTCTCCACTTGGCCCAACTTTTTCATAGTTTGTTTCCAAAGGCAGGCCCTTAATGGTTTAATCATTGCACGCTGGGTTCAGTACTATGGATGAAATGAAATTAAACACGGTAGCTCATATACAGGTAGTCTTGACAATAAAACAATAACGTTTCTAACACAAGAACAAACAATTTCATCGTCTGCTTTCTTTTACAGAAGACCTGAGTAACAAGACATCAGGCTTTATTTTCACTGTGCCCATTCTTATGGGGGCTAAGTGGCTCTCTCTCCGACCTACATATAGCTCCCATAAAAAGAAAGTATACACATACTTGTAAATAAAGCATCATTTCATCATGTCTCAGGTCTATTACAGTGGTATATAATAAACAGGAAAAAAACTAAATCCAAATTTCAGCCACACCAGCAGTCTAACTATAATGAAATCACATGAAATTATTACAATTTATTTATCCAAAAAAAATACAAGAACATGGCAAGAATTTCAAATCACGTTGATTTAAAGCTACAGTCCATCATTTGCAGCTTTCCAAAAAGTAACTGGCGTAATTAGTGTTGGAAAACATTACATTGTGTACTTGGTCGAAAGATAGTAAGAGAACTAAACTCCCTGTGAAAATAGTCTTTCTGGCATGCTGTCATTTTGAAGAAATCAACAAAAGAAGGCCTTTCCAACGGTGCGTCTTAAGCGAAGCGCGCCCAAGCGTTGACACGACGCACACGTGCGTCCGGTTGTTTTAACTCGTCAGATCAGTGCGCGACATCGCGTAGCTGCAATCGGCTCGGTGAGGACGGATCGCGGACGCTGAATTCAGGCCCAATTCAAAACATGATTCAGCAACTTTTGATTTAAAACTGAAATTCTAAAATGTTGTTTTTCTCGAAATATTCAGCTGAAGCTGAGCTGAAGCTTCATCAAGTTAGTTGTTCAGTATCCTTCTTTAGATTTTGAGCACGTTTGTTGCTTCAAACGAACAAAATACACAAATTACAAATGATGGACTGTACCTTTAAGGCAGTTTGTAATCAATTTTAGAAAGTTATTTGAGGTGCTGCACAATGCATGTACTGTCAAACGTAGCGATTTCATTTTCACGATCTTAGACTCAAGAACAATCATTTAATGTTCTTGTAATCCTAAGGTATCACACATACATGTATTATATTTCTTTCGAACAAAATAACACAAACGCAGAACATTTCCAAATACTTCACGTAGACAACAATACATGTATCGACAATACAATAAACTCTATTTCAACTGCAAGATGAAAAACAATATGGATAAACTTAAGTACTGTATAATTTCTCAACTGCCAAATAAACCAACACTGTAGTCACTGTAAGCACTCCCCAGACTGTTACTCTCTGTAGTGCCCGAAACTGCTTAAGCACTCTAAGGTTCTATGAATATATCAGTGAATAAACACAATGTAATACAATGTAGTACAGATACTTATGGGTTAATTCAACCATTCATAAATACCTCAGACAGTTTAACCATTCCTATTGGTCGAGAGCCCGTCACGTGGCCGGTATTAAACGGATGATAAAGACATGGCTAGCTGGTCTTAAACACTTTTCCAGTGTCACAATAAAATATGGACTCCTAAAAATCCAGTGCCTCTTATCGTTTCATTGGTTGAACGTTCACAATCCTCACGTAGGCATGCGCAACACTACCAGGGATTTAGAATTTTATAGTTCTAAATTCAAAACGCAACGCGCCAGGTGCGTTCTGCGCGACATCGCGTAGAACATGATACGCGCGCGTCAATCTCCATAAAAGGGTTGTTTTCATCTTATTCGCCAGCTGAACACTCCATTATTTTGCAGGAGGGATGTTTCAAAAAGCATAAAGTGAATTTGTTGAACAAAATCGGGATGTTTTGAACGAATTATATGATTTTTTTTTACCGAAAAGGTATTTATGAATGGGAATAAATATGTACTCCGTCGGTATTTATCACTCTGTTTAATACCACTTAGAGTCTGGGTGCTGATAATTACCCTCGCCTCCGGCTCGGGTAATTATCAGCACCCAGACTCTAAGTGGTATTAAACAGAGTGATAAAAACCTCCGGAGCACACATTTATTCCCTTAATAATAGTACATGTACCCGCTGTTTTCCATCTTGGTAAAATGATGTGTTGCTGATGAGGTCACGAACACGGAAAAAAAAGTTATTCACACTGGGCCTAATTTCACGGCGCTGCCGAGCATAAAATACTGCACAGCAAATTGATCCCCTATTAGCTGATATGAGAACCAGTCGCTGAGCTACACGTTCGGTTCAGTCACTGAGCTATGCCTGACATTTTGGCTGACAGCTGGTTTATGCTAAGCAAATATGTCTGTGCTTAACAAATTACTGTGCCCATCAGTGGCTCCATGAAATTGGCATATGGAGCAGACAATCTCTAGTTTAAGCAAACATACACACGGGAAGAATATTTGTTTAATATGCAAATAATAAATTTAGGAATTTCTTTCTAAATCATAACAATTTCTTTTTTCATAAAACCTTTTCTCTCTTGTTTCATAAAAAAAATACAATACAACTCAAACATGTACTTTTTTATCAGACAACTGTAAAAGGAGATGCATGTTTATTCAATTTCAGTTGTTTTAATAAATATGTTTAGGTGAAATATTCAAATTCAAAATAATCTTTTTCAAAACTCCAGTTCTGAAATAACAATAATACATGTAGTAACAAACATTACTTATATAGCGCGAATCAGCAAGAAGTCCCTATGCACTGAATTAATTAACTGAAATCGACATTGCACAATTCAACAAATTGTTTAATAAATCACAACTATTTACTGAAACATCATCAATGCGAAATATACACACATACATGTACCTTTCATGGTCTATAACCAGGTTCATTGAACCATGCAAAAATAAACATTGTCAGCTGACCAATATAATCCCTTATCCAAATAATTTCATAAGCTTTTGCAACCATTAATGGTTGCTTGGCTCTGTCTAAACAGCTGCTTCATACTCAAGCATTTAATATAAATTTTACCTCAAAAAACAGTCAAAGCAATATTTGCCGGAACTGGAATATATTGTGTTCAACTTTTGCAAAGTTGCAGAGTGAATACTTGCTGCAACATCAGGAATCTTACCCTCATACTGAGTTATGAACAGGCCATGGACATTATTAACTTCCTTACGGTAAAAACTTCCATATCATCGAGTGCTAAAGTCAAGTCAATCACAAGTTCCCACAGGTCCTCAAAAGTCCATCACAAGTCCATCACAAGTCCTCCATTCTCAAGTCAAGTCCCAAGCTATTCAAATTAACTGTGACAATGGCATTCCTTAAAGGTAGAGTCCATCATTTGCAGCCATCCGAAAAGTAACTGGCGTAATTATTGTTGAAAAACTAACTTGGTTGAAAGATAGTAAGGAGACTAAATTCCCTGTGAAATTATTCTTTCTGGGAAGCTGTCATTTTGAAGTAATCAACGAAAGAAGGCATTTCCAACGGTGATTCTTAAGAAGCACCGTAGGAAAATTTAAATTAGTAGTTCGTTTTGTTATTCAGCGAAGCGCGCACAAGTATTCGAACGACGCACACGCGCGCACGGTTGTTATAATTCGTCGGATCAGTGCGCGACGTCGCGTATAGTTGCAATTCAAAACAATTCAAAACATGATTCAGCAACTTTTGATTTGAAATTGAGATCTTAGAATGCTGTTTTTCTCGGAATGTACAGCTGAAGCTTAGCTGAAACTTCATCAGGTTAGTTGCTCAGTATCCTTCATTAGATTTTGAACTCTTTTGTTACTTCAAACGAACAAAATGCACAAATTACAAATGATGGACTCTACCTTTAAGTAGTATTCATCCCCTGTTACTTGCGACTGTGAGTTGTGATGAAAGGACTTGGGACTTTCTTTTGACCAGACTTGTGATGGACTTGACTCCATACCGATACCATCACAAAGCTAGGAGTCCTTAAAGCAGTGGCGTAGCCAGGGGGTGCAGAGAGGCAGATTTCAACGGGGTGGTGATTTTTAAAGCAAAGTCGGGACACTTGACGGAAGCAAAATCTGGATGGCGAAAATGGGATAACGGGACGAAAATTCTATTTTGCAACAGGCAAACAAAACCCTGGCTACGCGCCTGCCTCAAAGTCGCTGTCATTGTGCATAAATCCAGTGAGGAAATTAAGCAAACAGTAGCTAGTATTTCTGGACCTACCTTGCTACTCACAACTTTGCTATGACTGGTTTCTCGACAAACTCCTTCCACCAATGGGGTCTCTCCAGACTACCTGGTGTCTGCAGGAAGGAGGCGTACAGACGCTTGTACACCTGTAAGGCAAGAGAGAATAGTATACAAATAATGAATGTTTGTGAGTGCAATGGAAAGAATAAATTCATGAGGTGACAGATGAATGTTCGCAGAGAACATTCCATCTGTCACCTCATGAAATAATTCTTTCCATTGCACAAATGTGAAACATTCATTATTTGTTTTGTACAACACCTGAATAAATCCTTGTCATCTGATTGGTCAGAGCCACCAATAGTGTGAAAGTGCATTGGAACTTCCATTTACCCTGGAATAGAACGTTCATTTTTGTGGTGCGGCTGGGCCGTGGGTTAGGATGAATAATTCAATGTTTTGTGAACAATGACCCACCAATCAGATGGCGGGGATTATTTCAGGCGTTGTATAAAATAAATTGAACAGAGAGATTCATGATAAAGCTGATAACGCTAACAAGTTGGTCTTCTGTATGGAGGATCGTGTTAATTGGTGGATCCATTGCAAAGCTTTAACTGACAAATTTTCATTTTTTTGGGTAATTAAACAAGGAAATAATTATACCTGTCCGTCAGAGGCGCCTATGGGGGAATTCAGGATGAAGTCGGGCGGAGCGAAGACGTCAACAAGAGCCACGGCTTCATCTTTGAGCTGAGAGCAGAGAGTCAGGATGGCGTTACGGATCAGACGGGCTGGACCGCTGCCGGAGAAATAACCCCCTGGAAAGAGAATGGCAAGACACTGTCACAGAATGCTTTTCACAAAGGAAGACAGCGTTGAAGTCAAATTCTATTTCGAGTCTGTCAACTTTTTTACCAGAAGAGGTCAGTAGAATTATTCATCCTAAAAAAGAAACAGTTTCAAATTCAGTATACTCTACTGTGGAGAATGGGATTGGGAATTTGGATAGAAAGTTATCCTGTAAATTAATGCATAAGGATTTGCAAAAGAACTTGAGTCTTTGTATTGTTTTGCAAATACCTGTACATATCCAGCAAAATAGCAGGCATTTATATAGCGCTTTTACGCCGCTACGAGGTATCAAAGCGCTTTACAATTATTATTTTCCCTGTTTCAACGGGCAAACACTCCTGAAACCTTCTCAGCTCCCCAGGGAGTATACAGCTGGATGCTGCCTGTTAGGCACAAGGAAGTTAATTCAATCACAATAACCATCTCTGCCCTCACAGGTACCCATTTACCCCTGGGTGGAGAGAAGCAATGAGTGACAAAGTGCCTTGCCCAAGGGCACACGCACCATGACCCTAGGCAGGACTCGAACCTACAACCTGCAGAATTACCCACAGACCACAATCCAATGCCCTTAACCACGAGGCCACAGCACTCCACACAGCATACCTGTGGCTACCGGTGTCCAAAAAAAGGTCAAAAATTAAATATCAGATCAACAATATTTTTCACAGAGGAAAGCGGAAGCACCTTAGCTTGTGTGCAAGGTGGCAACGGCCCTCCCAAGTCCATCATCTACTCTCTGCTTCAATGTTGAAGGGGTAATATGTCAGTGTCGCATTCAAGTCCATCACAAGTTCAGTTTGAAGTAGATCAAAAGTCCTTCTACGAGTCCAGTCACAAGTATCAGGGGATGATTCACAAAATAATGTTTTTGTCACAGCTTATTTGAACAGCTTTAGACTTAATTTTATCTGGACAGGATGACTTGTAATGGACTTGTGATGGACTCGACTACAACACTGGTCAACACTGGTACATGTGCACGAAATCTATATTTATAAATACCTAAGACAGTTTACGCATTCCTATTGGTCGAGAGCCCGTCACGTGGCCGGTCTTAAACGGATGATAAAGACATGGCTAGCTGGTCTTAAACACTTTTCCAGTGTCACATGATATTTTGACTCCCATGAAATCCGTTGCCTTTAAACGTTTCATTGGTTGAACTTTCACATTCCTCACGTATGCATGCGCAATGTACTACAAGTGAATCAGTATTTCATGGTCCGAAATTCACACTTCACCAGCCCAGCTGCGTTTTGCGCGATCTCGTGCAGTACGCGCGACGCGCACACCAATGTCCTTATAAGGTAACGAGTTGTATTAGTAATTAGAATCCTGATTTCCTAAATATGTACCAGCTAACAGAACTTTGGAACTTTACTTTGATTCTGTGGATGCAAATAGTCCTTTGTAGTAAAAAGGCAATGCTACCTTGGTAGAGTGTTGCTGAGTGTTTCTCAAGACTCCAGAGACCATACAAACTGCAGAGCTTCTGTAAGGCATCTCTGACTGATGGGTCAATGTTGCTCCTCTGGTTAAACTTGTAAAAAGTGTCGATTACAGCATGCTACAATGAACAAAACACACGCAAAGGAGGGGGATTATTGATCGTGGCCAGGACACACCATAACAAATGTAATCATGTTTAGAGGTTTCGAGAAGTGAGATTTATAACTAATATCTAACATTATTTTTTTTAATTAATTGCCAGTTTTGCTAAAAACCTTTTCGGCTCCTCCAAACACCTTCATTGTGCTAGAATACAGATTCTTTTTACTTCACATTTTTGCGAAATATCAAGCCACAATTTGAGAAGAAGTAGATGTGTTCGATCTTCCTCCTGATGAATCCTGCAAAAAATCCTCAGAAAACCTTCTGATGTATTTTGAGTAAGAATGTGACTAGTAAATTTCACATTTTGAGTAAGGATTTGTAAATGTTCAGCAAACATTTTAGAACCGTCTAAATGTTAAGCCATGTCACAAAGGCTGACGGCTAGCTTTTATGTCTGCAGACCGGCGTGATTGACATGATAAATCCGCAATGATTGACATAATAAAAAGCGGGCAGTCATTGGAAATGTAAAAACTTAACTACGTGTTCACCAAATCACTGCGTTGCTTCTAAGGTTTTGTAAATTAAAAAGGTTTGAAAAGACCGTTAGTTATATTTTGCTATGTAGATTTATTACACTCAAAGGAAGATCGAATGAACTTAGGTCCCTTTTTCGTGATTCAGGTTTCATTTAAATGTTTTGGAGGATTTAGATTTTTTTCGTTTAAACATGTCAACATCACATCCTCAATGTTGAGGGATCTACCAGGGTCAGGTTTTTAAATAGTAAGTCTAGTAACACCGGATGTAGTTTTTATCTTAATGAACCTGAAACCCCCTTGGCACGTTCACCAGAAATCCTCCTGATTCAACTGAAATCCAACACTTTGTAGTAATAAAATCAAATCAGGACACGCTACAGTTCCTAATCCATATCTAAATTACCGCGGAACCTGGGTATCAATTTTGACGGACTCCACTTAAAAAAAGATGACAAACATTCAATCTACCTCGATGAAAGCAATGGCAAGCGACCGGCAGTAGTAGACCTGACTGTCATTCCGTGCGGTGAAGGCGTCTTTCCCCTTTCCGCTCTCTGCTTGTATCTTGGCAATGCTCTCATTGAGCAAGTGCACGACCAACCACTGGTAGGCAGATAGGGCCGCTATAAATCAGGGACGAAAGTTGTTTTAAATTGCTAAAAGTTACTTGATGATAGGCAACATGTTAATTATTTTGTTTGAATTCAATTAAAGGGAAGATACAACATTTGCAAATATCAAAAACGAAATGATAGAATTATCCCGAAAGACCATACTGGATTGTTGGGGAATGATAGTCTACAGCATCCTGTACAATCGTGGCTACTGGTGTTATGACATTTTCAAGAAAATTTGCATTTTCCAATGCTGGTCGGCCGACCAGTGTTGGAAAAACTGGCTTTTTTTCCAAAAGGTGCTCTGAATTTTCATATGTAGGTGTTCCGCATTTTTCTTTGCAATTGATTACACACCTGTGTGTGAAGGGGTACAAGCCTGCAAGACTGATTCTCTGACCTTACAATTCCCAAAGTCTATAAATTGCTCTCTTTCATCTTAAGTGGGTCAGGGAACCAGACTACGAAAACATGATTGGTTTGCCTCGTTTTTCCAGCACCTACAAGCCCAAAACGTGAAACAAGTCAGTTCAACAGTATTTGCTTTAACATACTAATCCTCCAAATCCATTTATTTCTGAAAATTGCAGCAAAAGCATATGTTGTACATTCCCTTTAAAGACACTCTTCATTTCTTTTTTTTCTTTTTTTTTTTTAAATATTTCATATTTTGATCAAGCAATTTTTGCCTTTCTGGTACATTTCTTGAGCCTGGAAATGTTACGGCCAGTGAAAATGAATGCAGATTTGTAACATCACAAGTACAAAGTTCTTAAATATATGTGATGCGATCAAGCTAAATGAGTTGTTTGTCCACCCTGGTCATTTTTTTTTAAAGATCTGAAAAGAGCACAATCTCAGCATTACTGCTGTGAAAACTGCATGCTGGTACCATCTTTAGGTCAGAAATTATGGAAGTCAAAACACCAAGAGATGTGATGCAGGGTTCGGCCTTAACATTTTTGTTCACTAGCCAGCCGGGCTACTGAAACAGACTGTTAACTAGCCCGCAAGCAGTTTCACTGGCCGCATGTTTTGTTGTTTTTTTCTTCCTATCTTTCCATCTTTGCCGTATCCCAATAATTTTTTGACTCGCCAGCCGGGCTACTTAAGGAATAGTTTGACTAGCCCGCCGCTGTTTTGACTAGCATTTGGCTAGCGGGCTACCGCTAATTTCGAACCCTGGTGATGAAGTGATGTGATAAAGTGGCCCTATTTTGGCCCGAATCTACAAATGAAAGTTTCAGACAAACGACTCATTTAGCTTGATCACATCACATATTTTCTCAAATCCACTGCATTTTTCCTCCAAGGTTTTGTGCACCTAATCCATGTTACATGTACGTTCAAGTGTAAGTATGAACTAGATTTCAAGCCAAGGATATTCTTTTCTTCTTAAATTCAAACCCAACAATAAATTCAAAAATTTTCAGAAGTATCTACAGATGCAATAGACCTAAGACATAATGACAAGACCCTTTGTTTACATGTGCGTTTTCCTATGGGAGCCAGGTGGGGACAATGGGCTCCGTGCGCCAACAATAGAGGGCGCGTTTTTACCTCTTTTGAGAGCTCCACGAACGGGACACACAGCGTGCGCGTACTGTACTGGGTCATGCGTGAAGTACGCACGACTTCCTGATGTGCAAAAGCTATAGCCACCGCGTCTTTGCATGAGCGTCAGGTGTTGTCGGCGCACGAATACGTTCGCATTCAACTTGCGATGTCTCCGAGACTAATCCCCGCCTCTAATAACTTTGGATACATTCGAAATACACAGTGGAGGGATCGGGAACCAGTCTATGTCACCCCCAACTTCTTTTCTGGCCGTTGATGGGGTGCTTGTGAACAGAGCCCATAGGCTGCATCCCTACCTGGCTCCCATAGGAAAGCACACATGCAAACAAAGAGTGACGTCATTACGTCTTAGGTCCATTGCTGTATATGGGACTTAATATATTTCTGACCTCCAGGATTCATGACGTCCTGTTCCCTGGTGTACGTGAAGCGCTGTTTGGCGATGCTATCCATGTCATTCAGGAAATCCACTGAGCCCATAGGAGAGGAAATAGTCTCACCTATAAATGGAAAAAAGAAATGAAAAGGCTCAATCAAGATATATATCTATTCAAAGGAAGCATATATGATGTATATATACATACATATATTTCTTTGCATTAATTTTGCATAAAATTTACTTAGTAAAATGGTATACAATTGTATTTGATTTTCTTTAAATGATTTTGTAATTTGTCGGGTTTTGGGGGTTTTTTGGGGGGTTTTTTTATATTGTGGAAAATAAACAAACCTGAAACCTGAAACCTGAAATTTGCGTAATCCATTTTTAAGGTATTTTTTATGTTCTTTGAAACTTGTTTTGTTGCTTTAGGGTTTAAAAAGAGGTTGTGTATCAGGATGAGATTGTTCTTAATTCTTTTGGACAAAAACAAAAAAATGTCTTTTCATGTCTATCCACAAAATTTGAAAAGTCCAGAGAACAACTCAAATAATCTTGTACAAATATTGCTTACATTTATCATGTTGGAATGCCGTTTTGACCAGTGCACATCTTTGGTCGATACAAACGTTCAAATGAAGCTAAATGTAGTTTGCGATTTCATCAGCAATATTTTCACTGCCACACTGACCCTTTGGAGTCAACACAATAAAAAGCCTCAAAACTTGTAGAGAAAACTTCCTTGATGGGATTCACTAATTAGGAAAGAAACTCTGCTATTATACACGACGGAATCTTTCAGGGAAATTTTATCAGCCACTGCTTGACTAAGCAGCAATTTCTCCTTAATATTTCTGGAGTTATTTTTGAGTTGACTCCTTACCAAAACGAGTTTGCCTTGTTCTATACCAACTAAGATACACAAGTTATATTGAAATCGGTTTTTCCTACCATCTTTCTTGGCCTGGGCAAATCCCATCAAATAGTTGCTTGTCTGTATCAGTAGGACGTTGTTGTCACCTTCGTAGGTGCAGTTGGGATCGTGGTCATTACGCAACTGGCCAAAGCCGCTTGCTGATGACAGAACAACAACATTTTGCAGGTTAGTTTAAAGAGCTGTTTTGTGTTTTGTCCCTCTTCTGCTTCCCTTTAGGAAACACAAGCACCGGTTTGTATCAAATTTTGAATGCTTCATGTAGTCAAGACATTCATGCTAAGTGTTTATTTAGGTTCAAACTGACAAATCAACGTGTACCAGGCATGCAACAGGTAAGTCACAAAAAAAGAGGAAATTCAAATCTTTCCAAGACTTTGTACAGTGCTTTTCTATTTTCAATGACACACATGGGAGGTCAAAAAAGAGCAAATCAGCTGATCCGAGGAAAAGTTGCATGCCTGGTGTACCGGTGATCACTAACATTTCAAGTTTTTTCATGAATGGTCAATAGTCCAAAGGGAAAGACAAAAAAAAATGCACTTTTTATGACATTGGTGACAAAACTTTGCAAGACATCAGTCTACAATTCTAAAAGGCTCAGAGGTGGGGGGGGGGGGGTATTGACTAGCAAGGAATTTGTCATGGTGTCTGCATATTGAGGATTCTGTGATTTGAAGGTTTGAGCAGAATTTTCGCAGATAACTGCCAATCAATTGTAAAACACTTTTCGTGAGGCATGACAGCCTTTACGTTGAACTCTTTACCATAAAGGAAGCCGTGTCCCCCACAGGCCTCTCTGCCTTCTTGGATGGCGTCCCTGGCCGTCCACGTCGTCAGTGACTTACTGGAACACGTCAGGGCGTGGATCTCCTTACCCATCTCAGCCTGAAACAGTATGATGAAAACGATCAAGCTTCAATCAATAATGCATACATTCACCGTTCAAGTACCCCCACAATGTGACAATGACAAAGAACGACTATGGCCAAGTTCAGGCAGGGACCATTAGTCGACTAGTGGTTGATTTGTGACATACCTTACGCCTGCGCACTGATAGCAATGTGCAAACATCTCTAGTCGAACGCTCGTCAAAATGTCATCGCAAAACTTCTGGATCCTAGCTCCCTGCCATACGTTATGAATGCACACGGCTATAGGTTACCAGCGAAGCAACCAACCCCAGTAGGCTGGTTCCAAATAGTCGACTAGCGTAGTCAACCACCGTCGACTAGACAGAGTTCGGGCAAACGTTAGTTAACCATTGGTCAACTATAGTCCTTGCGCAAACTTGGCCATTACTGTCAAAAACTTTAAGTCTGCATACAATGTGCCATGCAAGCAAATGCACCAATATGTGCATGCATACTGGTTCATTTCCACGGTCCTTGTGAGTAACTTACATGTCTCTCATCTGTCTCGCCAGACAACGTCACCATGGTGAAATCGTGGAAGTTTTCAAACAAGTAGTTGACGAAAATGTGATGAGCGTACATGGCTGTTATGTACGGGATCAACCGCCATTGCTGGAAATACAAAACACAATTAAGTATTGTTGCTAACATATTCAAAACCCGTACTGTTTTGGTGAGAGATTTGACTCATCTTTTAAACTGTACTTTAGTCAATGATTTTTAAGTTCATCAGTGATGGATTATTTACCAAGCCAGATGCAACAGATTGCAATAGGTTTTGAAATCTATGAGACCTTCTTGGATAGTCATAAACTGCATGTTATCGGAAAATTTTAACATGTGACCGGCTCCACCAAAAAGGGTATTAAGTCACACTGAGCATTATTGTGTAATGGGCCTGCTCAACATTGAGAGGGTGAAAATTTTGTCAAAATGTGATTTTCATTTTTTGTCATAAATGACTTCTTTAATACCTACAGTTTCAGGCTTCATTCACAGAAATGTTGATTTGGATGAATGAAAAGGAAAAAACAACCATTTTGTGCGCATCATTCTGTTGTTCTACCACAAATCCTGCTATTTCAAAGCCTGTTTTCTCAGTTGTGTAATTTTAACTCCAAGGGAGTAATTAATATGCAAATACGTCATATCTCCAGAACGGGAGGGACTGTGGAGCTCCACTATATACCAAATGAAAGCTTACATTGTGGGCTTTCCACCATGTATATAACTCAATTTCACTTTTTTGCGACATAATACCCTTTATTGTGGAGCCGGTCACATATGTGATGCGATCAAGCTACATGAGTCGTTTGTCGGGAATTTTCATTTGGAGATACAGACCAAAATAGGGCCACTTCATCACATCACTTCATCACATCTCTTGGTGTTCGGACTTCCATAATTTTTGAACTAAAGATGGTACCAGCATGCGGTTTTAACAGCAGTAATGCTGAGATTGTAATAAAAAAAAATTGACCGGGGTCGACAAACGACTCATTTAGCTTGATCGCATCACATATACTGGAGCTGACATCCCATTGAACAATGCCATAGTTGAATCCTATATGTACATGAAGGCTGATTGCCTCAGATTATGAGGGCTGTTTGGCCTGTGAATGGTTGATGATTTGTTTGATTATTTCACACTAGGCAGGCCTCTCACTTTGACAATAGTTAGGCAGGGTTTCTGGCCAGATTATATGTGGAGTTTTAGGGTTAAAGAGAAAATACAACATTTGCAAACATCAAAAAATAAAACTACCAAATCATTTTGAAATACCTTGCTGGACTGTTAGTGAATGACAGTGTAAAGCATCCTGTAAAATCATGGCACCTGGTATTCTGTCATTTTCAAGAAAAGTGGTATTTTTGTATCAATTTCCAACACTGGTCGGCCAACCAGCGTTGGAAAAAACTGGCTTTTTTTCAAATATTGGCCCCAATTGACCATCGCACTTGTTTGCAATCGATTACACACCTATGAACGGGTACAAGCCAGCTAGACTGGTTCCCTGACCTTACAATTCCCCAATGTATGTAAACTGCTCTGTTTCTTCTTATATGGAGTCCGGGAACCAGACTACAGGGAAATGATTGTTTTTCTTGGTTTTTATAGCACTTTCGAACCCAAAACCTCAAAAAAGTCAGTTTAACTATATTTGCTATATATTTCCAACCCCCCAATTCCATCCATTTCTGAAAATTACAGCAAAAGCAAATGATGTATATTCCCTTTAAGTAATACCTGCAGTTGGTATTCAATGACTGGGATCTCTTGGCCGTCATCCGTGGGTCCAAACTGTCTCCGGACGGCCGAGTAACGGACAGCGATGGTCATGGCTTTCTTCAGATTGCACACACCGACGCTGGCGATACCCATACGACCTGCTGACAGAGAGCCCAATGAAGCACTGAAGCGCTTGCTGGGATCCTGGGCATGCAATCAATAATCAAACAAAATCAATATGAAATCTACTCAACTATAAAGATATCAACAAATGGCAAAAGATCTCTCTCATAGGACACCTTCGTAGGAAAATTACAGCTGCGCGTTCAACGCCATCAGGTGTGTGAGCGCGCCTTGTACAAAATGCTCTAAACTCACGCACACGTTGCTCGAAATTTCTTCGAAATACGGCGCAGCCGATGCGCGTCACGAAAAAAATGCTGATGCACGTGGCAATCTGTAGGAAGTGATGTCATTTGAGAGATACCTATCTGACCAACTGATGAGGATCTACATGTATTGAAACACTTTTATGATCCTGGCAGTGAAATTAATTTACAATCAAAAATTGAATTTAATCAAAATGAAAAAATAAAAAATAAATTGATTGTTGTTTTTTTAATGGCAATGACCCGTCAACAAGGAACCAAGGCTGTGTTTAAATGACGTGGCTATGGCTAGAAATAACACATGCACCTATGAATGTAGTCGAAGCCACTTCCCATACAAGCCTGTGTTACAGCCGACCGTATAGCCACGTCATTCTGATGCAGCACAAGTGAGACACTGAAACACTTGTTGAATAAGCCGGTTCGGTATTTCAATGACCTGAGGTCATTCAGGATAACATCTCTGACGTGATGTTATGTGAGCGCCCATTCTGCTGGTAATGTACACGCAAGCGTTGTGCGCCTGCGTTCACGCGTCTTCGAAACGTTCGATTATCCCGAATGACCCGTGACCCATATCATTGTGCACATGCGCAGTTGAAATACCGAACTGGCATATTCTTAATGGCAAACATACATGCATGAACAATCAATAAACAATTGCTCAGTGAAGGAAAATGGGACTTGCTGACAAGAAGCCCTTTGAGGCCCTTCGATGCTTTTTAGAATTCTTTCAGTAAAATCACAAACAGATTATTCAATATTTGCCAATATATCCTGCATTAGTTTCTCACTTTCAATTACGCAACTGAAATTGTTTGATCACTCCATTCAATGTTTACTTGTATGTACTGTATGTAATAATTTAAAGATACTCTTAGTAATCATTGGCTTTTCAAAAAAAGTACTTACCTTATGGGGTGTGATATATTTGCCATCACGAGACACGTCGGCCATCTTATTGAGTAGATTTTCTTTTGGAATGCGATAATTATCGAAAATGACAAACCTGCAAGACAAGGGGAGGAACTCTGATACTTCAGGGCAAGCAACTTAATTAACCCTCCTGCTATGTGCTATTTAAAGGGAATGTACAACATTTGCTTTTGCCGCAGTTTTCAGAAATAAATGAATTTGGAGGATAAGTATGTTATAGCAAATATTGTTCAACTGACTTGTTTCACGTTTTGGGCTTGTAGATGCTGGAAAAACATAGAAAACCAATCATGTTCTTGTAGTCTGGTTCCCTGACCCCATTTAAGATAAAATGGAGAATTGATAGACTTTAGGGAATTGTAAGGTCAGAGAATCAGTCTAGCAGGCTTGTACCCCTTCACAGTTGTGTAATCAATTGCAAAGAAAATGCGGAATAACTAATTATGAAAAAGTAGGAGCAGTTTTTGAAAAATAGCCAGTTTTCTCCAACGCTGGTCGGCCGACCAACATTGGAAAAATACAATTTTTCTTGAAAATGTCAGCACACCAGGAGCCATGATTTTACTGGATGCTGTAGACTGTCATTCCCTAACAATCCAGTATGGTATTTTGTGATAATTTGATCATTTCGTTTTGTGATGTTTGCAAATGTTGTATCTTCCCTTTAATGTGCTAAGCTATTAGCCACAACATCTTCACGTGAGCATCAGGGGTCGTCGGTGCGCGAATACGTTCAAACTTAATTTGCGATGGTCTCCGAGACCAATCCCTGCTCCCAATAACTATGGATCATTCGAAATATGCAGTGGATGGACCAGGAACCAGTCTAGGTCCAGTTTGGGTAAAGTCTTTATATTTACCCAAACCAAACAGCGCCCTCCTATTGTGTCGGCCATATCTCAAATGGGCTAATAAACTGGGACTTGGTGGATTTTGTAAAAGTAGGAAAGTATATCCCAAATGTATGACTCCCAAATCACCAAAATGGTCAGTATTATCAGGGAAGTATATTATAAATAGGTTAAACTCCCAGTGTCTGGTGGTGAAACAAAATGCCACACAATTCATGACGTTAATTACTGGTCGCTGTGTTATGTATATAGGCAATTCCACAGTTACTCACATTACATATTCGTAACGTGAGTAACAGATTTTGTGCGTCTTGTTTATTATACATAACACATTTTTCTGGATGTCATCTTTGGTGCTTAGGTAGGTCTAGGTCTACTCCATCTACCATGGGGATAACAGTTATTAAACCTTTTCAGTAAGGTAATTACAGCCCAAGGAAACTCAAAAGTACATCAAATATGTAACGTGAGTAACCGTGGAATTGCCCATATGCACTCCATTAGAGAGATTTTTGTAGTATGGTTTGTCATAACTCCATCACATTTTCATTCACAAGTAAATCACAAGTCCAATCACAAGTCCAGGCACAGGAAACAGGTTTGAAAACACAGCAAAGCTTTTGTCACAGTTCATTTGAATAGCTTGTGTCTTGAACTGGGACAGGGTTACTTAATTGTGACGGACTAGCGAGGACTCAAGGGTGTGTGACAGACTCAATGTCAACACTGCGAAGGAAGACCCGACACAACAATTTGCAGAATCTCACCCATTATCCAGACCATTCAGTCCCATCTTCTTGCCCATGTCCCCCACCACGAGCCCAGGCAGTCCGTGGAGGGTCTTGGGATCCCTCAGCGGGACGATGAAGACGTGAAGGCCGTGACACACCCCGTCAGGGGTGTAGAGCTGGGCGTACAGGACAGCGTGAGTGGCCGTCTTGCCCATCAGACCCACCCAGCACTTGGCGGCCTCGATGTCTGGGGTGTTCAAGATGAACTCCTGAAAACAAATGAGATAGCATAGTGTGTGTATTTAATTATCTTGGCACATGTTTCTGACTAACATTCCTGATCTGTGCCGAAAACAAGAACTTTTGGAATAATTTGGCCTTACTCTTGAAGTTTCAATCGACGTTTTCATTCTTAATTATCTTAATTAAACTTGATTCAAAGTTTAAGAATAAGACATATTGTTTCCCTTCACAAAAATATCTCCAAGTTGTCACATCCAAAACAAAAAGTTTTGGAATACATTGGCTCAACTCTTGAATTTTCAGTCGATGTTTTCATTCATATCTGGTTCCAAAATTCCAACTTAATTCAAAACTTAGGAATAATGACACATAAAGTTTCCCCTCACAACAAGATCTCTAAGTTGTCACACCCAAAACAAGAAGTTTTGGAACATTTTGGCTCAACTCTTGAACTTTCAATATTTTTTTTTTTTTCATTTTTATCTGGTTCAACGTTCAAACTTAAATTCAAATATTAAGAATAAGACATCAATTTTTCCTTCACAATGAGATATCAAAGTTTTCACACCCAAATTTACACTAACAGAAACATTGATAATACAGGTGTTCCCAGGCTATCCTCATGCAGCACATGTTTAAAGCTATAGTCCATCATTTGCAGCCATCCGAAAAAGTAACTGGCATATTATTGTTGAAAAACATACTTGGTTGAAAGATAGTAAGTGGACTAAACTCCCTGTGAAATAAATCTTTCTGGCAAGCTATCATTTTGAAGTAATCAACGAAAGAAGGCTTTTCCAACGGTGCGTCTTAAGACGCACCGTAGGAAAATTTAAATTAGAAGTTCGTTTTGTTATTCGGCGCAGCGCGCGCAAGCATTGGCACGACGCACAGGCGCGCGCGGTTGCTATAATTCGTCGGATCAGTGCGCGACATCGCGTATAGCTGCAATTCAAAACAATTCAAAACATGATTCAGCAACTTTTGATTTGAAATTGAGATCCTAGAATGCTGTTTTTCTCGGAATATACAGCTGAAGCTGAGCTGAAACTTCATCAGGTTAGTTGTGCAGTATCCTTCATTAGATTTTGAACACTTTTCTTGCTTCAAACGAACAAAATGCACAAATTACAAATGATGGACTATATCTTTAAACTTCTAGAAATAAGGTTTTGGTTAGATTTCAAAAACCCCAAATTCTTTTACCTGCGTTTTAGGATCAAACGTCGCTGTAGTTCTCATGGCCTTTGTGTTGCTACCGTGGGCAAGCTCCGTCAGGGCAAAGCACCCACAGATCTGCAACAAGAAAGAATCTTGGCGTCATGTCTCCAGCAGTTTTCACATTTAATTTTTGGGTTAGTTAAGAAGTAAAGATCAATACAGTTTGATCAAACTTGTTTGAAACCTCTTAACTGAATTGATTATATCTGAAGTGCACTTGAATGGAGAGTAGGTCTATTAGGGTTCAACCTTAGCGTACACCGTAAATTATGATTCAATCCAAACAAACCGAATCACAAGCTAATGACTTTTCGACAGAATCTCACAAAATGGGGAAAAAAACAATCACCTTTCTTAAAGGGAATGTACATCACTGGTTTTTGATGTAATTTTCAGAAATGAACTATTTGAGGGCTTAGTATATCGATCAAATATTGTTACACTGACATTTTTTAAGTTTTGTGTTCGAAAAGGTTGGAAACACTAAGAAAAACAAAAATGTTCAAGAAGTCTGTTTCCCCGACTCCACAAAATATAAAATGGATCAATTTATAGTTGATGGGAAATTGTAAGGCACGGGAACCAGAGTCTAGCTGGCCTGCACCCGTTCATGAACATGTAACCAATAGCAAACAAAATTTGGACTGAAAAAAATGTAAATTTGGAGCAGTAGTTGAAAAATAGTTAGGTTTTTCCAACGCTGGTCGGCCGACCACCGTTGGAAATGTATACAAAAATACCATTTTCTTGAAAATGACTTCACACCAGGTGCCTTAATTTTACAAGATGCTTGAGATTGTCATTTACCAACATCCTAGTAAGGTATTTCGTAAAATCTTGGTAGTTTTATTTTTCGATGATTGCAAATGTTGTATATTCCCTTTAACCTCATAATATCTAAGTGATACACACATATTAACACGAAGTACAGTGTATGCGCTTCCTACTGTATGTGAAAAGCCCCATTTCTCTGGGCCTCTTGCAGCACGATCCTTCCAAATTCTATAACTTGCTGTGCGGGAATCAAATAGACGAGCACATTTTTTTGTTCTCCTGGCAGGTACATACCTTCAAAGCCTGTGACTGTTCAGCATATCTGAGATGATGCTCCTTGCCAAGAGAAACAATGGAGCTTAGAAACACCTGCAGAGAAAGAACATGAAGAACAAGAACTTTTTCAGATCACTGTCTAGTACGCTAAATCTTACGGACACAGCGCCCTACTGTACAGTGACTAGGAGGGACTCTTATGCGTTGCCGCCGAATGACTAGTGCAAAACAAAAACATTTGACACCTTACATAAAATGTATGCATACTTTGCCCAATAGGTGTGAACCAGTGTGTGTACATGTTCTACATGACCCCCGAGGACCGACACACAAAGGGAGAACAACAGATCCTTAGTCCTCGAGAGTTGAGTCTTTTGTTGGAAACGGTCCTTTGTAGTAAGTTTGTGTGCTTAGTCTATGGGAGAGTGTTATGTTACAGGGACAAAGGAAAACACAAAGCATTGTCCTCGAGAGTATAGTAAAACAAGAGTGTGTGCACCCCAGCATGTCTCAAAAGGTACTAAGCTCGTGTATGTGGTCACATAGCGTAACCTTAAAGGTATAGTCCATCATTTGTAATTTGTGCATTTTGTTCGTTTAAAGCAAGGGTGCTGTTTAAACAAGGGTGCTGAACAACCAACCTGATGAAGTTTCAGCTCAGCTTCAGCTGTATATTTCGAGAAAAACAACATTTTAGGATCTCAATTTCAAGTCAAAAGTTGCTGAATCATGTTTTGAATCAGGCCTGAATTCAGCGCTCGAGACACGTTCTCACTGAGCCGATTGCAGCTATGCGATGTCGCGCACCGATCCAACGAATTATAGCAACCACGCCCGCGTGTGTGTCGTGTCAACGCTCTTCACTGAATAAAAACATGGTATGCAAACGGAAATTTCCAACGGTGCTTCTTAAGACGCACCGTTGGAAAGGCCTTCTTTCGTTGATTTCCTCAAAATGAAAGCTTGACAGAAAGAATAATTTCACAGGGATTTTAGTCCCATTACTATCTTTCAACCAAGTATGTTTTTCAACAATAATAATGTCAGTTAGTTTTTGGATAGCTGCAAATGATGGACTCTGGCTTTAAATTCAAGAAGGAAGTCCATACCTGATAGTTGAGCAGGTACTTGATAGACAGCGACATGTCGTAGGCTCCCATGCCGTCCACCATCCACTGCATCTGGGTGATGTTCTCAATCAGTTTCTCGATAGGCAGGATGTTCAGCTCCATGATGCGTTTGAGCCGGAGGTGGGTGATCTCCCGGTCCTCAGCCAGGGCCACGTCGTGATAGTGATGCTGGAAGACCGTTTCGTTCTCCATCAGCGACCACAGATTGTGCTGTCGAGAATTAACATACAAACATGACATAAAGTTTATTTGGACTCCTTTAAAGCTATAGTCCATCATTTGCAGCCATCCGAAAAAGTAACTGGCGTATTATTGTTGGTTGAAAGATAGTAAGTGGACTAAACTCCCTGTGAAATTAATCTTTCTGGCAAGCTATCATTTTGAAGTAATCAACGAAAGAAGGCCTTTCCAACAGTGCGTCTTAAGACGCACTGTAGGAAAATTTAAATTAGTAGTTCGTTTTGTTATTCGGCGCAGCGCGCGCAAGCATTGGCACGACGCACAGTCGCGCGGTTGCTACAATTCGTCGGATCAGTGCGCGACATCGCGTAAAGCTACAATTCAAAACATGATTCAGCAAATTTTGATTTGAAATTGAGATCCCAAGAATGCTGTTTTTCTCGGAATATACAGCTGAAGCTGAGCTGAAACTTCATCAGGTTAGTTGTTCAGTATCATTCATTAGATTTTGAACACTTTTGTTGCTTCAAACGAACAAAATGCACAAATTACAAATGATGGACTATATCTTTAATTCTCATCTAGTTTGTGCAGTGATGCTTGCCTCCCATCTGCCCGACCCATGGGGTTTGAATCCCATCCAGGTGGCCTGGGGTTCCAATCCCATCATGATTCTCTGGGTTTGCCTTGGAATACCATTGGAAGTTTTTTTTTTCTAACTGAACATTTCCTTATCGTCTCTTCTGTCTATGTTTCTTCAGGCTCTCAAGCTGCAGTGTCTACAGATGCAAGGGTGTCAATTGCTTCTGAAAAGTGTGGGGGCGTACCTTGATCAGAACTAAATGTGAGCCCGAAGCCCTAACAACGTGGGGAAAATTGTGGGTTCTAGATGCTCTGTGGTGCAATCCAAGACAATTTCTGCCAACTTTAAGCATTTTTTGTTCAGCCAAAGATCATTATTTAAACATCATTTTTTAGTTTGGAGTCATTGAATCAGCCATTCTGAGCTAAAGCAGCAAATGTAGGCTACAACGTTTATTTTGGGACGACAACATTTTTGGGGGGGAGCGGGACAGGGGACAAACAGTATACCCCCCCCCCCCTTTTTTAAAGTGTGGGGACAACCACATTGTTTGATCGTGGCAAATTTATAATTCCTAGCCAGTTGTGGGAACTGGGGTCTATTACCATTGGTATGAGTGAACATAACATAAAGTAGGTCCAGCACTCACTTTAAATTTGACAGCCTCTTCCCCATCCACGATTAGTTTCATTGCCTTCCAGTTGAAGGATGCTCGTTTCCTGTATTCATCCAGGGGACCGGTGGGTTGGTCGGGTACCAGCGAGTCCCAATCATCGGGGACGGTCGTGACTCGTGATGCCATACGTGCCGCCATTGCTAGTCAGCAGATTACTGGTTACTGGCTACAAAATAAATTGGGAAGAAAAAAGGAAAATGGTTCAGGTTTTTCACAATCTCCAATTTGGAACACAACACAGATGTGCGCCTTTTCGAACACGGTGCATTCATTTCCAGACACAGTGTCATCAATGTTCTTTTTAAAACACGCTGTGTTCCAACAGAAATGTTGAGATGGCTTTTTCACCTGTAGGGTGGACAAGGAAAAGTCCCATTTGGAACACAACATTTTTTAAAAACATGTGTATACGGTGTACTCCTTTCCAAATACAATTCAGTGTGTTCCTTTTGAAACACACTGTTCTGAAAGACACTGTTAGACCTGACAAGAAAGTCCTTCTCGTCTATTGGGATATTAACAAAATAAATGCATTTAAAGGAAAAGAAACCTACATTTGAATCCAAAGTAACAAATGAAGAACTCCACATTTCTACTTTTACATTACCTTTTTCGTACTGTCACCAATACTTTTTAAGGTTTAAATCCAAGATAGCATGCCCTGCTTCCAAGACTGAATGACAAGTACATGTACAGTGCTCAGGTGACTATATGTTAAGCTACGTGATAACAACACTGAAAGGCACTTGTAGTCCCTCATACAGATTTAGTTCCTACACGTGCACTTATTCTGAATAAGTCCGTTGACCTCATTTTCCAAATACAAGATAAAATCTTTTTATGGGGAGTCCAAATGCACTTGAAAGTGAACTACTGAACTTTTTGACAAAGTGTTGCAGGTGATCACTAATGAATATCAACTTGCAAGTAGTTCCATCAAAAGTGTTTGGTTACGAATATTTTTTTCAAACGATACACCAGGGTAATGCCATCCACAATGTACAGAGGCAGAGATCGTATGATTCAGGAAATGTTCAGCTACCCCTAAAGCTATTGTGATTATAACGATACGGACAGGCCCTCGTAGTCCTTCATACAGATTTAGTTCGTAAACGTGTAATTATTCTGAATAAGTCCACTGACCTCATTTTTCAAATACAAGATAACACTCTTTTTATGTGGAGTCCAAATGCACTTGAAAGTGAACTATTGAACATTTTGACAAAGTGTTGCAGGTGACAACTAATGAATATCAACTAGCAAGTAGTCCCATCAACAGTGTTTGGTTAAAGGGAAAATACAACATTTGCAAACATCGAAAAATAAAACTACCAAGTTTTTACGAAATACCTTACTAGGATGTTGAATCATGAAAAAAAGTAAAACTGCTGCAAACTGCTTACTGACTGGATGGACCTGAAATATATAAATCTAAAATTAATGTGGCCTGACGTTGCGAACTTAGCAAGTTCTTCTTCAGAGGCTAAAACAGAAATGACAGAGATACAAATGTACATACATTAACATGGGGGTGCACACAAACATGCAGGGCTGAAAGAAGAAACACAAAAGGAGGATTAGGAGGGAAAGGTGTGGAAAGATGCAGGGGAGGGTGGATGAGAGAACAAAGAAACAAAGGGAGATGGCAAACCACAAGGGGTCTGGTGTAAACAGGGGAGGGACCAGAAAGGGGAAGGATCAAAGGTCACAGGGAGTGGGAACGGACAAAAGAGTGTGAGAGTGAAGGGATGATGCGGGGGGGGGGGGGGGGGACAGTATTGAGGTGGAAAGGGATGAAAGATGGCGGGAGATGTGTAAACACAAACAAGGAAGACCAGATGGATTATCTGTAACAGAGGACAATGGAGGAAGAAAAGGATTAATCATTTCCAAGTTGGATGTTGAGACCATGTGGTTGAATAGTTCGAAGACGATTCATCCACACCTTCTCTCTGCTGAGGCGAACTGACTCTTTGCGATGGCCAAGAGATTCAATGCCCTGCAAAATCATATCAGAAATGGAGTGGTTAGGCAGGTTGAAGTGATGACCAACAGGGGTGTCTAGTTTCTTGGTGTTGACCGTTGACCGATGGGCATAGAAACGCTTCTTGAGCGTATTCTTAGTCTCACCTACATACTGCACTCCACAGACCCTGCAAGAAATGAGATATATGACATTAGAGGTGTTACAAGTGATGTTACCAATGGTTCTGTGGGTAGTGACAGAAGAGTGGCCAGAAAAGGAGTCAGACTCCTGGATATGAATCTGGCAGACAACACATCTGGAACTGCACTTGAAAGTACCATGCTGGGTGGGAGGGGGTGCATCTAAGGATGGGACTTCAGCTCGAACAATCAAGTCCCGTAGATTTCGAGGACGCCTGTAAGCCAATGTGGGGCCGTTGGGGATGGCGCGGGCAAGGCGATCTGAAGTATGGAGGATATGATGATTGTCATTAGTGATTTTGCGGAGGGGAGGGAGATTGGGGTGAAACGTGGTAACCAAGGGAATCATGGGTTTGGCCATGGCATCAGGGGCCTTTCCCGTGAGAGCTTGATTTCTGGGGATAGATTTAGCTCTGGCAATGGCACGATGAACTTGGCGAGAGCTGTGACCCCTGGCCACCAAGTTGTTCTTCAGTATCTGTGTATGGCGGGAGAAATCGGAATCATTAGAACAAATTCTTCTGAGTCTGAGTGCCTGGCTAAACGCTATGCCAGTTTTGCAGTGCCTGGGGTGACAGCTGGAGGAGTGGAGGTACTGGTGGGTGTCTGTGGGTTTGGAATACAGGTCAGTGGTTAGTGAGTTGCCTTGCTTGCGGACGGTGACATCCAGAAAGTGGGTTTGGTGAGCCGAGAACTCCGATGTGAATTTGATGGTTCTGTGGAAGGAATTGATGTGGTTAGTGAAGGTCAAGAGACTGTCCTCATCACTGGTCCAGATGAAGAAAACATCATCAATATATCTCCACCAGATCCAAGGGCGACATGGGGCCGAGGCAAGAATGCGTTCTTCGAGGTCACCCATGAAGAGGCAAGCCATCGACGGGGCCATGCGAGTGCCCATTGCAGTGCCGTGTACCTGTAGATAGTGTTCACCAAGGAAGGAAAAATTGTTCTTCGTTAGTATAAGTCTCATGAGGGTGCCAACATCACTGATGGGAGGAGTCGTGTGTCCTGCCTTGGCCAGAGCCAAGGAGCAAGCACGAACTCCCTCCTCATGTGGGATGTTGGTGTACAGAGATGAGACGTCGAAAGTCCCAATGATGGCTGTGCTGGGAATCTGGTCCTTGATTCCTTCAAGCTTGCGTAGGAAGTCTGGGGTGTCGTGAATGTATGACGAAATCTGTGGGACAAGGGGTTTGAGAAAACTGTCAATGAACAGGGAGATGCGTTCCGTGGGTGAGCCATTACCGGAGATGATGGGTCTACCGGGGTTGCCAGTCTTGTGAATCTTGGGTAGAAGGTAAAATCTGGCAGTCCTACAATCACAGGGAGAAAGAAATTTGTGAGCTTTCTTCGACAACTGGTCACGTGATCGCATATCGTCAAGTACCTGTTGTATATCTTGACAGAAAGTGCCTGTGGGGTCAGAGTCAAGGCGGGTATAGTTAGTGCGATTATCCAACTGGCGGTGGGCCTCATCAATGTACTGCTGACGATCCATGATGACCACAGCTGAACCTTTATCTGCTGGCTTGATGATGATGTCGGTGCGAGAGCGCAAGGAGTTGAGAGCCAGGCGCTCCTCTCTGGGGAGATTATCATGAGTCCTGTGGGGGAAGTTGTCCGGGTTAGTGACTTGGGAATTGATAACTTGAACGTATGTCTCTATGGCTGGCACACGATTCTTGGGGGGTACCCATGAACTCTTGACTCGAAAAGGCTCTGGCTCACACGGTTCACTGTCCAGGAAAAACTCACGCAGGCGGATTCTACGGTAGTATTCCGTGAGATCTTGGCTGAGCTGAACCTGGTTCACAGAACGGGGAGCGGGACAAAAATTGAGACCCTTGGAGAGAAGTTTGTGCTCTCAGCAGTGTCAATTTACACGTGAGGACCTCCATCAGAATATTTCCCACCTTGACTCCCAACTCAAATCCAGTTGTTCTGACTCCACGTACAGGAATTTCCATGATGAGATTGAAAGGGGTTTGTCTAACCTTGACTCTGTCCTACTCAACAGGAGAAACAAGAAGATTGGTGGCTTGCTTGCCAAGCAACAGCAACGCAGACACAGACGTTTCAGACGTCCTAGGTCCCCATCTACCACGCCACCGCCAGAACCCCCTGTCAACACTGTAGTTAATCTTTCTTCCTCATCAATATCTGACGCAGAGCACAAACTTCTCTCCAAGGGTCTCAATTTTTGTCCCGCTCCCCGTTCTGTGAACCAGGTTCAGCTCAGCCAAGATCTCACGGAATACTACCGTAGAATCCGCCTGCGTGAGTTTTTCCTGGACAGTGAACCGTGTGAGCCAGAGCCTTTTCGAGTCAAGAGTTCATGGGTACCCCCCAAGAATCGTGTGCCAGCCATAGAGACATACGTTCAAGTTATCAATTCCCAAGTCACTAACCCGGACAACTTCCCCCACAGGACTCATGATAATCTCCCCAGAGAGGAGCGCCTGGCTCTCAACTCCTTGCGCTCTCGCACCGACATCATCATCAAGCCAGCAGATAAAGGTTCAGCTGTGGTCATCATGGATCGTCAGCAGTACATTGATGAGGCCCACCGCCAGTTGGATAATCGCACTAACTATACCCGCCTTGACTCTGACCCCACAGGCACTTTCTGTCAAGATATACAACAGGTACTTGACGATATGCGATCACGTGACCAGTTGTCGAAGAAAGCTCACAAATTTCTTTCTCCCTGTGATTGTAGGACTGCCAGATTTTACCTTCTACCCAAGATTCACAAGACTGGCAACCCCGGTAGACCCATCATCTCCGGTAATGGCTCACCCACGGAACGCATCTCCCTGTTCATTGACAGTTTTCTCAAACCCCTTGTCCCACAGATTTCGTCATACATTCACGACACCCCAGACTTCCTACGCAAGCTTGAAGGAATCAAGGACCAGATTCCCAGCACAGCCATCATTGGGACTTTCGACGTCTCATCTCTGTACACCAACATCCCACATGAGGAGGGAGTTCGTGCTTGCTCCTTGGCTCTGGCCAAGGCAGGACACACGACTCCTCCCATCAGTGATGTTGGCACCCTCATGAGACTTATACTAACGAAGAACAATTTTTCCTTCCTTGGTGAACACTATCTACAGGTACACGGCACTGCAATGGGCACTCGCATGGCCCCGTCGATGGCTTGCCTCTTCATGGGTGACCTCGAAGAACGCATTCTTGCCTCGGCCCCATGTCGCCCTTGGATCTGGTGGAGATATATTGATGATGTTTTCTTCATCTGGACCAGTGATGAGGACAGTCTCTTGACCTTCACTAACCACATCAATTCCTTCCACAGAACCATCAAATTCACATCGGAGTTCTCGGCTCACCAAACCCACTTTCTGGATGTCACCGTCCGCAAGCAAGGCAACTCACTAACCACTGACCTGTATTCCAAACCCACAGACACCCACCAGTACCTCCACTCCTCCAGCTGTCACCCCAGGCACTGCAAAACTGGCATAGCGTTTAGCCAGGCACTCAGACTCAGAAGAATTTGTTCTAATGATTCCGATTTCTCCCGCCATACACAGATACTGAAGAACAACTTGGTGGCCAGGGGTCACAGCTCTCGCCAAGTTCATCGTGCCATTGCCAGAGCTAAATCTATCCCCAGAAATCAAGCTCTCACGGGAAAGGCCCCTGATGCCATGGCCAAACCCATGATTCCCTTGGTTACCACGTTTCACCCCAATCTCCCTCCCCTCCGCAAAATCACTAATGACAATCATCATATCCTCCATACTTCAGATCGCCTTGCCCGCGCCATCCCCAACGGCCCCACATTGGCTTACAGGCGTCCTCGAAATCTACGGGACTTGATTGTTCGAGCTGAAGTCCCATCCTTAGATGCACCCCCTCCCACCCAGCATGGTACTTTCAAGTGCAGTTCCAGATGTGTTGTCTGCCAGATTCATATCCAGGAGTCTGACTCCTTTTCTGGCCACTCTTCTGTCACTACCCACAGAACCATTGGTAACATCACTTGTAACACCTCTAATGTCATATATCTCATTTCTTGCAGGGTCTGTGGAGTGCAGTATGTAGGTGAGACTAAGAATACGCTCAAGAAGCGTTTCTATGCCCATCGGTCAACGGTCAACACCAAGAAACTAGACACCCCTGTTGGTCATCACTTCAACCTGCCTAACCACTCCATTTCTGATATGATTTTGCAGGGCATTGAATCTCTTGGCCATCGCAAAGAGTCAGTTCGCCTCAGCAGAGAGAAGGTGTGGATGAATCGTCTTCGAACTATTCAACCACATGGTCTCAACATCCAACTTGGAAATGATTAATCCTTTTCTTCCTCCATTGTCCTCTGTTACAGATAATCCATCTGGTCTTCCTTGTTTGTGTTTACACATCTCCCGCCATCTTTCATCCCTTTCCACCTCAATACTGTCCCCCCCCCCCCCCCCCCCGCATCATCCCTTCACTCTCACACTCTTTTGTCCGTTCCCACTCCCTGTGACCTTTGATCCTTCCCCTTTCTGGTCCCTCCCCTGTTTACACCTGACCCCTTGTGGTTTGCCATCTCCCTTTGTTTCTTTGTTCTCTCATCCACCCTCCCCTGCATCTTTCCACACCTTTCCCTCCTAATCCTCCTTTTGTGTTTCTTCTTTCAGCCCTGCATGTTTGTGTGCACCCCCATGTTAATGTATGTACATTTGTATCTCTGTCATTTCTGTTTTAGCCTCTGAAGAAGAACTTGCTAAGTTCGCAACGTCAGGCCACATTAATTTTAGATTTACTAGGATGTTGGTAAAAAATGGCAGTCTAAAGCATCCTGTAACATTATGGCACCTGGTGTAAAGTCATTTTCAAGAAAATGATATTTTTGTATACATTTCCTACGGTGGTCAGCCGACCACCGTTGGAAAAACCTAACTATTTTTCAACTACGGCTTGAAATTTACCATCTGTTAATAGTCCAAATTGTGTTTGCTATTGGTTACATGTTCATGAACGGGTGCAGAACAGCTAGACTGGTTACCTTACCTTACAATTTTCCGGCATTTATAAATTGATCCATTTCATCTTTAGTGCAGTCAGGGAACCAGACTACTTGAACTTATTGAATTTATTTTTCACAATTAAAGTATACACAGGTTTATTCAGAGTATCTAGGACTCTACGGATCGCTTTTTTAACATTTGGACATGGTCGGGCGATAGTAGAGACCGACCATGTCCAAATGTTAAAAAAGCGTAGAGTCCTAGTTACTCGGACTAACACAAGTCCCACTATTGTAACTATTCTGCAGTATAAATCTGCATTCAGGCCCCTTACGGCCAGTCTCATTCATGTTAATTAACTCTCATGACTTGCATACTGTATGCTAGCCCCATAAATGTGGCCTATTTACTGGACTGCCTCCGTAAACATAGGCCACACATCCACATGTACAAAAATCGTGTCGACTTTGCCAAATTTTGATTTTCACATTTAGGCTTACTTTGTAGATTTTTTTGCTTTAGAAGCATACTCACCCTCTTTATAGGCTAGTCAGAAAGTGCTGCCTTTTTCAGATGTCTAATTTTTGTGAAATTTCATGTTGAAATTTTGATACGCAAACGTGTAAAAATGAATCTGGAAATTTCACGAAAAATATACACTGAAAAAGGCAGCACTTTCTGATTAGCCTATAAAGAGGGTGAGTATGCTTCTAAAGCAAAAAAAACCCTACAAACTAAGCCTAAATGTGAAAATCAAAATTTGGCAAAGTCGACACGATTTTTGTACATGTGGATGTGTGGCCTATGTTTACGGAGGCAGTCCAGTAAATAGGCCACATTTATGGGGCTAACTGTATCCAAACCAACGACAAAGTAGTCTCACTGGCAAAGTAACTTCACACATTAATGTACCGTCCGCAGCTATGGACTGTGACAAGTCTATGCTAGAAAGTCACTTGCCTTTCTTGGTGAAAATGAGTAATCACATGATTCGATTGTGGCAATCAGTTTAATTCCAAGGTTCAACAAGCAGACTAACAGCCTTTGATATCATAAAACAAACGTGTGTAAGGCATGCAATCTATGTCAAAGATATACTTCACTCAGCTGCCTGCCACAAACTTCCACTTTGGCAAATTAGTCTAGTCCGAGTCTAGCTCTACTGAGTGGAGCGTTGAATTAGGGGTACCCCTCCATACCAATGGTACCCGTAATTCAACGCTCCACTCAGTAGAGCTATATGCTACTGTGACGGTGTCACCAAAGTATGGCGAATCGGTGGAGCGTTGGTATGGAGGGGTACCCGTAATTCAACGCTCCACTCAGTAGAGCTAGTCCGAGTCTAGTGTTAAAATTAATGTTAAAATTAATTTTGAACACTAGACTCGCACTAGCATGAGACATTAATACTGAGACAGTAAGACTGGTGGAGGAGGGTCGAGGATAATTTTAAAGTGTGTTTTGTTCCCTTATAAACGGAACCGGGTCCGTAGATACACGATCGCCGAACAAATGTGGGTAAAGTCGTGTTCCCTAACGTGGCGCACTTCGAAGCTTAATACCCAACTTTCCTCGTGTAGTGTTGCCAAACCTCTTTGTTGACAAACCTTAAATTCATGAAGTAAAATACTGGTACTTTTACCTTATTAATGCTTGCTATTTAACTTCTGTAAACAATTTCAATTTCATAAAATTTAATCCGAAATTCAAAAACGGTGGCGTCCGGAAATTGGGCACAAAATGGTGAAGTTTTCCCTAAGGTGGCACACTTAAACAAATCTCGGAAAATTCCAAATTAACATTTAAGAATTTCTGTAAACTTGAAAAATTCTGATAAATCATTATTATCTCTAGTGACTCTACTTACATACCCAGCCAGATGTTTGTCAGAAAATTATTTTCTTATTTTTCGGGGCATTTTCAAAGGGTTCACTTTGCACTTGAATTTTTTTTCTAACTTTGTAACGGGTAAATAAACTCGCGATTTATGAAGAGTGTTTTAGAACTGAAGAGTTGATGAAATTTCACTCTCTGACATCATGGACATGTGAAATTAAGTTACATTGCTGTAGGAAGGCGCTACAGGCGAAAAATCAAAGTGCGCCACGTTGGGGGCCGCGCCACGTTAGGGTACATCAACAATATATAACAGCCGTGTACTCTCTGAAATGTCAAAAACCGTGAAATTTACCAGAATTTCGCTCACCAAGAATAGATCACTCGGTCGTCTGTGTATCGTCGCGTCGCGAGCTTGGTCACAGCGCCCTCATCAGTCGACAAACCAACGATGACTGTTTGACAAACAGGCCGGCGGGGGCCGGGTACGGGTACCGGGTACGAGCGAATTTGACAGACGGCCGAGTTCGAGTAAACTTTCTTGGCATTGTACGTCCAGCGTCGCGCGGGAGTAGCGCTACTGTACTTGTACCGTGTTTGCAAAGAAATGTACATCCGCCATCGATCCGACAAAAAAAGGCCTCTTTCCACGAACTAAACCGATAACATGAAATTCCAAACCAAACCACATACAGTTACATGGGACTTAGCCGAAAAATTCCTGCTACTCGTGCACTGTTCGAGACCGCATTTAGACAATGTGCGCAAATGCTATCCAAAACTTCCCATAGAATTGCGCGCATTCCATACCAGATGTGATTTCTGTTTCATTGCGGACCATGTGGACAAAATTTTGAGCGTCGCATATGCATAATGCAATCCGACCGTTCGTGATTCGAAACGGAGCCTGAGCGAGTGACGGGAAATTTGAAAATATACAACACAGATGAGTTTTACAGAATTCCTACATTATCACGCTTTTCAACGAGAAAAAACGTCTCTAAACTGGAATAAAAGAATAATGAATCAGTCTTAACGGCCGTTTCAAACCTTGCAGAGTCATGACCTTGATGACGCGCAGGTCACTGGTCACGCAAAATCCAACCAATCAGAGCGTGAATTTATCAGAGTATCCCAGCGTCCTGTTTGCAGGGCGGGGGGACGGTACGAGCGAACTTTCCAAGGTGTTCGAGACACACAAGACACATTAAAACTTATTTCATCATCTTTCATTTTCTTTTAAATTTTTGGGGGGTCAACTGATGACTTTTAGAAGAAATTTCCATCCGAAGATGATCACCCCTGAAAATAGTCCTGAAGCCCATCGTCATTTTGAAAAACGATGCCTACACTCCGGATCCATTGCAAAATAGAGCGCTTTAAGGGCCCCAATTTCATCAAAATTTAACGGAACTACAAGATCACAGTCCTGTGCACGGCTTCCACCCATATTTTTTACAAACCCTCAAGTTCATGGCCCACAGCATGCTCAAATACTGAAGATTTTGAGGGCATGCAAATCCGTGATTTGGCCGCGTAGGCAATTTCGGAGCGATTTACTGGTCTGCAACCCTACTGTGCTTGTACCGTGTTTACATCCGCCATCGATCCGACAAAAAAGGCCTCTTTTCTACGAACTATAAAACCGATAACAATATTTGAAATTCCAAACCAAACCACATACAATTACAAGGGACTTACCCGAAAAAGTCCTTCTATTCCTCATATTGTTGTTGGTGGTGGTGGTGGTGTTGTTGTTTTAACAAAACAAGCGTTCCAAACAGATTGAACAGATGTGCGTGACTTTACTCGCTCTTCCAAAATACATTTACAAGCATTACGGAGGGAGTCCGTTAAAATCAACAATTTGGCATCGCTCGCCAATGCACTGTTTTACCAAAACTGCCGGGACTTGGAAAGGAAATTGACTTGGATATTTTAACTAGCATCGGTATCGTCAATGCTTGCACTATTTTGTCCTTCCACGTCTGTGTTTCCTGATTATTCAAATATGGACAGGTAATGAGTGTTTCTTAGTCACAGGCACGTAGAATTACTTCGTTCATCAACATAAACAGAAAGACGTTTTTAAGATACTTAAAAAAAACTTACTGTAATAATTGTACCCTGTAACGTCAGGCAAGCTTAATCTAAACTATGACCGACCATGGTTTGTCAGTTGAGAACATTACAAGATGAACAAAATAGCGGATAAACATTTGTTAATGTAAATGTAATGTCAAATTGAGACAAGGAAGACACAGAAACGCAAAAAATCCAACCAACCAACAAATTTACAAACAAATCCATAGGTTATAGTCCACATACATGTATTTTGCAGAGTACACTATATTTATGCCAAAGGATCGAGTGTCCCACTTAAGCCATAAACTATATCAGTGCAATGACAACTGTAAAAGGTACCGTTATACATCATGGCTTTTCAAATCAACCAAGCAATACCAAGCCCGTTAGTGTCAACTTTTTTCTTTTTTTGGAAACAGTTTTTTTGGGGGGGGGGAGTTTTTTTTTTGGGGGGGGGGGAAGTTTTTTTTTTTTTTTTTACACGTTTACGAAACGAAGGTTTGGTACGCGGGCATTGCCGTACTTCATGTCCATAATGTACAAGAACGATTTCAGGCCATAGCGAAGTGCCGTTTCTTGGTCCGTGGTTTCATAAAGGACGCGCCGCGCAGTCTATTTTTAGTAACTTTTGGAATGTTGTTTTTTTGGAAGCCCCAAGTCCGGGCCAGAGGTTCACTACCATATCTCTTCAATTCCCCAATTTTACGGCGCTCAGAACTCTCTAATATAGAATATTTTGAGGGTATAACTTTTATTCATGAGCTTGGCGGATCGATTTACCGGTGTGTACCCTTAGGGATGCAACCCTGCAAATAAATTCCCATAGACACTAGTGCTAAATGGCCATACTTCAAAATTCTTTTAAAAATACTCAGAACTCTCACAGGTAGTCAAGCTGCACAGAAAAATGATGATCAACATGTCATCTTTCCTTTTCTTTTCATTTTTTGGTTGGTTGACCATTGACTTTTCGAGATATTCTCACCCAAAGAAGACGACCCCTATTTTTCCCAAAGCGAAAAAGTAGCCATCTTGAAAAACGATCCCTCCACAACATGGCAAAATAGCGCCACTTTTGAGCCCAATAGCATCCAAAATGCTCAGAATTGGAAGCCCCAAGTCCGGGCCAGAGGTTCATTACCATATCTTTTCAATTCCCCAATTTTATCAGAACTCTCTAATATAGAATATTTTGAGGGTATAACTTTTCTTCATGAGCTCGGCGGACGGATTTAGGCCTATTTACCGGTGTGCACCCTATAGATTCATCAGGAATAGTCAGAATTTTTTGGTCTGGGAACCAGACTACTCAGGGGTAGGGCGCCGCTGACGGCAGGTAGGTAAAAAAAAAAATTCAAAAAAAAAAAAAAAAAAAGGTTGGCACTAACGGGCTTTCGTAATATCCTGTTCTGTTGTTCGCTATATTTCCTTTATTGTCCAGAGGCCCATTGTTGATGTTGTGTTGATAGCAATAGGCTTACCCTGAACATTGTGTTGGCAGTCTTTTCAGGTATAGTCACACACACACAAAAACAGGTCTGTATCTTATTCATGCATGGCTGAAAATCAGTGAAAATTTTACTGAACGTTGTCAATACCCAGCTCGCCTGTTGGCTGAAAAATAACCCTGATAACCATTCCCGTTTTTGTGGGAGACAAGATTTTATCCAAAGGGACATTTTTTGGACTTACCCTGTATAAAAATAAAATGTCGTGCACCACAATTATTATTGGACAACGTTATTAGCCCGTGAATTATTTCAGTTGTTCCAACAATATAACTTTGTGATAGATGTTAATACTTCGTAATATAATAATATCGGCACATTATCACATATCTATATACAGGAAGTCCTCGAAAGACTTGTTCGTCACTGTTTTAATCTTGAAGTCTTACATGGGTGAATTATGACAGCATGCATGCTCAAGTTACTATGAGCGAATAATAACACAATAATAAATGCTACAACTTTATTTATTTAATACTCAAAATAATGATGGTTTACCGCAGCAGGCTCCGATGTATACTAAAAGACAAAATAATTAACACACAACACTGAAACAAAAATGTCATGTAAACCAAGCGCTTTATACAGCTAAAATCATGGTAATCGTACAAAATGTAATTGTTTTGTTAAAAGTTAAAAACTACACTAATCCCATGTTATCATATGCTGTTTTACATAATTTGTAACATTTTTGAAAACCTTTTTCAGAAAACTTTCCTTTAATCAACATTCTCATTGCAGTCAAATGGATTAGCTCATCTTGTGAGACATGACCCTGGTTGTGAATATTGTCATGGCACAAGAAATAATCCACTTCTTGGTTAACTTGGGATCTATACATTTTACTCTAAGCAAACAAAACAAATTATGTTACACTGCTGTAGTACATAAGTATTTTGTTAATGGATATTTGTATGCGTTCATGTACAATGTACATGTATATCTAGACGACCAAGCCCGCGGGAACGGGGGGTGCTGTGGGTGCTGCAGTACCCCCAACTATTTGGATTGGGGTGCTGGAATATGCTTCAGCACCCCCTACTCCCGGGCAAAAATGTGTTCCAGCGGCTAAGCGCGGCGCTTCGAAAGTTTAGCATAAACACTGTAAAATATCAAGAGGAGGTATTTTCTAAATCTTCAGGCAGTGCAGAATCGATATTTCTCTCAAGGTATCTAAAATCATGACATGTCCATGATATTTCCGCCTTGGTGGAAGCTTTGACCCGAAAGCAATAACCTCGGCCATGACGATGGTGGCAAAGTTGATTATGCTTACCAGGATTTTTTCATTCGATCTTTCAATAAGGGCAACTGTTCATACCTTTCCCCTGAAGGTTTTTCTTTTCATTAAAAGTTGCATTGACGATGCAAGCATTCTGTACTCAGCATTTACAAATGGCAAGGTTAATTGAAACCAGTCATGCTTTACGCCAATTCCAGTCTAGTTTCGTTTTAATAGAAAAACCTCTTCAGGTTTTACCCCCTGCAAGTTTTTCCTTATAAAAAACTCTGTAGACCAATAAATTATTGCCTATAGCCCCAAACTTGCCATCTACCGATCATAAACATAAAGATACATTTGGACTTTTAGTCTTTTATATTTGCCACCATTCCCTGTATACAAACAAATAACACTGCAAATATATCGAGAGCCACATCGTTTGGTGAGCTAGGACTATGTGAATATTTTTATGAGCAGAAATTCATCCGCTTCCAGTGGAACCATATGTTTTAACTTAAACCAAAAAAACCACATCCTTTCGGGTTTTATAAGTTTCAGTATACTACCAGTATATTTCATCACAGTGCATCCAGAATCCAACATTTTCTGGGGCCTTAAAGCGGGCCCCTGGTCCTGTGGCCCCACGCCGTAAGGGCTCGGAAAATAAAACAAAACATACACGACGGAATTTACTAAATGTAAGAAAGCAGCCTTGCAACAATAATATTTACATGCGATGTCATGCGTAATGATACAATTCTTTTTCCAGAATTAAATGGAACCAAAAATGGAGATAAAAATACAGGGTTCTCCACTTTTCAGTAAAGTTGAACGTTTTGAGAGCAACAGTATATTCTAAACAAAATAATAAAATAAATTGTCTTTATAATCTCTTGTGCTAAAAAAGTCAAATGAAAGTGGCTAGGAATCGCCTCAGATTGCACCACAGAGCATCTATATTCCAAATTGAGCCACGACGTAAGGGTTTTGCGCTCCGCTTTTGTATTAATTTTGTCCGTCTTTTATAAATTCCAGCACCCCCTGACAAAAGTTTGTTCCAGCGGCAGTGTAGACGACAGATTATAAATGCCATATACAAGTAGTACTGTTCAATTGTGCGTTTTTACTTCTAGTTTCATAACTAAATTGATAATGTTGTTTTTCAATTCTTTTTTGGGTGTGATTTGACAAAATCACCCAATTCACAGCGATATGTGCCCACAGACCTCTCAAGGGCGGATACGGGGGGGGGGGGGGGGCATCCCCTCCCAAAAAAACGAAACCCCTTTTTTTTTGTTTTTAAGTGACGTCACAATAAAGTCAGGCACTGCGTACACCATCTTTTCCTAAAAAAAAAATCGGTTAAATTGGTCAGAAATTGCCTCGTATCGCACCACAGAGCATCTAGAATCCAAAAAAATTAGGAGCCCTTAAGCCCCGAACACCTCGCCGTAATGTTTTAGACACACTTTATGGTGATTTTGCCCCCCCCCCCAAAAAAAAAATTAAAAAAATTGTGTTCTGGATCCGCCCTTGAGACCCCTGTAACAAATTAAACTTCCCTTAACACAGTTAGTGGTTTTTCAGTCTCACGCTTTGGTCATTGCACACCAAAGCAGTGGCGCACCCGGGGGGGGGGGGGGGGGGGGGGGCTCTGGGGGCTTGAGCCCCCACCCCAGAGGTTGTCAATTTGTTGGGTTTTTTTCGGGGTAATTAGTAGTCCCACGACTTGACCTTGGTGATATGTTTGTGGCCTATTTTCGAGTAGTAGGGGTGTAAGTGGCGCCACCAACGCTAAAATATCCCCCCCCCCCCAAAAAAAAGCCTTATTTTTTTCTGCGCCACAAATTTTGGGCAAAATTTGTTGAACAATTTTTTACTTCTAAATTTTTTTAAAAAACAATGTTTGAGCCCGGCCCCCCTAGCCAGATCCTGGGTGCGCCACTGCACCAAAGCTGGGCAATTCTGGGAAATAAGCAATACACACAATTTGAAGCATGTCGACTTTGTGCAAGAAGCATTGGTAATGGCCTATCATGATGTCACCTGTAAGCAAGTTATGAAAAATCTGTTTGTTTTCTTGGGAGAAGCAGTATACATTTGAGAAAATGAAATTGGATGGTACCTATTCATTTCTTGGGAACCTTGAGGAAAAAAATAAGTTCAATGTATCTTTGTGTTTGTTTCAGTGTTGTATTTATACATAAAAAACTGCTATAATATATAGGATGATTTAAGGAAAAAAGTGTTAGCTATAGGCTTATAGGCCTAGTTTTAAAAAAAAATAAACGTCTAAGATAAGCGTTTACTTTTTGTACCCATATCCGCTACAATTAGGACATGTCCTGAAATCATCAACCAGACCGCTTCCTCCACAGTTGGTACATTTGGGACTTGGTGGTGTAAACGCTTTAACTAGTGCTCCTGCAGCTATACCAGCTGTCGCTCCACCTATCGCTCCACCTAGTACAGCACCTCCAATGATAGTGCCAACCCCAGGGAAAATTAGAGTTCCTATAACCGCCCCAGACACGCAACCCCACAGGCCTGCGCCAGTAGCAGCAGCTGCGGCCCCATCACCCTTGATGGCGTAATATGGGCCCAAGAAATGTGCCATAATTACTCCGCCAACACCCGGAACTGATGCGCCTGTTAGCGCTTTCACAATCTCCCCGATGGCATATCCTGCAGCGGCTTTGATTGCTACCATCTTCGTAGCAGAAACAGCAGCGTTGGGGTTCTTCTCCTTTCTGGCCAATTCAATAGCCCTGACCAGATAAATTGGTTCTCCTTCGATACCAATCTTAAGAACTTCATCTTTTTCCGTGTCGTACAGTACCACACTCCGTATTTTTCCCTCAGCAGATGCAGTAAAGCTAGCTTCAGCTTTTCTTAGATCGTTTGCCCTGGAGGCAATCCTTGGCTGTTCATCTTCTGCTGTGTTGTAATTAGATAAAACATATCGACCAGCCATGTTTGTGTTCGAAGTTGCTGCCAAGGAAAGACTGTCAAAAAAGTTGGGCGAGTCGTGTGCTCGGCTGTTGAATTCGTGTATGGGCGTCTCTATTTGTGGGTTAGTTGTGACTCTGATCTTGAAGGCAGTGGTGTTTGTGGATCTGGAATTTTGAACAATAGATAACCAATAGTGTCATGGTGCATGATTTTCAGAAATAATATTAACAAACCTTGCACTTTTTAGAGAATTGAAACATGAACAAAACGCACAGACGTAAAATGCAGATAGATAGATCCTCAACTGTATAGTCTTGGTATGGCGCAAATCCAAAATTCAAAAACAAAGTTATTTAACTTATTAAAAATACCTTCTGTTGTTGACAAGATAATGTGGGCCGTGTGCTCTGTTGAACGCGTACGCGTCTCTGCTGGTGGGTTATATGTAGTTGTTATACTTTTTCTGAACTTGAAGGCAGTGCTGCTTGTGATTCTGGAAGTTTGAACCATAGAAAATAAGTAGTCTGAATTACTGAGTGTCTCTTTTCGAGACTTTAATTGTGAAGTTGTTCAACAAATTAGACAGATGGCAGTTCTCACTACGAATCTCGGTCAATAATTCATTGGTCAAATTCGGGCAAGCAATTTTCTGATCAAGGCTGCCTGAATGGAAATGAATATGAGCTTTCTTTTGAAAAAAAAATCAGGAAAAATTGGACCATACCCAGTCTGTCTTGCATACCTCTTATTTAGCCCTGAAGTCGCTGCCAGAAACGTTTTACTTTAAAAAAAAATTAAAAAATTAAAAAATTAAAAAAATTAAATCAGGCCAAACAAAAAAAATTGTGTGTTTACGGTAACGGCCTGAAAAAAATCCAGGTAGGTAGATAGGGAAATAATTCTATTTTGTAATTTTTTTTTCATTTCAGTTCTGCATGCCTATGTGTGTTCTTTCGCAAAAAAAATTGTATAAAACCACTATTCAAGCATTGAAGATATTCAATCAATACATTTCAATCCAAATAAATTTGTATCGTCGGCCAGGGTTCTCCCCAGGATTTTTTCAAACATGTGGTGGAAGATTTGCTGTGATTCAACAACCCGAAAATGTTTGAACTTTAGAAGCTCTCTGGTGCATTTTAGAGCAAATCTGGGGGTCTTTATCTTAAGATTTGTCCTTGAAATTCAGAGGAGATCTTGTAGGTCACTAATATTTTTGTAATTAAAGAAAAAGAATCAAAATTGTTAACTTATAAAAAATTAACATTTCACAACCTGTGTTTCATTGCTTCCTAACTAGAAAAGTATGAATTACATTTACATGTAAATTTCAAATTAAGAAATTAAGGTGGAGAAAAAAACAACTTTTGCTTCCGATTACATGCCTTTCAAAATAGCGTCAGTAGGTCGGAAAATTATTTCGCCAATTTTTTGGGGGCGCTGATTAATGGACCATCATTCGTACTAATCAAAGAGCAAGGAATCATGTTTATTTTGTGCCTGGATTATTTGCATTTGCGCCACGAAAATTATGAAGACTGGCTATCAAAAGTGATTAAAACTTGCCTCACCTAATTAAAAATATATTTGAGGTCGGTGATTCCACTTTATGCTTAACATACATCACGGCCGCTGGCACCGCCAACATTCCGCCTGGCTGGCCGAACATCGCGCCGTGCTCACGGCCCACGAGGCCGAAAATCTTGCACTACTGCAGAAACACGCTACGATGTTTCGCCACAAGTTCGAGCTTTGCAATCTCGTCATTTTAATGGAAAACACATACACAGAAAGTAAAGATCACGCTCTGTGAATTAATTCGCAGAAATTCTCTTTCTCCAGCGATGTAAAGATCACGTTCTGTGAATTAATTCGCAGAAATTCTCTTTCTCCAGCGATGTTTGTTTGGTAATATTTTTACGATCCAACTTCGGCCCACTACATCATCATGCTACGAAGTATGGACCGGTGCAACCTCGTCCCCAGGGTGTCGAGCAGTACGCACCCACCACTACCTGCTCTCTCACCCTGGTATTGGATCATTTGCATGTGCAAGATTTTTGCACACGTATGCAAATGAGGAACAGTCTGGTGCCTGGATATGCGTTACACATTAGCGTTTGTTTTTGTATGCGGTGTCTGGGGTAAAAACAGAGTCAATTCGTAGCAGCGCGAGCGCGGCGTGAGTTACGAAAACACGATTTTTGAAATCAAACTGTTACGATCTTATCGAGACAACATGCAGTATCATATTTCATATTAATATGAGCAAATTGGAAAGGAAATTAGTATTTTCGAGAAGGCGTGGACGAATGATCGCGAAAACACGTACTGCACGTTATGAATATATAGCACCAAGTACACGATACAAATCCATTACTAGCCAATTGCGGTATCCAATCAGGATACAGGAAGAAAGTTTACTATCCAGGGTTTACTATTGGAAACGCGGTTGGAAATAAAGTAAGCACTGGGGACGAGGTTGGGACCGGTGAGAGAGGCAGTAGTCACTGGTTCCGGTCCTTCATCATAGCATTGATTCCGTTAGCTGGCGAAAGGAACCAGTGTACCATGCTGTATGTTAGCTAGGTGGTGCTGGTGGTGGTCGACGACAGAACACATCATCGTGTGCATTTTGATCACACATGCATCCGAAAAACAGGATTTTGGTCAAGATTTTGCATGTCATGATGAAATAATGGCGTATGTAACGATCAAATTGTGCATTTTAATGGCGTGTATGATAATTATATTGTGCGTATCAGGGGCTAAAAAATGTGATCGGCATTTTTTTGTCGGCGTATCGGGCCGGCCGCAATTCCAGCGTATCGGGCCGATACGCACGTTTGTACGCGGGGAGAACCATGCCGTCCGTCGGGCAGCCAGGCGTACCCAGATGCGTTTGTGCAAAAATAATCGTACTTCGTAGTTTGAGAATTCAAGTTTTGAGATCGTCGCGATTTTCGCACGTTTAACACAAGTATGTTTGTGTCAAATCATGGTCAGATTCAAGTGTGGAAAATGGTTTTTGTTCGTGGCAAATAATTAAAAGTACTTGAAATGTTTAAAAAAGTTTGAGGTCGGCAATTTGGCCGAAAAAATTCCAGGTCGGTCGGGTTACCGTAAACACACCAAAAGTGAAAGTTGGAAAAAATCACTCGGGTGGGACTCGAACCCACGACCTCCTGCTTTCTAGTGCAGATGTCTTACCACTCGACCACCGAGCTAACGGGATCGATGGCCGGTTCGAATCTGATGTACATAGCAGCGGGTACCGCATAAACTATTATAAGATGGAATTTTGCGTCGGGGTGATATAAATCAAATTAGGTTTTGCCCTTCACCTTCACCGACGTTTTTTAAACACTGTATACTCAGTGTGTTACCTCCCAAGTGAAAGTTGGAAAAAATCACTCGGGTGGGACTCGAACCCACGACCTCCTGCTTTCTAGTGCAGATGTCTTACCACTCGACCACCGAGCTAACGGGATCGGTTGGCCGGTTCGAATCTGATGTACATAGCAGCGGGTACCGCATAAACTATTATAAGATGGAATTTTATATCATAAAAATTTTATTCCATTAACACCTTCTGAATCCCACTTTGATTCAAACGTAATCGCGCAAAAAAGGCAAGGCATTTCTTCGGAAGAAAATGATTGTTTTAAACACTCACCGAAAAAATATTGTTCTTGCAGTCAGTTCTCTCTCTAATTGCTCTCGTCCAAAAGTGGTGATAAGCTGTGGTCGTTCTGAGAGGGTTCTCTCTCTAATTGCTGTCGTCCGAAAGTGGTGATAAGCTGTGGTCGTTCTGAGACTGGGGCAGCTGCCTTATATTACTAAGTTATTTCCTGAGCAGTGACTGAGGCACTTAATTGCAACCAGAATGTGATTGGCCTCTGCGCGCGCGCTGTCAATCACACATCACTGACATGCCTCATATGAGACGGACGTCATATTAATGTGACATAGCGACGCAATATGGGCGTTACACAACTTTGTGTCACCGACACTGTGAAATGACCACGTATTATCGGTGGATATGTTCAAGGATGTCGGTGACACTTTCAAACACGTGATTTGTGATCGATACGCACAACCTGTCACAGTGTAGCGACCAGAATGATCATTTTGCATTTTTTGCTCCGCGCGAGTTCAAGTGCAACGACTTGCGTGTTGTGCATTTTTGTCTCCAGAGAGCGCTGTTGCGCTGTTTTGCGCTCGCCCTTGGGCAATTAAGTTCGCGCAAGAAATCATGTTCGCTCGTACCCCCGCCCTGCAAACAGGACGCTGGGATACGCCGTGATGAGCTTCACAGAATCTTGTGAAGGAAGTGGCCTATGACCTATGTATAAAGCATCTGGCTGCAGCTGTTTAAAAAGCAGTTAGACAATGTGCGCAAATGCTATCCGAAATCTTCCATATAAATGCACACGTTCCATACCGGATGTGATTTCTGTTTCATGCGGACCATGTGGACACAATTTTGAGCGTCGCATGATGCAATCCGACCGTTCGTGATTCGAAACGGAGCCTGAGCAAGTGACGGGAATTGTAAATTTACAACACAAATAAGTTTTACGGAATTTCCTACATTATTACGTTTTTCAACGAAAAAAAATCTCTAAACTGGAATAAAAGAGTAATGAATCAGTCTTAACGGCCGTTTCAAACCTTGCAGACTCATGACCGTGATGACGCACAGGTCACAGGTCACGCAAAATCCAACCAATCAGAGCGTGAATTCATCAGAGTATCTAATCCCAGCGTCCTGTTTGCAGGGCGGGGGTACGAGCGAAGAAATATTGTTGACCATTGGTTAACCATAGTTCGACTAAAGTTAGCCCAAACTCTAGTCGACGGTGGTTGACTACGCTAGTTGACTAACCAGCCTATACTGCGGCTGGTCGCGTACTTTTTTCTTTTTTTTTTGGCAGAATAGCCTACATCGGGTTTTTTTTTCAACCAATCGCATCGCGCACGCACGTACCCTATCATGAATATTAACGCTGTGTGGATCGAAGACACTTGGGTTCTCGTAGTGTTTTCCCTTCACTAAACTTATCCCAAGTTTCTCCAATCAACACAATATTTTGATGAAAATGGACACAGGTTCAAACCACAGATGCGATCCATAGTTCATTCCACTATCCACTCCACTGTGGCATAAGCCGCAGTCTGAATATAAAACAATTAAAGCCGATCGCCTGATGACGCAGCTACGGCGCTCCACGAATTATCAACAATATACCACTTATTTAGATACCGAGGTTCACGTTGACATATTGGGGCAAGAAAGGTGACTGAATTACATCAAACATCTCGCCAAGTCGAGATGACGACTTGCCAAAATAAATTATCTCCTCGGGTGGGTGATGAGGCTATGGTGTTGAGATGACCGTGTCTTGGCGAGATAAAGTTTTCTTACTGGTGGCGAGATGTCTTGATGAGATAAATAATATCGTCAAGACGGTTTTTATCATGAAGTCGAAGAACTGGAAATCGACTTGGCGAGGTAATCATCTTATTCAAGGGATTGAGCTGCATAATGTACATGAACACGTTCTGTACAGTGTTCTTCAATAAATATTAGTTTGACTCGTCTTCAGACGAAATCTTAAAATGTATCTTTTATTTTACAGATAAATTTAAATTTCTTTTATGTCAAGTTCACGTCCACTACTACCCCAATCTTATTGCAAGCTGCACGAACAGACCCGGCAGTATATCATTTTCCACTTCTTATGCTCTATACAAATTGAATGTGTCATCGAATCTGGTGGGCAGGCGGATGTAGGCCTACACCAAATGTCCGAATCTAAACTTTTAGCACGAGTTGATTTGAAACTGAAGCAACACAATCCGTTACTTTTGAACAGCACACTTTATCAACTTTTTATTGAATTCGTCTAAAAGAAACATTCTAAAACAAATCTTCATGCGTGGCATACGAGCTAAAGATGGGGCAAAAATTAAACAATAGACAATGCATATCCTTTATACAGAGGTCAGTATTGGTGTGAGTAATATATGGAAAAGCACATTTCAACTGTCTGCAATGAGTTATGTTCATTATTCCAATGACTTCATCTGCAATGAGTTATGTTCATTATTCCAATGACTTCATCCTAAAACCACCCTTTATAAAGTCTCTTTAATTGCACTGCAACCTGTATCGTTACAAAACTCATTTCATAAAGTATGTAAACTCTGATAACTCAAAACAACTGTTAAGTCAAACAAAGAATCCATTCCCTTCAGTAGTATAACAATGATATACAACCCTAACTCGAACTCTGCTTAAGTCGAATTTTGAACCATTGTTCCCTTGAGGTTCGACTTATTGAGATTTCACTGTATTAGGCTTGGGAACGTATCCCTAATATGTTTCCTCCAGACCCGACGCCGGGTTATCCCATTTGTGAATGCATGCTTGGTAAACATGAATCCAGCAAAAGAAAGTACATGTACAAACATGTATATACGAACGATATGATTCTGATAAAGAGGTGGGAAGCAGTCAACCCAACAAGAACTGAATAACAAAACTGCATTCCTTTAAAAAAGTTCAATAATAGCTAATTTCATAATACCTTGAGTATCTCCAGCTCCAATGCTCATCAGGAATTCGACATATAGAGCTGGAGCTAAAACTATACTAGATTCTAAGAGTCCCAAAATCGGGACTCTCTGTATCTGGATCACAAAAATGGTCCTTTCCCCTCTATTATCCCAACCCAGATTCCATTAAACATTATAAAGACATGTTTAATTGAAACTGGGTAAATATATTTAAGGGTAAAAAGAACCATTTTTGTGATACAGTTACAGAGAGTCCCAATTTTTAGGGACTCTTAGAATCTAGTTTCTACAACATAGTTTTAGCTCCAGCTCTTTATTATGTTGAATTCCTGATGAGCATTGGAGCTGGAGTTACTCAAGCTAATCTCATAATAAGAACAGGTCAACATATATTCTTTAGTACAATTGTCTGAAACCATGCATCTTATAATAACCTTTACAAATTTTAGCTTTTGGCATGAGTTGTAGCATGCAAATTAACACATAACATCAAAATCCCATACATAACATTTTATACAATTTGTCTAAAGGTTGCAAACCCACATAAAGGTCAAGGGTCATGTAGATCCTACAGACCAAGGGGCTCATTTGCTAACAAAATGAGCAAACAACTAAAAAAATGTATAAACGTCTTAACAAAATTCTGAAGGCAAAGATCAGTATTTAACTGATCTAAAAAGGAAAGTATAGAGAAAACAGACATTGCTTTTGAACGGTGATAGATTATAAGTTTTGGGTCCTACCAATTTAAATGGACGGTTCGTGAATAGGGTGCATCCTGTCGTGTTTCCGTGGCCACTTTGCCAAATAAAGAAAGGCTTTACCACATAAGCAAATGGTTCACCAACAGTGTGTACCTTGCAATGTTTGCATAGATTACTTCGACTTGAGGCTTAATCGCAGGTCTCACAAAACAATTGGATTCTCACTAGCGTGTGCCCTTTCATGTATGTTTGGATGACTTTAAGAGAAGGCTGTAGTGCAGCTCTCACAAAAATGGTTTGCAATAAGTGTGTACCCTGTTATGCTTATGTACCCTGTTGTGCTTACATAATTCACATTGATATCTAAAGGCAATACCACAGGTCTCATAAAGAAAATTGTTTCTTACCAGTGGCACCATTTTATGTTGGCTTGGAGAGTCTCGCACAGAAAAGGCTTTACCACAGGTCTCATGGTGTCACACCCATGTGTCCTTCTATATGTCTGTAGAGTTCACTTTGACACGCAATGGCTTCACCACAGATCTCACAAACAAATGGTTTCTCATCAACAGTGTGGATCAATTCCTGTCTGCTTAGACCACCAGTGTGGACCTTGGTATGTTTTTTAAGACTACTTCGGTGAGAATAGGCTCTACCACAGGTCTTACAGACAAATGGTTTCTCACCAGTGTGGACCCTGATATGTGTTTGAAGATCATCTCGCTGAGAGAAGGCTTTACCACAGGTCTCACAAACAAATGGTGTCTCGCCAGTGTGTACCCTGTCATGTCTGCGTATACAAGTGTGAGTAGCAAACGCTTTACCACAGGTGTCACAAACAAATGGTTTCTCACCAGTGTGAACTCTCTTGTGCTCAACTAGATTATACCTACGAGCAAATGCTCGACCACAGGTCTCACAAACAAATGGTTTCTCACCAGTGTGTATCCTATAATGTATGTTTAGTTGACTATGAAATTTAAAGGCTTTACCACAGGTGTCACAGACACATGGTTTCTTACCAGTGTGAATCCTGTCATGTATGTTTAGACCTTTTTGATGTGAGAAGCCTTCACCACAGATTGCACAAACAAATGGTTTCTCACCAGTGTGAACCCTCTTATGCGTACTCAGACGATTGCTGTGGGAAAATGCTTGACCACAGGTCTGACAAACGAACGGTTTCTCACCAGTGTGGATCCTGATATGTGACTGAAGGCCACTTCGCTGAGAGAAGGCTCTACCACATGTCTCACAAGCAAAGGGTTTCTCACCAGTGTGCACCAGGTGATGTTTGTTCAAATTACCTCGCAAAGAAAAGGCTTTACCACATGTGTCACAAACAAATGGTTTCTCACCAGTGTGAACTCTCGTGTGTTCCCTTAGACTTATCCTCCGACAAAATGATAGACCACAGGTCTCACAAACAAAAGGTTTCTCGCCAAGGTGTATCATCTCATGTCTATTTAGTCCACTTTGGAATTTGAAGGCTTTACCACAGGTGTCACAATCAAATGGTCTCTCACCGTTGTGGACCCTGATATGTACTTTCAGGTGACTCTGTTGAGAAAAGGCCTCACCACATGTGTCACAAGGAAATGTTTTCTCAAGAGTTTGGTCCCCATTGTGCATGCTTAGGTGAATTTGATGAGAAAAGGCTGGACACAGGTCTCGCAAACAAATGTTTTTGGGCCAGTGGAATCCCTTTTATGTCTTCTCAGAACTTGTCCAAAAAAAAATGGCTTGATCTTGGATTTCATGAACACTTTCTCACCAGAATGCAGTCAGTTGTGTAAGTGTAGACTACCCGTCTGGGAGTAGGTCTTTACGGCATGCCGAGGATTATTTGAGCATCATCACAGGGGCTGGATAGTAATCTTCCTGATGGATGGAGGCGACTGGAAACAGAAAGCGCTTGAATGGTGTTGACAGACGAGAGGTGGGCTCTCTAATTTGTTCTGAAAAAAAAAAAAATGAATACAAAACGAAATTGGTTCATTTTCAATTACAAGCTACAAACACTGCATTTCTACACTATAGCCAAAAAGCATTTGCAGAAGAATTTTGTCTTCACGCAAATGTTGAATTTGTCTCATATTCCATTCTCTTTCATAATGGGACAGGTTGCCTGGTCGAACTCGCCTGGTCTAGCTGCTGAGTTTCACTTGGAACTGGATTTTGCCTGAAATTTACGTAACTTCATAACATCTTTATCGACTATAGATTGTTTATAATGTAATTTGAACCTTAAATAAGGCAATACTACAACATCTGCATGTGATTTTAAGTGTTTATAGTGTATTTTAAGTGATTCTGGGGAATTTGGCACATTTTTGATTAATCTGACAGATTTTTAAGTGCACTTAGCAGAATTTGGGCATGACCTTACGGTCACCCTGGTTAGATCCTGCTAACTTTTTCAAGCTAACAGCCGAGTTGAAGTCAATGAAGAGGCCTGCCGATTGATATTGTACAGATGCAGGTTCAAGGGTTCAACGTGCGATGGATTACTGGATTCACTTGTTATTACTGCGTGTTTGCGATTCGGGCGATTCACAATGCAGTGCACCACCAAGAGTTTGCCGTAGAGAGTCTATTTTCAAGTTTGGCCCATTTGAACAAGTGTCATCAGTAGACAACTTGAGCTAACTTGTTGTAGATTGGGGCATAATAGCGGAATAAAAGGAAAAGAAAAGTGCAAACAGATACCAGAACTCAAATCACACATTTGTGAAACTACTGACCGGAAAAACCGACAATTTCCAGATGTCCTGCCCTTCAAATTTGTCAACCATCGCCCACAATGCACTGGGAAAAATTAACTCTGTGGTAAACTCTTGGTGGCGCACTGCACTGTAAATCTCCCAAATTACAAAATCATCACATATGACTGGATGTTACCTTCTTGATGTCTCTCCTCGACTGATTAAAGAATCAGCTGTTTCCACACAGGACTTGGTTGTCAGTCTTGCCCCCTGCCTGGAAAATACAAACAAAATGAAACATTCTGATTCTAGTTAGTCCAGAACTGTGTAAAGTTTCATAAACCTTACAGCAAAGGAGCTTGAGCAACTCCAGCCCTAAAATGCGCACGGCATTGGAAAATTCGCGTTTCCCAGTGCCATGAGCGTTAGGGCTGGAGTTACTCACGATTTATCTACACTTCCCCAAATTTCTCGGGTAACATGCGTGAAACGGCCCTTGCGCATCGTGCTTGCGCATGTCTTAGCGCGCGACTGCAGTCAAATTTCTGACGGGTTTCAATGAGATTTCATGTAATGCGCCTGCAGCTGTCGATGACTCACGGCGCGCGCAAATAAGCCTCTGAATGACGTCACAGTTTGTTTACATGTGCACTTTTCTAAGGAGCAAGTGGGGGCCCACAGTCAATGAGCACCATAGGAAAGCACACACGTAAACAAAGTGCGACGTCATTAGGACTGAGGCTTATTGTTCTACATGTTCTATTTGTTGTTCTATGCGGGGGCGCGGCATATCACGTATCGACAATCCGTTCAGTGCATTTTGGCCATAGTAATTATTAATTAATTATTCACACACACACGACTAACAACAGAGGGTGCTTTTTCGAATGCGTCTGCATCTTAGTGTGATGTCATTAAGTACAACCTCGTTTCCATGGGTATGCGATCTTCCTGCGCCATGTTGTTTCCCATCATGCCTTGCACGATCTTAACCCCCGGAACTGCCTAATTTAAATGTGTCAAATAGTGACACATTTAAATTAAAGGGAATATACATCATTTGCTTTTGCTGTAATTTTCAGAAATGGATGGAATTGGGGGATTGGAAATATAAAGCAAATATAGTTACACTGACTTTTTGGAGGTTTTGGGTTCGAAAATGCTATAAAAACCAAGAAAAACGATCATTTACCTGTAGTCTGGTTCCCTGACTCCATATAAGAAGAAACAGAGCAGTTTACATACATTGGGGAATTGTAAGGTCAGGGAACCAGTCTAGCTGGCTCGTACCCGTTCATAGGTTTGTAATCGATTGCAAACAAGTGCAATAGTCAATTGGGGCCAGTATTTGAAAAAAAGCCAGTTGTTTCCAACGCTGATCGGCCGATCAGCGTTGGAAATTGATACAAAAATACCACTTTTCTTGAAAATGACAGTATACCAGGTGCCATAATTTTACAGGATGCTTTAGACTGTCATTTACCAACGTCCTATTAAGGTATTTGCAAAAACTTGGTAGTTTTATTTTTCGATGTTTGCAAATGTTGTATATTCCCTTTAAGACTGCAGTCGATGTAGGCCTATCTAAGTCAAACTCTGATTTAACTCAAAACAACTGTTAAGACAAACAAAGAATCCATTCCCTTCAGTAGTATCACAATGATATACAACCCTGCTTAACTCAAAACTCTGCTTACATCAAATTTGGAACCTGTTCCCTTGAGGTTTGACTTATCGAGATTTCACTGTAAATGAACATATCTTTCCTCCGTTTACAATGGAAGATACAGGGTTTATTTGACGAAAAATGAGAATATACCGTAGTCCATATCATATAGGCATCGTGCAGTTTAAAAAATATTTATTCGTACCTGACGTGACATGCACAGCACGTGAGCGCATATAGGGCGTGCAGTCTTCGAAATACACACGCAGTACGCTCTGAAAAGCAGCATGGTCAGCATCATTTACGTGTTCATCAGGGCCAGGGGTAATGAAGGACTCAATGCGCATGCACCCATGGAGTCGAGGCTGCATTAAGTAGCATTGGAACATTGGCATTGGCTAAAGTAAATGCAGATTGAGTGTTTATCCAATGGAGCTTGTAATCAGTATTGCACGCGTATGCATGACCAAGTCACTTAAGTCACGTGTCTAGGCTAATAAAACCTAGACACGACATTTACTACTTTAATGTTGTAAAAAATTGTCTGAGCAAAACAGGCCGCGTCACGTGGCCTGTGATGCGACGCGTACGCGCACAGCCGATGATCTGGCTGCAAACAATACGCGTGGGATTCAGTGCCGGCTATTTCAACAATCAATAATAAAGCGGTAATTATACTCAGACTCACAAAAAGATTTGGAACATGACAACTGACTTTTATGTGTATGTGCCACAGTCTAAAGTTTATTTCATACATTGTGCCGGAGAGTGAATTTCAAGAAAAACCGGACGCTCAATCAAAATAGTGGGTACACCAGACACAAGACCCAAAGAGTAACATGCCTACATTTTGTTAACGAAAAAGATCAAACCATTCAACACTAAAATGCAAAAAAAAGCACAGCAAATTAACATTACAAATAAATGCACAGGTACACATTAAAATAGCTTTACAATAAGCATACGCATTAATACGTAACAGACAAATAAGGTAGCTCCACAGCCGCGGACATATCCATATTGGAAAAAATCAACACTTTAAAAAAATGTATAATCATAAAGTAAGATGATTTTTAAAGGAACAGTTGATCAGCTGTGTTTTATGGGTACAGAGGGTAACACCTCTATGTTCCGACACCCCTATGTTTCGACTGCACATCTTCCTATTCCTAACCCTAACCCTAACCGGGAGTAACACAATCTAGGTTGTCGGAACATAGGGGTGTCGGAACATAGAGCAGTCACCGTACAGAGAGACATACCGGGTACAGTCCAAAAAGGCTCAATCACATATTCCCGAAACAAATGGTTTTTATCTAGCCTGCACCCTTTTGAGTGTGCTTAGAGAAACTGTAAGTAAAGGCTTCATCCAGGCTGGGACATGAAAACTTGTCCCTCACCAGTGTGCAACATTTCATGTTTGGTTTGTTAACGTACAAGTACATGACTTTGACTTTAGGCTGTACTATAGGTCTATGGGCTCCGTGCGCCAACAAAAGAGGGCGCATTTTTTACTACTTTTGAGAGCACTGTGGACGGGACACACAGCGGGAGTGTACTGAACTGTACTGATATCGCTCGCGAAGTACGCATAATTTTCGGAATGTACAAAAGCTATTAGCCACAGCTTCTTAGCATGAGCGTCGATCAGGCTTTGTCGGCGGGCGAATACATTCAAATTTAACTTGCTAAGGTCTCTGAGTCCCACACTAATCCTCGCCCTCAACAACTTTGGATCATTTGAAATACGCAGTGGATGGACCGGGAACCAGTCTAGGTCATTCCCAACTCTCCTTTTCTGGCCTTTGAAGGAGTACTAAAGGTGCACGGAGCCCATATGGTTTCTTACCAGTTTAGACTACATGTACATGTAACCCTCAGAAAACTGCTTTACCAAAGTACATATCTCACAAACAAACTTGGTTCAATTAAGTCCTTGTCAATGGGCACCCATGCCTGTTTAGACTACGTTGAACAGAAAAGGCTTTACCACAGGTCTCACAAACAAATGGTTTCTCATCACTATGGATTCTTTGATGCATGCTTAACGTACTTCGCTGAGAAAAGGCTTTACCACAGGTCTCGCAAACAAATGGTTTCTCACCAGTGTGTAACCTTTCATGTCTGTTTAGACTTATGCGTTCAGAAAAGGATTTACCGCAGGTCTCACAAACGAATGGTTTCTCACCAGTATGAACCCTGACGTGTGCCTTCAGATGATTTCGCTGCGAAAAGGCCTTGCCGCAGGTCTCACAAACGAATGGTTTCTCACCAGTGTGTATTCTGGCGTGTTCTATTAGACGAGGTCGCGCAGTAAAGGCTTTACCACAGGTCTCACACGCAAATGGTTTCTCACCAGTGTGAATTCTTGCATGTTCGTTAAGTCGGTGTTGCACAGAAAAGGCTTTACCGCAGGTTTCACAACCAAATGGTTTCTCGCCAGTATGGACCCTTTCGTGCTTGGTTAGATCACCTCGACCAGAAAAGGCTTTGCCGCAGGTCTCACAAGCAAATGGTTTCTCACCAGTGTGCACTATTAAATGTATGCTTAGACTACCTTGCCGACAAAAGGTTTTATCACAGGTCTCACAAACAAAGGTTTTCTTGTGCACCGCTTTGTGTCTGTTCAGACTTCCTTGCTCAGAAAAGGCTCTGAGACAAACTTCACAAACAAATGGTTTTTCTTCAGAATGAAACCTCTCGTGTGCGTGTAGATGACTTTCACTAGCAAAGGCTTCACCACAGGTCTGACAAGCTATTGGTTTCTCTCCAGTGTGTACCCTTTTGTGTTTGCTTAGACTATCGTTCCGAGAGAAGGCTTTACCACAGGTCTCACAAACAAATGTTTTCTTACCAGTGTGCACCACTTCGTGTCTGCTTAAAGCACCTGGCCAAGAAAAGGCTTTACCACAGGTCTCACAAACAAACGGTTTCTCTCCAGTGTGTACCCTGAAATGTGCATCAAGTTGACTTCGAATGGGAAAAGCTTTTCCACAGGTCTCACAAAAAAAATGATGTCTCACCACTGTGGCACCATCATACATGTACATGTATGTGCCTTTAGATATGTACGCCAACAAAAAATACCTTACCATGTAGGTGTTGCAAGTTAATGTTTTCTCATCTACCTTTTTCACACCAAGTGTTCTAAATGGAATGTACCTTGCAATGTTTTTAAGAGAAGATTACACTGACTTGCAAAGACCAAAGGTCTCACACACACACACAAAAAACGGTTCCTAACAAATGTGTTCCATTAGATGTTTGCTTAAATGACTTTGATCTCTAAAGCCTTTACCATAAGTCTCACATACAAATTATGTTTTCTCACCAGCATGTATCTTGGCATGTCTCTTTAGTTCTCTTAGTGCAGCGAAGGCTCTACCACAGGTTTCACAAGCAAATGGCTTCTCACCAGTGTGGACCCTGACATGTCTGGTAAGACTAACTTCCTGAGAAAAGGCTCTACCGCAGGTCTCACAAACAAATGGTTTTTCACCCGTATGAACCCTGACATGTGCCTTAAGATTAGTCGGACACGAAAATGCCTTACCGCAGGTCGCACAAACGAATGGTTTCTCGTTAGTGTGCACCTTGCTATGACTTTTAAGATTAATTCGTTGCGAAAAGGCTCTACCACAGGTATCACAAACAAATGGTGTCTCACCAGTGTGAACACGATCGTGTCTGTTTAAAGTACCTTGCCGGGCAAAGGCCTTACCACAGGTATCACAAACAAATGGTTTCTCACCAGTATGCACCCTGATATGTCCTTTAAGATGATTTACATTAGCGAAGCCTTTCCCACAGGTGTCACAAACAAACGTTTTCTCACGAGTGAAGTCCCTCTTATTCATGCTTAGATGAACTTGATAACAAAAGGCAAGTAGCACTGTTCTCAAAATTGTTCGCGTCACTGGAATTCCTTCTATGTCTTCTCAGAACTTTGTCCAAAAATAGCTTTATCCAGGATCTCACAGTTAGTTTCTCACCGGTATGCAGTCCGTTGTGTTAGTGTAGACTACCAGCCTGAGAGTAGGTCTTTACGGCATGCTGGGGATTATGTGAGCATCATCACACAGGCTGGATGTTCATCTTCCTGATGTCTGGCAGTGATTGGATCCAACTCACAAGATTTCACAACAGAAAGCGCTTTGCAGTCGGTATTGTCAGACAACAGGACTTCTCTCTAATTTGTTCAGAGAAAATTTTTTTTAAAAATAACCAAAAATCATTCATTTTACTTACAAGCTACAACACGCTGCATTTCTACAATCTAGCCATAAAGCCTTTGCCAAAGATTTGTGCACACACACACGTTTTGTTTGTTTCATGATCTGATCTCAACCCAAACCCCCAAGGGTTCCTCATGCCTACCCTGCTAAATCCAATAGAGTCCAATGGTTACTTCCTCTTAATCCAATAGAAGCCACATGTGCCAAATTTTTAATTGCCTGCTGGATCCAATAGAGTCCAACTTGGCATTATCATCAGTACCCAACCAAATTTGACTCTGAATATGTACATGTTTATTGGTACAAGGGGTTAATTACTGCTCAACCAAAAAGGCTCCAACAGGTTTATGACATAGTTGGATCCTGTTGGATTCAGCAGGATTTTCAATTATCATTTTCACTACAGTCTAGTAATATTGTTATTCATTCCTTATTACAGGGGGGGGGGGGCGCCATTAAATCCTCAAAGTAGGTTTTGTACAAGTTTTGAGAACATTACGGCAATTATACTTTGAAACTGTGGAACTTTCGCATACAATTTGAGAGGTGTAGTAATTGGCTTTTGTCACATCCACATTCCTAACACAAATTGAAAACAAGTGTTAACGTCGCTAATAACGAACATCCTGGATCCACAGAAGGTTTTTGTAATAGCGATCATTTGGTATGCTTTCAGGTCAACTCGGTCCGTGACCAACTCGGTCCGAGTCGACTCGGTCCGCAACCGACTTGGTTAGTGACCGACTCGGTCCATGACCAACTCGGTCCGCGACCAACTCGGTCCATAACCAACTCGGTCCGTGACTGACTCGGTCCGTGACTGACTCGGTCCGTGACCAACTCAGTCCGTAACAAGCTCGGTCCCTATGGGAAAATGTACGCAAAAAGATTGCATTTTTTTATTTTAGGCGGCCCACCCCTTCGCCCGTGCCCGCTGAGCTGAGGTTGCACAGACAATCAAAATCCACATAGGGCCCTACATGTAAAATATTCAAATGCTGCTTTGCCGTTATTCACTACACACACCCCACTGTCAGTGACATCCTAGACCTTACGGTTACATACTTATTTATTGCGGCCAGGCGCGGCACTGTCACCGGTGCACCGGCCGTGCATCAAGGCGATGGCCAGTGGGGCTGTGCGGCCAGGTGCGGCACTGCCAAAGCAGTGCACCGTGCCGATGGCCGGTCCGCCGTGCACCGTGGTGATGTTCGGTGCGGGGATGTGCGGCCAAGGGGCGGCACTGCCACGGGCTGTGCACCGTGCCGATGGCCGGTGGGGCTGTGTGGCCAGGCGCGGCACTGTCACCGGCCGTGCACTGTTTTCTTCACAACTGTCCGAACGCACCCAGCTGGATACATACTCCCAAGGCCCGCCGCGCGCCGGGTCATACGGGTGACCGAAGGGCTGGCAACCCGGCATGCCGCGGCAGCGCAGCCTTCATACGGGTGACCAAAGGGCTGGCAACCCCGGCATGCCGCGGCAGCGCAGCCTACATGTACGACGTAGCCTCGGCACACCGTGCTTGAAACTTATTTCAAAGCTCTTATTTTTATTTAAGCTCCACAAGCTATCCCAGGCCTGAGCCGTCCACATGCTACCTAGAAATTGAGGCGACAGAAACTACATGTATAAAGTGCGTACGGAGATCATTCTGGAAAAAAACCACGCACTCGAGACCGCCTTGCTTTGTTACAAGCAAATGCAGTCGTATTGGGCACATTTTCCCATAGGGACCGAGCTGGTTGCGGACGGAGTTGGTTACGGACTGACTTGGTTACAGACCGAGTTGGTCACGGACCGAGTTGACTCGGACCAAGTTGGTCACAGACCGAGTTGACCGGCACCCTTTGGGCTTAGCTATTTTCAAACAACAGTGGCGCCCTAGTTGACTATTGTTATATTGTACTTTGCATTTACACACCACTAAAATAATAGCGGCCAAATGTGTTCATTCATCTTTTCAATTAGCAGAACTTTACACTGTTCTAGCCCTGGTACACATGTAGTTACAGTAAGACTACTTTGAACATGTGTGACTATTGAATAACAGTACACAATTTTTTTAGCTTACACGTGTGGCTTTTCCCTTCTATTCATAACGGCTATTTGTGGCCTTTCTTCTGACATTTTCCAACAAGAACGTTCAGTACGATTTGGACACAGAAATCGGGAGCAAAAGTTGACGTTTGGTATAGCCAAAGGCTCGGTATACTAGCAGTGTTATATCCACGTTCCACTGTAATTTGAGTTGTAATGTAGATGGTAGAATGTGTGATGAGATTTTGGGAATTTTAAGCAAAGATCCTGCTTAATTCTTCAAGCTTGCAGCATGGTACGGTACTGGTGCAGGTTTAACAGTTTCATTTCGACATTATAGGTTTTGTGGATGTGTGATGGAATAAACTAATGCATCAGTCCCATGTAACATGTGTTTAGGCAATCATCAGTCTTACTACTACATGTCTTAAAGATTATGGAATCAATGCATGGACTGGATGTTACCTTCTAGAAGTCTCCTTGATGAATTAAGAATCAGCAGATTCCACACAGGCATGACAGGACGGGACGCGATTTTCTGTGTTGCCACCTGAAGAATGCAATGGGAATGCATACATTTAAACATTAGCACGTATACTAATATTTGATTCCATCACATTGATAAGAAATATTTAGATACCTGTTTGGAATCAAAAATACATATACTGTATTGCAGCAACTTAGCTTTCGACGTCATCGCGACATCTTCATTCAGCATATAATTAAACCACTCCGGTCATGTGACCGCCTTTTGGGCGATAGTTATCGTAGACGGCTGGCAAGCCGTATCCAGTAACATCTCTGTTAAGGCATGGAGAGGATGGCTTGTAGGATAAATGACGGGAGTGGTTTAATTCACTACGCTGAATGATAACGTCCAGTTTCCCAACCTACTGAGGAGTTTAGTCCAAACACTGGCGCATATGGACTCCAGAAAGATGTCTAAATTTCTCGAAAAATTTGAAGAAAGATTACTAACATGACTAATCTACCCAGAGGGCAATTCTTGGCGGTAGGATATCCATATGAACATGATGAATGAACCTAGGACTACAGGGGCACTGGCACACTGGAGCAGTGGAGGTGCGGAGCCTTGGAATTGCGGAGTCATGCGCCGGTAGAGGGTGCAATTCTCAGAGGTAGCCTAGGTCGACTGCGGCACCACGGCTCAACGCATTCATACGGAGGCGCGGATGTAGAGTGGAGTGGCCCTGTATTCTATAGTTGTGCTAGCTGGAGTTACCCAGCCCTAAATTTTATCATTGGGTAGTCATTTAGGGCTGGAGGACATTTTTCACGCGAACCAGCAGAGTTGGCAGGTCCAAAAAAAAATTCGAGAACTCACCCAAACCTTGCCTGGAATAACCATTACACAGGTCCTTGAAGTAAAAAACGATCCACTATGAAGATTCAGCCTACAATTGCAGAGAAAAAAGGAGGCATAAACCGACAACCGTGCGGTCATGGCGAGGACCGCAATTGGATTTGTGCACAACGCGTTTACCAGTTCATTCTTGCCGGCTGCGCTGGCTGATGGCGCATGACGTCACGTGGAAGCGGAATACCCGAGGACTGTTTCATGCACGATAACCGGCTAACTTTGGTTGCCGTCCAGTATCGCAGCTATGATGCGAGTGATAAACCTTAACAATCGTCGGGTATTCCGCTTCCGCGTGAGTGACGTCATGCGCCATCAGCCAGCGCAGCCGGCAAGAACGAACTGGTAAACGCGCTGTGCACAAATCCAATTGCGGTCCTTGCCATGACCGCACGGTTGTCGGTTTATGCCTCCTTTTTTTCACTGCAATTGTAGGCTGAATCTTCATAGTGGATCGTTTTTTACTTCAAGGACCTGTGTAATGGTTATTCCAGGCAAGGTTTGGGTGAGTTCCAGATGAAATTAGTGTGTAACAGGGACAAAATTGCACATTTTCGAAATTGTTTCGAATTTTTTTTTTTTGGACCTGCCAACTCTGCTGGTTCGCGTGAAAAATGTCCTCCAGCCCTAAATGACAACCCAATGATAAAATTTAGGGCTGGGTAACTCCAGCTATACTATAGTTGTGCCAATTCCATGATCAAAATCTCGCACTGATGGGTTTCATCCCGGCAATAAGCGACCAATTGTGCTCATGATCGTCACTGAAAAGTACATGGACAACCACACATCCACGACTGGCATGAGTAGGCCCCTACCCGGCCCCGTGGTGGATCATTCATTGCAAGCAATATGTACTCCTTGAACTATGAGGCTCCACGTTGCTCCACTACGTGGAGCCTCATACTAGTTCTAGGAGTATGCAATATGCGGGTGGAGCTAGCTGCAGCTGGCCAACAACCATGTCCATAACGAATGTCAGACAAGTCGACCGTTGAGACAACTCGACTGGGGACAAGTCGACCGTTGAGACAACTCGACCGTTGAGACACGTTGACCGTTGAGACAAGTCGACCGTTGAGACAAGTCGACCGTTGAGACAACTCAACCGTTGAGACAGCTCGACTTAATGGAATTAAAATGTATACACGTGGAGCGGAAAAAGTTGCATGGCAGATCCCGGGCGTGGCGCAGGCATACTCGATGCAAAGAGGGCGCTCCGATCCGGTGGCTGTCGCGTTGGGCCGGCGCGCCCCCCGCCCGCGAGGACCGGGCCCGGCCCGGCACGCGGGCACGTCGACCGGCGCGGCAAGTGGGCGCACTAAGCCCGGCACAAACGATGTCACCGTGCACGGTATGGCCATGTTGACCGACCGGGGATGGGATAAGTGGGCGCACAGGGCTGGCAAAAACAATGTCACCGTGCACGGTACGGACAAGTTGACCGGCAAATGGGCACACAGGCCCGGCCGCAAAAACGATGCCACCGTGCACTGTACGGCCACGTTGACCGGGGATGCGCGCACAGGCCCGGAAAAAATGAACGATGTGCACGGACAATCACGCTGCGCTATATGGGCTCTGTTATTATATGCAACAAAAAAACTCCCAAACGGCGATCAGCCGCCGTCAAAATTCCCGGTACTATCCCCAAAACTAGGCCCCAAATGCGAGGCGACTTGTCTCAACGGGCGACTTGTCTCAACGGTCGACTAGTCTTTCCATTTATCGCACACACGGTCGAGTTGTCTCAACGGTCGAGTTGTCTCAACGGTCGACTTGTCCCGAGTCGAGTTGTCTCAACGGTCGACTTGTCCACCCTCCATGACAACGCTATTCAGTATTGGGCAGAAAATCAAATTAAGATTGGAATTATTTTGTCACTTTATAATCATATAATCATGCTTACATACGTTACAGCTGCAAAAAAAGTTTAACTCATTACCTACAGAGGTCTTGTTCTCTTGTAAATTTAGGTTTAAATCGGACCATAGAGCAAGGAATGTGTTTTATAAGGAACAGTCTCCTTCCGATTGTTCACGAAAGCATACGCTCTAAACTCTAGAATTGAAAGAGAATTGGAGCGCCCTCATCAGTCGACGGCAAACTACGACTAGTACTCGAGTACGAGAACGGTGATGGACCGGACCCACGTCAGAGATTTAGGCCGGTGACGAATGAAGTTCTGGATTCTAAATTTCACATTTTTGTTGACATTTAAGAATTTTCAACCCACCTTAGAGGTACCTATCCATATCAAGGTAATACTTGTGAAATAATGAGGCTGAACATTTTGTGACAGGAGAGTTTGGAGGTCCGTAAAAAATTGAGAATTTTCTGCCGGGCACCGTATCATGTGTTATATTTCTCCTAGCCCCATAAATGTGGCCTATTTACTGGACTGCCTCCGTAAACATAGGCCACACATCCACATGTACAAAACTCGTGTCGACGGAGCCAAATTTTGATTTTCACATTTAGGATTAGTTTGTAGGGTTTTTTTGCTTTAGAAGCATACTCACCCTCTTTATAGGCTAATCAGAAAGTGCTGCCTTTTTCAGATGTATATTTTTCGTGAAATTTCCAGATTCATTTTTACACGTTTGCGTATCAAAATTTCAACATGAAATTTCACAAAAATTAGACATCTGAAAAAGGCAGCACTTTCTGATTAGCCTATAAAGAGGGTGATTATGCTTCTAAAGCAAAAAAACCCTACAAACTAAGCATAAATGTGAAAATCAAAATTTGGCTCCGTCGACACGATTTTTGTACATGTGGATGTGTGGCCTATGTTTACGGAGGCAGTCCAGTAAATAGGCCACATTTATGGGGCTATATTTCTCCATGCATTAACCAGCACTCTGCACCGGTCCATGGCCACAGATCAGACTCGTGAACGTGGCGTTGTACACAGTCTAGACTACGGAGAGTGAAGAAAATTTTCTAAGTTAATTAAGTTACTAAAGTGCTTCCTATAGTCCCACTATCTGGGGCGCTAGAACTCCTTTTTGACATAGGCCTATGGCCGTGGGATGTTGGTCTCTCGTAAAAGTATTGACAGACTAGACCGACATCCCAAATGTCAAAAAAAGGAGTTCTAACGCCCCAGTTAACATGGTTAACATGGTTAATGGGACTATTCCTATCCTAATTGGAAATATTTCTCAGTTCCAGATTCATGTCTTCATCATCATTTTTGCAATTTCCTGCAATGAGTTTTGAGATGAAATATGAAGAAAAAAGTGGCGTCACGTTACAACATTCTTTCCCAAAAATCTGTTAAATCACCTAGAATTACACGAAATACACATGAAATACATTGTAAACTCTTATCACACATTGCCACATGCAAATGCTGTAAAATTTTCTTAAACAAAAACCAAATCATAACATTTCCTTTAATTAAACAAATTAAATCACCAAATATTTAAAAAACAATTGAACATGTCTAGCTTGGCTTGCAATGGTTTAAAGTACTTGGAAAAAATGTTGCAACCTGATGCCACTTTTTTTCTTCATGTACCATCTCAATGAAAGTCATTCATTGCAAAAATGATGATATTGAAATCTGGGCATGTCTGGAACTGCAACTGTGGGGTAACTATAGAATGCAGGGCCACGCCGGGAAAGATTTTATTTTGTAGTTGGATGCGATGTTAGGAGTGGGGTCGTTGAGTAAAATGGCACTCTTTTGAGAACAAAGCAATGTACGGGTATGAACCATAGATGAGCATATAGATATTTTTTTAAAAATAGAGGGCGGTATAAAGAGTGAATGGGCATGAAGTAAATTGTGATCAATACCATGATCAATAGAGGGCCCTGTAGAGAGTGAATTATTGACAAGTAAACTTAAAGGCAGTGTATATTTTGCCTTTAGTAAACGTTAGTTTGCCGGACATGCGCAGTTACTGTTTTTTTGTACTTAAACATTTTCCGGTGACAAATTTTAGTCTGGCTCCATGCCAAAATTATCGTTGTAACCTCGTATTCACAAGATGGGATTCAGACCATTTTATAATTTCGGACTTTATTTCCCTTTTAAAAAAAAACCTCCAGAGCCACAAATCTGAAAAAGAAAATGTAATACTCTGCAAAAAAATGTTTGAGACATGTTAAAATAATAAAAGAAGAATATTCTTATTTATTTGGGGATGAGAATTTTTTTTTTTAAATGTGGTGCGGTCGGAATCGAACCCGAGTCATCCCGCTTACTAGAGCCTTTGCTTAACCACTACACCAAACGTGCTACACAACTTTTGGTGGGAATTTAATACATCTTATAATTCAGCCCTATCTTAAAGAGTACAGCGCCCTCTGTTGATATGGATTTCCGCCGGCAAACCTTTAGTAAACGTTAGTTTGCCGTCATTACCTCCGGCAAAATATCCACTATCAAACTTAAACTATGTATACAGTTACAGGTATCTAGTAAGACGGCTTGGGATGCCGTGGATGCGCCGATGCACGAATGCGGGGTGGATGGGCATGAAGTCATCAATAATAGAGGGCGCTTTATTTTACCAAGTTGTACTGTGTTTACCCTACGACCCACTACTTGATTTCCCTGTCTAAAACCTACCCCAACGTACCCACTCATTCCGTCTTGGATGTGTGGATGCATCCAAGACGGAATGGAGTGGCCCTGTATTCTATAGTTGTACCATTTCCAATTTTGTGAGGAAATAATTTTTTTGACTCTCCATAGACTTTGTACATCGCGGAAGTGGCGTCAGGTTGCAACATTTTTGCCAAGTACTTTCAGACTTAAGGCCCCCCCCCCAAAAAAGTACTCGGTCTCTGGTCAGCGCGCATGTCGATTTTAACCATGCGTGTCAACTTATTTTTTTGTCTTCAAATTAACACGGAAGCCACAACAGCGCCCTCTATCGCTGCACCTCCTCAAACTTTTGTACCAAGGAGCACCAAGGAATGGGGAAATTGCACCAAGGCAAATGATCAAGGGCACCGAGGCAAATTAGGGAGGACACCAATGTATAATAAGACAAAAAAAAAGCAAAATAGTACCCACCATGTCTGTACAATTCAAGCTTGGGGGGGGGGGGAACCCACCAACCCCCCAACCCCCCCCCCCCCCCAAAAAAAACTGTGTCACCGCATCAATTCCGGAGCTTCGGTCTGACCAGAGACCGATCATTATTTTTTTGGGGTCTTACTGTGCACAAATACACGTCATGCAACCACATTTTGAACTTTTTACAAAACAAATCAGCCGTATTTTTCAAATCGGTCATATTTTTCCTGACAAACCACCAATTTTTAATTCTGCTAGAAATCTGCTAAAAAAAAATTTGTTCTGCTGAAGATTCTGTCAAACTTTTTTCAAAAACTTTATTTTTTCGAAAATTTCTGTCAAATTTTCTGCTAACACTTTCACCCTGACACTGACACAACATGTGGTGCCAATAACCATGCTCAGTGCATGCGCACCAGTCAACCTTGCCAACTGGTCCTGCGGCATGCTCGCGCTGAAGCGCACACCCAACGACTGTTTGATGTACAATACTGCACTTACGTTACTAAGAGGCTTGTCACTCGCATCACAGCTGCACGTAGAACGCCCGTAAAGTTGGCCCACAAACAGTCATCGGGTGTGTTCTTGGGCTAATTTCACCCCCTAAACAGTCCTTTAACTGCCTTGTGCACCCCTGTAGGCTTCAGTGTGAATTGATATATACAAATGGTAATGGTAAGGTTTACATACCTTAGGGAAGAAAAGAGAAATTTCACCTGCAACTTTCACCTGCCGCCATCTCAAATGCAAGATGGCGGCCTCCAGCCATGCCAGCACGACGAGGATCAGTTTCCCAAACTGAAAGTAAAATTTCTCTTTTCTTCCAGGTATGTACATGTAGAAATCTTCATCCATCTATAATATAGAGATGATTATTATTAGTTATCTTGCGAGCGCGAGTGGAACACGGAATAATGTAGTGCGTCTGTGTCCCACATACCACGAGGCCAGTATGTGGGACACAAACGCACTACATTTTCCGTGTTCCACGAGCGGGAGCGCGATAACGAATTTATCTTCATGCAAACTTGACGCACAGTAAAGTTGGAACACGCATGCTGTGTAACCTACATGTACGCGCAACTTTTGAATTCACAGTGAATTGTGCAGCACTAATTGCGTCACGTAGGCTTAGAATAGCGCAATACGCGGAGTGCGGTATGAACCATGGCCGAGCGGTATGGTTATATGTAGCACGGCTTGTTGCTATGGATCGACCAATCAGGATCGAGGATTCAAGTTTGCTGGAAGATAATAGGAATTGAATTAATTCAGGAGTAAATGTTAACTTTGCATGTCTCCAAATAGATGGATTAGTTTCGGGATTAAATGTTCATTCGTTTGCGCACCATAATTATTTTGGGTGTTTTAATGCATTTTCCAGGTAGCAACCCTGACAACCAAGTCCCGTTCTGTCTGGAATAAGATGATTCTGAATCGATCAAGAAGACCTCAAGAAGGTAACATCCAGCCAATGTCGTGATTCTCTAGTCTTATGACATGCACTAGCATGATGATTACTTTACATGGGATGATGGGAGTGCTCTCCAGTAATCTATCGCCCATTGACTAAACCAATAACACAACCCCCCCCCCCCTTGTACCATTTCAAAATGCATGCAGTCCTCTCCAACTCCGATGCATATTTGCTTGGAGATGAAAGCAGGATCTTAGCCTTTAAACCCTGTAATTTTCTTCCCGGCCTCCTACATTCCAAAGTTTCAATTTGTCATTGTACATGTAACATGTGAGAAAAAGCCAATCAACCTTGTCAGAACTCTCATTTGTAATGCAAAACCTCCATTATTAGGTGAAGATTTCCTTGTGAAACTGCATCCAAGGGGGCCTATGGGGTAGCCAAGGAGGGGTGTTTGCCCCCCCCCCCACACCCCCAACCCCAACCCAACAAATTCTGGGTGTCCCTCCTAGGTGGCCTCCACAGAAAAATAAAATTGACTTTCCTATAACTGTACGGCGTCATGAAAAAAGAACACCCTCTAGCATCCAAAGAGGTTCAGCCAGCCCACCCCCCCACCCCCCCCCCCCCCACAGTGGCCCCCCCCCCCCCTCATACCTTGCCTCCCCTCCCCCCCCCCCCTTCACACTGCACTGACAGAATGATCTCAAAACCTGTTCACCGATAACCAATTATCACAAAACAGGGAAACATTGGTGTGTAGATGAAAGGCTTTTTCGCTACACTGTAGTAATACATTACTTTGTAGTTTGTGGATTCAATTAATTTATGTTTTGTATTGTTCCCCAGAACCTATTTAGATTTCCTGCTCTGTGTCAACACCGACTAGCAAGTGCCTTCCTCTGTGGAACTTGGTGAATCAGATCCAATCAACCCCAGACAAGACCTCAGGAAGACCAACACAGTCTGTATAGCCAACGTGATCGATGCTCTCATAATCTGCGGCACATGCTGTAAAAGACAGACAGTTGGGATGCAAGGTACTTATTGGATCTGCTGTCAGCCATCCAGATCAGAGAATTGCAAAATGGACACACAAGTGAAAGCGATTGTGGGATTTCACTGTAAATAAATTGTCAATTAAGTCTTAAGCTCAATTCAGTTGTCATCTTTAATGAGTGTCCACACAGGTGAGGAACCTGTGATAACTTCTGGTACCTGTGGTGTAGCCTTTTGCATGCTGTCTAAACAGAAGTGAATGTTAATTGTTAAAAAATCATTTACTTGTGAGACCTGTGGTAAACCCTTTATTCACTGAAATTATCTTGAAGAAATTGAACATAAGGCTGCACTTGATCTGTGATACAGCTATTTCTGTGCGAGGTAGTCTAATCAGATAGAAAATGATGCATAATGATAAGAAACCATTTGTTTGTGAGACCTGTGGTAAAGCCTTTCTTGAGCAAAGCAAACTAAAACGACATAATAAGGTGCATGCTGGCGTGAAATCATTCATTTGTGAGACCTGTGGTAAAGGCTTCCTAAATCAACATGACCTAAACAGACATAATTACAGGATGCACACTGGTGAGAAACCATTTGTTTGTGAGACCTGTGGTAAAGGCTTCCTATATCGATGTGACCTAAACAGACATAACATGATCCACTCTGGTGAGAAACCATTTGCTTGTGAGACCTGTGGTAAAGCCTTTTCCAAGCAAGGAAAACTAAAAAGCCATAAATGGGTGCATACTGGTAAGAAACTGTTTGTTTGTGAGACCTGTGGTGAAGCCTTTTCTAAGCAAGGAACACTAAAAAGACATAACAGGAGGGTGCATACTGGAGAGAAACCATTTGTTTGTGAGACCTGTGGTAAAGGCTTCTTACAAAGATGTGACCTAAACAGACATAACATGATCCACCCTGGCATGTCTGGTGAGAAACCATTTGTTTGTGAGACCTGTGGTAAAGGCTTCCTATATCGAGGTGACCTAAACAGACATAACATGATCCACTCTGGTGAGAGACAATTTGTTTGTGAGACCTGTGGTAAGCCCTTTTCCAAGCAAAGACAACTAAAAAGCCATAACAGGGTGCATACTGGAGATATATCATTTGTTTGTGAGACATGTGGTAAAGGATTCTTACATCAATGTGACCTAAACAGACATAACAGGATACACACTGGTGAGAAATCATTTGTTTGTGGGACCTGTGGTAAAGCTTTTTCTGAGCAAGGAAAACTAGAAAGCCATTACAGGGTGCATACTGGAGAGAAACCATTTGTTTGTGAGACCTGTGGTAAAGGCTTCCTAAATCGATATGTCCTAAACAGACATAACAGGATGCACACTGGTGAGAAACCATTTGTTTGTGAGACCTGTGGTAAAGCCTTTTCTGAGCAAGGAAAACTAAACAGTCACGACAGGGTGCATACTGGCGAGAAACCATTTGTTTGTGAGACCTGTGGTAAAGCCTTTTCCAGGTCAACAACACTAAACAGCCATAACAAGTTGCATACTGGAGAGAAACCATTTGTTTGTGAGACATGTGGTAAAGGCTTCTTACATCAGTATGACCTAAACAGACATAACAGGATACACTCTGGCGAGAAACCATTTGTTTGTGAGACCTGTGGTAAAGCCTTTCCTGATAGAGGAAACCTAAACAGACATGACAGGGTCCACAGAGGGGAGAAACTCTTTGGTTGTGAAACTTGTGGTAAAGCCTTTTCTCTGCAAAGTACTCTATACACACACAAACTGATGCACACTGGTAAGAAACCAGTTGTCCGTAAGACCTTTAGTAAAGCTTTTCTTGCAAAAGGTAATCTAGAAAAACATAGGAGGGTCCATGCTGGTGAGAAACATTTTGGTTTTGAGACCTGTAATCAACATCAAATTCCAAACAGACATAAAAAGATGCGATCTGGAGAGACCAGTGATGAAGCTTTTTATAGTCGGCATAATTTACACACACATGACAAGTTGTATACAGGAGACAAACCTTCTGTTTCTGAGACCTGTGATGAAACCGTTTCAAAGCAAGGAAAAGTAAGCAGACATAACAGGACGCATACTGGAGAGAAACCATTTGTTTGTGGAGCCTGTGGTAAAGCCTTTTCTACTCAAGGTAATCTACGTGTACATGAGAGGGGTCATCCTCAAGAGAAACCAATTGTTTGCGAGACCTGCGGTCAAGGCTTCCGATGCCTGAGTGACCTAAACATACATGACAGGGTCCACACTGGTGAGAAGCCATTTGTTTGTGAAAACTGTGGTAAAGCCTTTTTACAGCAAGATACTCTAAACAGACACAGAATGATGCACACTGGCAAGAAACCATTTGTTTGTGACACCTGTGGTAGACTTTTTGTCAACAAAATTAATCTAAAGAAACATAGAAGATCGATCCATGCTGGTGAGAAACACTTTGGTTGTGAGACCTTTGATCAGTATCTTCTTCCAAACAGATATAAAAGGATGCACTCAAGAAAGAAACCATCGGTTTGTGAGAAGTTTCGTAGAACCTTTTCCAAGCAAGGAAAACGTAACACACATAACAGGGTGCATACTATGGAGAAACCATTCATTTGTGAGATCTGTGGTAAAGGCTTCCCATGCCAGAGTGTCCTGAACGGACATGAAAGAGCGCATACTGGTGAGAAGCCATTTGTTTGTGAAACCAGTGGTAAAGCTTTTTCTGCCAAAGGAAAGCTTAACAGACATGACAGTGCCCGCACTGGTGATAAACCATTTGTTTGTGAGACCTGTGATCGATCTTTTTCTTGTAGTTATCGTGCCATTGAGCACCAGAGGGTCCACACTGGTGAGAAACCATTTGTTTGTGAAATCTGTGGTAAAGCCTTTTCTCAGCGAGGTAGTCTAAACAGACATGAGAGGGCACACACTAAGGAGGAACTAGTTGCTGGTGAGACCAGTGGTAAAGCATGTAGTAGTCAAGGTATTCTAAACACGCCTGATAGGGCACATACTGAAGAGAAACCGTTTGTTTGTGAGACCTGTGGTAAAGGCTTCCTTCAAAAGAGTCACCTAAACAGACATAACAGGATTCACACTGGAGAGAAGCCATTTGTTTGTGGGACCTGTGGTAAAGCCTTTTCTCGGAGAGGTAGTCTAAACAGACATGAGAGGATACACACTAATGAGGAACTAGTTGCTTGTGAGACCAGTGGTAAAGCATGTAGTAATCAAGGTATTCTAAACACGCCTGATAGGGAACATACTGAAGAAAAACCATTTGTTTGTGAGATGTGTGGTGAAGGCTTCTTACAACTAAATGAGCTAATTAGACACGACAGGGTACACTTTAGCAGGAAGCCATTTGTTTGTGGGACCTGTGGTAAAGCCTTTTCTCAGCGAGGTAGTCTAAACAGACATGAGAGGGCACACACTAAGGAGGAACAAGTTGCTGGTGAGACCAGTGGAAAAGCATGTAGTAATCAAGGTATTCTAAACACGCCTGATAGGGCACATACTGAAGAGAAACCGTTTGTTTGTGAGACCTGTGGTAAAGGCTTCCTTCAACAGAGTCACCTAAACAGACATAACAGAATGCACACTGGAGAGAAGCCATTTGTTTGTGGGACCTGTGGTAAAGCCTTTTCTCAGAGAGGTAGTCTAAACAGACATGAGAGGGCTCACACTAAGGAGGAACTAGTTGCTTGTGAGACCAGTGGTAAAGCATGTAGTAATCAAGGTATTCTAAACACGCCTGATAGGGCACATACTGAAGAAAAACCATTTGTTTGTGAGATGTGTGGTGAAGCCTTCTCACAACTAAATGAGCTAATTAGACATGACAGGGTACACTTTAGCGGGAAACCATTTGTTTGTGAGACCTGTGGTAAAGGCTTCCCTCATCAGAGTGCCCTAAACAGACATAACAGGATGCACACTGGAGAGAAGCCATTTGTTTGTGGGACCTGTGGTAAAGCCTTTTCTACTGTGGGTAATCTATACGTACATGAGAGAACACATACTGGTGAGAAACCATTTGTTTGCGAGACCTGTGGTGAAGCCTTTTGCACTAAAAGAAAGCTTAACAGACATGAGAGAAGGCATACTGGAGCGAAACAATTTGTTTGTGAAACCTGTGGTCAATCTTTTTTCGAAAGTCATCATGTCATTGAGCACCAGAGGGTCCACACTGGTGAAAAACCATTTGTTTGTGAAAACTGTGGTAAAGCCTTTTCTCAGCGAGGTACTCTGTACAAACATGAAAAGACACACACTAAGGAGGAACTAGTTGTTTGTGAGACCAGTGGTAAAGCATGTAGTACTCAAGGTATTCTACACACGCCTGATATGGCACATACTAAAGAGAAACCATTTGTTTGTGAGACCTGTGGTAAAGGCTTCCCTCATCAAAGTGCCCTAAACAGACATACATGTAAAATGGTGCACATTGGAGGGAAGCCATTTGTTTGTGGGACCTGTGGTAAAGCCTTATCTATTCTAGGCAATCTACTTGTAGATGGGAGGTGTCTTGCTGGAGGTAGACCATTTGCTTGTGAGACCTGTAGTAAACGCTTCTCGCATCAAAATGTTCCAAACAAACATGACGCGGTCCACACTGTTGAAGCACCATTTGTTTGTGAAACCTGTGGTAAAGGCTACTCTCAGCGAGGTTCTCTAAACAGACACAAAGTGGCGCACACTGGCAAGAAACGATTTGTTTGTGAAACCTGTGGTAAAGATTTTCTTGAAAAAAGTAATCTTAAACAACATAGAAGGATACATGCTGTTAAGAAACACTGGCTCTGATGAGACCTATAGGTGGTCAGCATCGAAATTGAAACAGACAGGAAAAGATGGGCACCTTTTCTAGTTTACATCGTCTATGTGCACATAGAGGGTGCATACTGGAGAGATTTGTTTGTGACAGCTGTGGTAAAGCATATTCTGAGCGAGAAAGACTAAACAGACATGATGTGCAGTTGTTAGAAACCATTCGTTTTTGTTTGGTAAAGCTTTTCATGAGAAAGGCATTCTGCAGAAACAGAAGGGTCATTGCTGTGGAAAAAAACCCTTAGTTGAGACACTGGTGGTAAAACCTTTCCTTAGGCAAGTAGTTTAAGTTACTGGACATGAAAAGACGCGCTTAGGACAAACCATTTGCTTATGAGACCTTTGGTAATGCTTTGATTGTCAAAGTAAGCAACTCCGATATGAGAGTCTGAAGGAGTCTGGACAGATGAGAGAAAAAAAATTGCCGGTGTAACCATTGGTAAAGATTTTCCTTGTCCAGGTGTAAATCTACATGTAGTCATGTACCTGCACATTACAGCGTGCATACAATTGTGGGATCTGTGGTGAAACCTTTGCTCAGCTTGGAAGTCTATTAAAAGCAGACACAAACTAAAGGCACACTGATTACAGAAACCATTTGCTTTTGGTAAATCTTTTCTTGATTAAAATAATCTAAAAAAAAAAACAGTGGAGGGTCATTGCTGGCAAGTTATCTGTGCTGGCAAAAAAAAATATCTTAAAGGCCAAAAAAAAAAGTCTCCGGTTTCTGGTATGCGCGCGCGTCGCCGTAGCCATGCGCGTCGGCAAAATGAAAAAGTTTTTTTTTCAATGAAAGATGATGTCTCAAAACCGCCAAACTCACTGGTTTGACTGGAATTCTGCTGCTGCGCAATTTCAACGTGTTTTTAGATGGGGTTATGATCGAGAATAAGCTTTATGTGGCCTCTCTGGACTCCCATATATTTGCACTAAGTTTAGTCGGGCACCATTTGCAGTCATCAGCCGACATTTGAAGCAAATTTGAAGCAAAAAAGTCGGGTAAAAAAAAAAAAAAGCCGCGTCGCCGCAACACTTTTTGGACAAGCTCCATACCAGAAACTGGAGAATTTTTTTTTTTGGCCTCAGAGGCATGTGGCAAATTCTGTGGCAATTTTGGGATTGTTTAAATGCATGTCTGATTGTGTGTACAATAACATACAGTGTTGTATTCGAGTCCATCGCAAGTCCTTTCACAAGTATCTGAATGACAATGACAAAAGAATGGTTTTGAAACAGTTCTTTTGAATAGCTATGCATTGAGACTGAAAGACTTGTGATCTTGTCATGCTTGTGGACTAGCTTGGACTCAGATACAACACTGACATGTACATTATACTGCTTGTACTTGGTAATTGGGTCATTCTATAAATTTGGGGTCCAAAGTGTGACATTTTTCCCGTCCCTGTTACCTAAGTACTTTGTAAATTTACCATTCAAGCATCATTAAGAATGACATCAAATGATTGTTTATTTGTTGGGTAGGTAGTTTGCTATTCACAATCACTCTTGGAGGATGACTTCATTAAGGAGTGCATCAGAATTATACAATCATAGATGTCAGAGTAACAGGGACGGGAAAAAAGTGGACCCCAAATTCATAGAATGACCCAATTGTGATGTAATGGGCCGTCATGAACATGCTTGCCTTGCAGAGAATGCAAACTCTGGTATTGTTATTATTGGATAAAATCACGAGCCTACTCCATATACTGAAGAAGTATCACAAGGAGGTTGCAGAATAATCCAAGAAGTTTTGAAAAGTAATTAGTCCTGTCAATAATTAACTGAATACTGAATACATTTGTGCTTTGTATAGACTGCTGCTTACATGTTCTTATCTTTATGCTGATCGTTGCTAGGAGAATTTTGTCCAACAAAATGTACATGTGTGTATAAGGCCAAAAAAAAAAGTCTCCGGTTTCTGGTATGCGCGCGTCGCCGTAGCCATGCGCGTCAGCAAAATGAAAAAGTTTTTTTTTCAATGAAAGATGATGTCTCAAAACCGCCAAACTCACTGGTTTGACTGGAATCCTGCTGCTGCACAATTTTAACGTGTTTTTAGATGGGTTATGATCGAGAATAAGCTTTATGTGGCCTCTCTGGTCTCCCATAATATTTGCACTAAGTTTAGTCGGGCACCATTTGCAGTCATCAGCCGACATTTGAAGCAAAAAAAAAAACAGGTAAAAAAAAAAAAAAAAACCCGCATCGCCGCACCACTTTTTGGGCAAGCTCCATACCAGAAACCGGAGACTTTTTTTTGGGGGGGGGGGAGGCCTAAATATGGGTGTTTTTCCCCCCAACAAATGAGTTCTGTCAATAAGTATTCATTTATTTCAGCCTCTATGAATTAATCCTTAAGATGTGTTCAATAAAGTTTGATGTATTCGGTTGTCAAAATATAATGAATTTTGTCGCTTCAACTGTGTCAAAATTAAGATTGGAAACATCTACAATTATAAATTTAGGCATGCAACTGGGAAGTCACACAAAAAAAGGAAATTGAAATCTTTCCAAGACTTTGTAGTGTTTTTCTATTTTCAATGGCACACATTGGAAGGGAAAAAAGAGGAAATCAGCTGATCCGAGGAAAAGTTGCATGCCTGTAAATTATATTTAAAAGGGGCAAATGAATGTAATTTTGCCATGAGTACTTTAACTAAAGAGGGTGCCCTTTTACCTTACAACCACGTCCCATGGGCGGGACCACTGATCTCTATATAAAGACTGGATAGCTAATAATGAGCCGCACAATGAATGAATTTGACGCCATATTGGTGAGACCGGCTGGTGATCTACAAAGGACAAGTTGCCGTCTTTATAGACAGCATGATTTCTTTTGTAACGTCAAGGTTCACTTGACTTATATTTTTACCACCCCCACTGACCAAGGTTTACTACAATTTTTCTAACGTCGTGGTTACTTTTTAAAATGCCGCAAATCACTTATTCGACGTTTTTGAAATAATAATCACTACGGACATGTGTCCCTTTTAGAACATCATAATATGTGTACATGACCAAAACGCACGTAAGCTGTTGATACAACGCGCGTGTATTTACGCGTAGAACATTCGTATTATACGCGGCCATCTTCGTGAGACCGGGGGCGAATTGGTCAATATGCAAAGTCTACTGTGTGAATGTTGTATGGATATCCGCTATCCAGTCTTTATATAGAGATCAGTGGGCGGGACACATACATTTCACTGGTTGACGCTCACTGATCCTTGTGTGTGACGCACGAACACCAGGGGATTTAATAGACTGGTCGCGGTCCCACTTCGATTCATACTAATACTGAGGCGGGAATCAGTCAAGATAGGAGGGATTCATGCTGAATATTTAACACTAGGTGGAACTTAATGTTTTGACAAACAAAAGTGACAGAATATAAACAAAATAGTTTGGACATAGAAATTCATTACAAATACACTGTCATTACAATAATAGACTGGATGAAATAAAGAAAGGGAAATTGCTATCGGAATCCAGTCACGTTTCAATGTAGTAGAATTCGTGAAAGAAGGCAAAACAATGATTAAAGGAAAGGTGATTCCACAGCAGAGGATTTCAAATCCTCATGAGGTTTTATTATCAGTAAGTACATAATAATAATAATAATAATAAAACAGCATTTATATAGCGCAATATGAATCAAAGATTCCTCAAAGCGCTTAACAATAGAACAAGAAACAGTAAAATTAAAATAATCCCAATTTCAAAACCTAACTTAATTACAAACTTTGGCTGGACCAGCTGCTGTCTGAATGATTAATCGTTAAAACCTGTAAAAAAAACTGTGAACTGTTAAATACCGCAGTACCGCACATGGATAAAATACCATTAAAAATACTGTAAAAACTTCATTTGTATATTAACCCCAACTCCCTAGCGCCTGTTACTTGGAACTGGACCAAGTCCATCAAAATCCATCAATCACTGTGCGTCCAACACAAAACTGTACATGACATAATGGAATCCAGCACTGACGCACTGGTTGACATTCATGGACTTGCTACACATGGCTTTTATCACAATAGCAGTACAGGAAGCTAGGCAAAATCAATCGGATACCCCTAGCACTGCTTCAGGCCATTAGGCCCAAGTCCATCATACTCCATCAATATTTAGTCACGCCAGGCCTTCTGGACCAACTCCATCAAAATCCACCAAAAATGGGGATGGATTTTGATGGAGTTGGGGTGGTTAGGGTTAAAAACCCCAATCACTGTTATTCCTAGTAAATGCATGGACAAAAAACAAATGTATGTAACACTTCAAATGAAAACTAAAACATGAATAAAATGCAGACTTGTGTTCAATTACAGTTAAAAAGATGAGTCTTAAGTAATTTCTTAAAATCATCTACCGACTTGGCACATCTAATAGACAATGGAAGCTCATTCCAAAGTTTGGGAGAAGCTGCAGAGAATGCTCTATCACCATGATGTTGATGTTGTGGCCAGCTTCAGAAGATGTTTGCTACTTGATCTAAGTGAGTGGATGGGCCTGTGATCTGTCAATAATTCAAACTTTTTTTTAAAGATTTTAAATGGGGGTTCAAAATCTAAATGATTTGCCACCCCATGAAACCTTGTCGCCCCCCAGTCGCCCCCCCCCCCCCCCCACTGAGATTTTGAGTTTCTAAAAAAATTACCATTGATCTACACGACGCCCCCCATGAAATGTTCCAGGCCCCCCCCCCCCTGAAAAATTCCTGGCTACGCCACTGCTTCCGGACTGCTTCAGGATGTCACTGCCTCTGCCTCAGCCTATTGACAGTCATAGCCGGATAATTTTGCAGGATTCAGGCAGTGGTAACCCCTCCATGGACCATATTCAAGAAAAAAATAGAGGAATTTGCAGGATTAAGGCTATGCTATTTTTCATGAGGCCAATTGGAGGATGGATTTTGCAGGATTGAGGCTACATCCTAGCAAAAAGGCCTACATGTAGGGAGTTAGGGTTAAACTGGTAAATCTCCTTTCCCCGAATTAAATGTTATCATTAAATCACTATACGTTATTGATTGATTGTTTCATTTTTATTTAGTCAACATTACTTTTAATTTTATATCTCAACAGGACATCCAGAAACGTCACACAAGCTACGTGCACCTATATCGCAGGCTTGCTTGGAACATGAAAGCACGTATGTGCTCTCGTGCACTACATCAACAATACTTCTAGATAGACATGGGCGTCGCGAGGGTCCCCCCCCCCCCCCTGGAAAAGCCAACCAAAAAAAAAAAAAGGATGAAAAAAAAAGAGAAAAAATGAAAAGAAAAAAGAGGCGCGAAGTCATAGTGGTGTAAATTTAATGAGTGGGGGGGGGGGGGGGGCAAAATTTCTCTGCCCCCGTCTAAAACTGAGAAATCGAGAATTTGTTCAGAAATACAAGAATTTTTGGGGAAAATATGTTTTCCCCCCTCTAGAAAAAAATCCTGGCGACGCCCATGCTTCCAGAGAACTTGATTTGTCAACAACTCAAACCCAAAAGTGGCATCTGCCATCAAAGCTAGTAAGCATTTTATATGGTAAAGGAGTACAGATTGCGACGTTCGTTCCACACAAAAAATCTGTCTTGTTGGAACTCCTCAATTAACTGATTTCAGTACACTGCTTGACAGAGTATCACAATCAACTGTTCCTTTGCATTAAAGGGAATATACATCATTTGCTTTTGCTGTAATTTTCAGAAATGGATGGAATTGGGGGGTTGGAAATATATAGCAAATATAGTTACACTGACTTTTTTGAGGTTTTGGATTCGAAAATGCTATAAAAACCAAGAAAAACAATCATTTTCCTGTAGTCTGGTTCCCTGACTCCATTTAAGAAGAAACAGAGCAGTTTACATACATTGGGGAATTGTAAGGTCAGGGAACCAGTCTAGCTGGCTTGTACCCGTTCATAGGTGTGTAATCGATTGCAAACAAGTGCGATGGTCAACTGGGGCCAGTATTTGAAAAAAAAAGCCAGTTTTTTCCAACGCTGGTCGGCCGATCAGCGTTGGAAATTGATACAAAAATACCACTTTTCTTGAAAATGACAGTATACCAGGTGCCATGATTTTACAGGATGCTTTACACTGTCATTCACTAACAGTCCAGCAAGGTATTTCAAAATGATTTGGCAGTTTTATTTTTTGATGTTTGCAAATGTTGTATTTTCCCTTTAACTTTACAGGAGGAATTCAGCAATCAGAGTATCATTTCTAACCAAGTTTGTAGGTACATGTATGTATACTTTATTGATGAAATTGTTAATAATGCAATAATCTCTTCAGAAAGGCAACAGTTCAACTTCATGCAGTGAACCTAATTGTCAGCCTCCCTAAAACACTGCTTTGGCAAGAGAGAACTTGACACTCATCATGATGTGCTCACAAATAAAGACAAAAGTGTACTACGACAAGCACATTGATCAGCCCCACTACAAGTGCAGCAAAGGAGTGCCTCTGAGAACAGTCAGACAAAGCGGCTGTCAACTATGGCATCAAGTGCGGAAAATAAGGATCTCCAGCACAAAATATCATGACATCAAGGTACGCCGGAAAAACAAAGACACTCTCGTGGAGCGTCAAATAAAGTCAGAGACATTGAACATAGCATCCGTAAAGTATGGCATCCAAATGGAAAGCAGAGCCATGGTGGAGTACGAACAAATTTCAAGGCAGCGAGTGTCTCGTGTTGGTGTGTTTCTTCACCCATCTCAACCATGGCTGTGTGCCTCGCCAGATGGTGTCATCCAAAACAGCGGGGATGTGAAACTCATTGCGATAAAATGCCCATATTCCTGTAGAGATGCACAAGTTGTAGAGCAGCCAGCCAAACAGTGCAGCGTCCCATATCTCAAATTTGATGAGAATGGACAACGGTCTAACAATCGGTCTCATGCATATTATACAAAGGCTGCAGTGTATGTTACAGGCCTCAAGTCATGTATTCTCTGGGTATGGTCTCCAAAACAATCCTTCACTGTAAATGTACAATACAACCCTATGTTTGTCCAGGCATCAATCCTCAAGGTACAAAGTTTTTATTTTGTACACTTTCTCCCAAAATGTCCAGCACAAATGTACATGTAATGTTCATGTACCGGTATCTGTGACATGTTATGCAAAATAATGAGTGTTTAGGCTAAAAAATGCTTCCAGTATCCCTACCTACCCTATTCTGAAAGCCCCTACCCTGATGTTTTTAATGGGGAAAATGAGGGGAAAAAACACCCAAACCATCAATTTCTACCTTTTACCCTTGACTACACGCAGACGCCTCCATATGATCATGCACAAAAACAATTGGCGAAAAAAGAAAAAAAAAAACCTACCTACCCAATTTTTAAATGCATGATGTAATCGAAGGCATCCCTATATTAATTATTTTGCCATACACTAATATGGGTTCAATGGTTATGAGTATAGTGCCTGAAAATAAATGTGTTATTACAAATTCAGAGATTCATTTTATAGTTATCCCACGAATGCGAATGGAACACGGAATATGTAGTGCATCGATGTACCACATTCATGTTCCACGAGGCCGAAGGCTGAGTGGTATGTGGGACACAGAGGCACTACATTTTCTGTGTTCCACAAACGTGAGCGTGATAACTAGCTTATCTTCAAGCAAACTTGATGCACATTTCAGTTGGAACCACATGTAGCTCGCTTTACATTAAACTTTTAACGCATGTAGCTTGAATGTTGCTTGTACATGTATCTCGGAATAGTGCAATACGCGAAGTGCGATATGGACCGTGCGATATGGTAATAAAATCACACAGCTGTTGCCATGGATCGACCAATCAGAATCAAAGATTAAAGTTTGCTTGAAGATAAAATAACAAGAATAGAAACTAGTTTACTTCCAGCAATAAGTAGGGCTGTGCTGAATATACAGTTGAGTCTTGTTGTAACAAACTCGTTCAGACCTAACCAAATTGTTTGTTATATCAGAATTTTGTATTATAAGAGGAACATCAGTCCCATTCATTGTGCACATAAATGCACAGGTGGGCCCAAGGCCTAATGTTGGTTATAACCAGAATTTTATATTATTAAACAGAGTTTGTACTAACGAGAGTCGACTGTATATGTACATGTATACAGAATACTGTATAATACTGAAATCATTATCCTGCATAGCATTTTCTAGTTAAAATATTTGACAAATGTGAATGGTCTAAATAAATTGTCATCCATGTTGTTGTTTTAATCCTACATGTTGTATGTTTTTGTGTGCGTTTTTTTTTTGTTTTTTTGGACAAGTTAATCGTTTAAGGCTTAAAACATACTTGATTTTTGCAACCAAATGTAGCTTTCCAGAGTACAATAAACTGTATGCATTGACTTAATTCAACAAAGCAATGTCTCAATCTTTCGTCACAGGACTTTGCAGGTTTGCTAACACAGCACACATGTGAACAATATTATTTACGTGTGGCAGTAGCTCATTGGGAAAGGTACCATTGAGAATGCTATAACTTCTAAGTCTTTGAATGACTCGCTCTACATGGACTCTTACTGAAGAAATGCTATAAGCAGACTTTAAGTCTTTGTGAGGAACAGCAAATGGTGGCATGACAACAATTGCCTGTTTTCCAGCAATTTCTGTCTGGATTTCTGGAAAACCTTCGTCTGCGACGATAACATCACCTGGCTCAAGTACATCTAAAAATCCGGATTGTATTATGACTTGACTGTCCGTTGTTCGACCAGAATATGTTTGGGACAAGAAAGAAATCAAACCATGTGGAGATATACCGACCAAAACTTTGCAGGTGTATGTCCCTTTGTCACTGGAATACATTAAAAACTGACTTTTCACGGTTGGCGGTCTCTCTGTTTTAAATTCAAAACAGTCAATTATGCACCGGGCATTGGGATACGCAGAAAAACACGAGGGTAGCATAGATCTGATTGTTGCTGACGACGGCCAAAGAATCCAGTCGTGTGTGGCTTTGGACAGGCTCTCAAGCACAACCTGGAAGGTTCTTGAAGCTGTTGTTCTAGACACGGAGAACATCACTGCCAATAATGAAAACGGCAAGCCAAATCGCAATTTCATAAGAAACAAAATTAAACAATTCTCCAAGCACATCCCTTTTGACCTTGGCGGCAGCAGGGAGAGCAGGAGGTCAAACACACTTGGCGGCACGCCCGTCATGTCTTGGAGACTGTCCTTGGCTCCTTCCGTCCCGTCCCATCCACGAAACCCTGTACACTCTGGTTTCCCTGGTCTGGCGTCGGGTCCAACACATTGGTCTCTTGTCTCCGTGTGGTCACTGCAAGGATCTCTGTGGAATGATGTCTGTATGCCCACATCTACTCCATCCCTGCAACAGAACATCGTGTGGACGTACACTTGAGCATGCGCTCCAACACACGTACAGGAATCCTCCTCAGGAAAAGTGACCTGAGTTCCTAAGTGTACGTGCGTTTTGGCAGCCGCCTTCTTTATTTGCTGACAGCTCCTGGAGTAATTGTGATCTGCCGATGCCAACGGACATGGTGCACTGGCGTCCCTCTTGTGTTCAGCTATCAGCTCAGAATAGTCGGCCGCAGTCTTCAGTGTTGGCTCGTTATGCTTCTTCCCATCTTCGAAGTGGCAGGCACAGAGTCTGGAGTATCTGTTTGGTTTCCACAGCGAACCATCATTCCTGTATTATTATAAGGAAAATAATTGACATAAACATGTTAACATTTTAGTTAATGAGACATATAATGACTTTATCTCTTAAAAGTACGCTACAATGTAGTTTAAAAAAAAACAGGGACAATTAATAGTTCCTGTTTTTAGATGGACGTAAATAACACTGCACTATGAATGCACGATAACCGGCCTACTTCGGTTGCCGTTCCAGCGCTGCAGCTGTGATGCGAGTGGTAAATCTCACCATATTGCATGAAACAGTCGTCGGGTTTAATACGCTTCCGCGTGACGTCATGCGCCAGCGCAGCCCGCGCAGCCGGCAAGAACGACTGGTAAGCGCGCTGCAGTGCATGGTAATCAACCGCCATTCATTGTACACGAAGTTTGTTTGTGCACAAATCTAATTGCGGTCCTCACCGTGACCGCACGGTTGTCGCAATGTCGGTTCTGCCTCCTTTTTTCACTGCAATTGAAGGCTGAATCTTCATCGTGGATTGTTTTTTTACTTCAAAGTTCAAGGACCTGTGTAATGGTTATTCCAGGCAAGGTTTGGGTGAGTTCCGGTTGAAATTAGTTTGGTAACAGGGACAAAATTGCACATTTTCGAATTTTTTGGGGGGACCTGCCAACGCTGCTGGTTCAAGTGAAAAACTTCCTCCAGCCCTAGTCCAAGTAACTTCGACCCAACTTATCGCCTTTTTTAACATTTGGACATGGTCTGGCGATAGTAAGGTCCAAGCTAATACCGAGACCTAGACAACACAGTCCCAAAAACCAACATTTTCCAACAAAAAACATCAGATTTCACCTTCAAAACGGCCTCCAAATTACTAGATATGTCACCTGAGGTACAAGTAGACATAGATGATTAAGATGGTTGTACTTAAGTTTACTTACGATCCGGAAAAAAAGTGAAATTTTCCGTTCAATTAATTAATTCCGAAGACCCCCTCTGCCTAGGTTGTCGTTGTTGTGCTCACGTTCAAAACTGCATGATAATGGCGTCTGACCTCGACCTCATGCAAATGTCTGGACGGCACACTTGCGCATAATGCACTGCATGCACGGCAGATTCCCCTGCGCCACGCCAACGACTGTTTCCTGATGTAGAGCGCCAGCCATGCGCCTGGCTAGCCAGCGCGACTCCTAGGCATACCGCGAACTTACACAGCACTCTACATCAGGAAACAGTCGTCGGCGCGGCGCAGGGGAATCTGCCGTGCAAGCAGTGCATTATGCGCAAGCGCGCCGTCACGACATTTGCATGAGGTCAAGGTCAGACGCCATTATCATGCAGTTTTGAACGTGAGCACAACGACAACCTAGGCAGAGGGGGTCTTCAGAATTAAACGGAAAATTTCACTTTTTTCCGGATCGTAAGTAAACTTCAGTACAACCATCTTAATTATCGATGTCTACTTGTACCTCAGGTGGCATATCTAGTAATTTGGAGGCCGTTTTGAAGGTGAAATCTGATGTTTTTTGTTGGAAAATGTTGGTTTTTGGGACTGTGTTGTCTAGGTCTCGGTATTAGCTTGGACCTTACTATCGCCAGACCATGTCCAAATGTTAAAAAAGGCGATAAGTTGGGTCCAAGTTACTCGGACTACTCCAGCCCTAAATGACAACCCAAGGGCTGGGTAACTCCAGCTAACATTTGGGTAGACCCGTGAACGTGGCTTGTTGTAAACTACGCCACGTTCTTATGTCATTTCGAACCTGGCGAACGTGTCCCTCTGACTCCCTCCGTTACACACACTGGACGTTATTTTGCCCATGTAATAAGTACTCACATATGAAGCTATCTTAAATTCTATTTGTACGTCAAAACTTGCATTTGACGAAAATTGAGGAAAATTCTGCCCCGGTTCATGAAGTCCGTCCGCTACTGCTAGCTGCCATTTTCTCCCAACTGACGCATGCGCATTGCGTTTTATTTTCGTATGATTCGACGGCTGTTTACTGTCGCAGCTAAAACAGACATCGTTTTAGACAGGTTTCAAGTCCTTTCCTCTCTCACCGTACTGCACGCGGTCGCACGTGCCCCCGTGTACGTGTGTGCACACACGCACTGCTGTACACGAGATGAGCCGAGCAGCCAATCGTCTGCGGGTTTTTTTTTTTCGGGGTTGCGACATGAAACAGCCGTCAATCTGTCCAAGCGACTCAGACGCGTCCGGGGTTATTTGTCAGGGTCAGGTTAAAATCTAATTTCTACACGTTCGTATGGGTCTTTACTGATGGGCAAATTTCGTCGAAATTACACAGCCGAAACAATCGGACGGGCAAATTTAGATTTCTAGGTGAGTACTCAACACCCATACGGAATTATGTATGTCGGATCGATTTCGCCAGGTTCGAAATGAAACAAGAACGTGGCGTTGTATACAACGCCACGTTCACGGGTCTAACATTTGGGATGTTACTGTCGAGTGTCGTACCACTTCTCCTTTTTTGACATTTGGGATGCAGTTACTGTCATGACTGTCGTCTAGACCAAACCATACCTGCGCTTATCAGACCGTCCCGACAAAGTTATCCACAACTGGAGTCGCTTCTCCGACTTCTTCGGGAAACAGAAGAACCCATCGCTTGGACAATTCTCTCGATTATGGGAACACCCAACCATTGAACAATGTTTTCTAGCTCGTGCTGACCGCTGCGTTGTCTTCTTTTCGCGGTAGGCCATATTGTTTACTTTACCGGCCGGTGAGGGGGTACTTGTGAACGGAGCGCGGGATATCGATAGTTTCAAGCGTTTACTTGATAGCGTTTAGGCAAAATAAAAAAAAAAACATGTTTAGCGTCCTGCCTCTTTGACAAAAAGGAAGGAGGAGGCCCTTTTTTCTTTTTTTTTTTCTTTTCAAAATGGCCGCCCGACACATTTTTCAAGACAACGCGGCCGGGCTATTTTTCAAGATGGTTACCAGCTTTTTTCAAAATGGCCGCCACTGGGACTCATTGACTATTTCCACAGCTTTATACACGGTATAAAAGTCTAAAAATATGATTTTTGTCGTCAGAGATAGTTAAAATTTATCAATTTTTGTCTTAAAAAAAAAAAAAAAAAAAAAAAAAGGAGGCGGCCTCTAAAAAGGAAGCGGGCGGGGACGCTAAACATGTTTTTTTTTTTTACTTCGCCTTACTTCTTGGCCATGAACCGTGTACCAGGTTTACACTATAATGAAACTTTCAAATTAGGTTTTGCCCTACGTATTGAACACTGTATACTCAAGTGTGGTATCTCCTGAGTGAAAGTTGGGTAGCATGAAAACCGAAAAGGCGCCAAAATGCCCTTAAAAATTGCAAATTGAACACTGTGCTGCGGTGTAGCCTTGACCAAGGCGTTGGGCTTATCGATTCGCCGATAAAAAAAATCGCCGATAAGAAAATCCCTAATCAACTTGGCAAGGCATAATTGCGTGCACATGTACATATCGATGCCCGTACGCGCGCTGCTAGTGAGAAAGTACCTTGTACCATATATACAGCAAGGCTATGCTTGTACATGTACGTACGCACGTACATGTACATCACACACGTACTCGTCCATGCACACACAGTACTGTACATGTACATGTACATGTACATGCATGAGCTAGTCCGCGGCGCGTATATCCCCCACACGTACGTACGTACACCACTGATCTCTATATAAAGACTGGATAGCTAATAAAGAGCCGCACAATGTACGAATTTGACGCCATATTGGTGAGACCGGCTGGTGATCTACAAAGGACAAGTTGCCGTCTTTATAGACAGCTTGATTTCTTTTGTAACGTCGCGGCTCACTTGACTTATATTTTGGCCACCACCACTGACCAACTGACCAAGGTTTACTACAATTTTTCTAACGTAGTGGTTACTTTTATAATGCCGCAAATCACTTTTTCGGCGTTTTTGAAATAACTAGTGCAGTGCCCGTCTAAAATGTGCATGTTCGGGAAGCGCAAATTGCTTTGCCGCTGGTATAGGTTGCATACTTGCAGAGTTTTGGAGAACTGCTCGTGCAAACAACGCACGCGATTCAATGGTGTTGTTTTCACAGGTTGAACGCACACTTAGGTCAAAGTTTGTGCCAAGTTTGAAGTTCGACCACCTACAATGGTCGCTCAGTCGACTGCAAAAATAATGTGCCCGTGTACATACGAAAACATGGTATGCAGTGCTATTCACCCGTACTGGACAATGTGTCGGCCTACACCACTGCACGTGCGCGTGTCCGTGCATTGTTTGTGTCATATTGAGCGCGCGCGCTTTAGCCTATACATGACGTAAACAATTGAAAAGAACGGCAGTGCGTGGTGTTATGTTCTAAGCTGCCACGTTTGCCTCCGAAAATACTGCTTTTTTGCAGCTTTTTCGAGAACCGAGAACCGCTGTTCCAAACAACTTCAAACTTGGCACTGCACATTCTGTGGCCCCGAGAAATACACCCGCCGATTCTCAACTTCATACGGTGCCCGGTTCTGGAGATAATCGGCGGACAGACAGACAGACAGAGATTCCTGGAATTATAGTAAGACTAGTGCAGGGCCAGTCGAAAATGTGCGTGTTCGGAAGGGGCAGTTGAGAACTGCAGCTCGTGTAACAACGCACATTATGCAATGGTGTGAACGCACACTCGCAAGTTAAAACGCACAAAATGTCGTCACCCCCCTGGCACTGATATTTAACCCTACTGGACAATATGGTACCGCCCAACAACTGTAGGGCGTAGTTGTAGGGCGTAGTTGTAGGGCGATACCATATTATATTAGAGTTGCTCAGTCGACCGCCTACATACAGTGCAGTGATGGTTGCTCAGTTGACTACAAAATGCATGTGCCCGTGCATGCCACTCACGTATATGTACATACGGAGACATGGTGTGAACGCACACTCGCAAGTTAAACTCGCAAAATGTCGTCACCCCATGTCTTCGTACGTACATATACGTGAGTGGCATGCACGGCACATGCATTTTGTACTCAACTGAGCAACCATCATTGCACTGTATGTGCCGGGGGGGGGGGCCCTGGCACATACAGTGCAATGATGGTTGCTCAGTTGAGTACAAAATGCATGTGCCGTGCATGCCACTCACGTATATGTACGTACGAAGACATGGTGTGCATGCAGTGCTATCGCCCTACAATGTGCCCGTCATTTTTGCAGGGCCCGTCAAAAAATGCACCTGTTCGTTAGGGGCAATTTCAAAATGCTCATATCATGCAAACAATGCACACGATTCTATTGTATTGTTTTCACAGGTTAAACTCACACTCATAGGTTGAGCGCATTTTGTACATGTCACCAGGCCATCCCCGGCACTGATATTGTTGCTAGCTTTCACAGGTTGAACGCACATTTATAGGTTAAACGCGCACTTTGTACACGTCGCCATCCCCTGGCACTGATATTTACCCATACTGGACTATGGTATCGTCCTACAGTAAAGGTTGCTCAGTCAGTCGCCTACAGTAATTGTTGCTCAGTCGACGACAAAATGCGTATACCCGTGCAGCCTCTCACGCCCTCGTACGGCGTACAACCGTGCTGTATTGTGTCTAAAATGTGCTTGTTTGGGAAGCGCAAATTGCTTAGCCACAGGTATTGGTTGCATGCTTGCAGAGTTTTTGAGAACTGCTCGTGCAAACAACGCACGCGATTCAATGGTGTTGTTTTAACAGATTGAACGCAAACTTACGTCAAAGTTTGTGCCGGGTTTGAAATTGTTTGTGTGAGTGTTTCTCAAAAAGGCTGCAAAAATAGCGCAAATATTACTCTCCCCCACTGGACAGTGGTATCGTCCTGCAGTAAGGTGGCTCAGTCGACTGCAAAAATAATGTGCCCGTGCAGCCACCACGTAGGCGTACAAACGGTACTGGACAATATAGTATCGCCCTACAATGCCCGTGCGCGTGCAATAGAGTTATGGCGCGTGCCCGTGTCTTTTTTGCATTGTTTGCGTCACATTGAGCACGCGCGTTTTAGCTCAAACATGACGTAAACAATTAAAAAGAACGGCAGTGCGCGGAGTTCTAGGCTATATTCTGGCGCGTTTGCCTCAGAAAATACTGGGTTTTTTTGCAGCTTTTTCGAGAACCGCTCGTCCAAACCACTTCAAACTCGACACTGCACATTCTGTTGTCCCGAGCAGTACACCCGCCGATTTTCAACTCCATACGGTGCCCAGTTCTGGAGATAATCGGCGGACAGACAGACAGACAGCCCGACAGACAGACAGACAGACAGAGATTCCTTGAATTGTAGTATAGACTAGTGCAGGGCCAGTCGAAAATATGCGTGTTCGGAAGGGGCAGTTGAGAACTGCAGCTCGTGCAAACAACGCACATTATTCAACGGTGTGAACGCACACTCGCAAGTTAAACTCACAAAATGTCGTCAACCCCCCCCCCCCCCCGGCACATTCTGTGCAGTGATGGTTGCTCAGTTGAGTACAAAATGCATGTGCCCGTGCATGCCACTCACGTATATGTACGTACGAAGACATGGTGTGCAGTGCTATAGCCCTACAATATGCCCGTCATTTTTGCAGGGCCCCGGCACTGATATTCACCAATACGCCCGTGCAGCTACTCACCTACGTGAGTAAGGTTGCTCAATCCACCGCCTACAATAGTGGTTCAATCGACTGCAAAATGCATGTGCCCGTGCAGTCATCACGTACGGAAACATATGGTACGCAGTGCTATTCACCCATACTGGACAATGGTATCGCCCTACAATGCACGTGCGCGTGCCCGTCCTTTTTGCATTGTTTGCGTCATATTGAGCACGCGCGCTCTTGCTTTAACATGACGTAAACAATTGAAAAGAACATCAGTGCGCGGAGTTCTAAGCTACATACTGCCGCGTTTGCCTCAGAAAATGCTGCTTTTTTGCAGCTTTTTCGACAACCGCTGGTCCAAACCACTTCAAACTTGGCACTGCACATTCTGCTATCCGGAGCAATGCACCCGCCGATTTTCAATTCCATACGGTGCCCGGTTCTGGAGATAATCGGCGGACAGACAGACAGACAGACAGACGGACAGACAGACAGAGATTCCTTGAATTGTAGTATAGATAATCACTACGGAAATGTGTTCCTTTTAGAACATCATAATATGTGTACGTGACAAAAATGCGCGTCAACTGTTGATACAACGCGCGCGTATTTACGCGTGGAACGTTCGTATTATACGCGGCCATCTTCGTGAGACCGGGGGCGAATTGGTCAATATGTAAAGTCTACTGTGTGAATGTTGTATGCATATCCGCTATCCAGTCTTTATATAGAGATCAGTGACACCCACACGCAGAACATAGTAGGCCTACATTTACTGCCTTATTACACCATGCGTACAGTCCGTACTCACGTGTTTGTGCTTGCTGGTTGTGTTAGTACCAAACCGTTCGTACGGACAAGGGTCGGTGGTACGGTACACGCACGGACAAGGGTCGGTGGTACACGCACGTAGCCGCGTTGATTGTGGATGCAGGGCCCGATTATCTCCCTTCGACAAAAAGCCGAGAGACCGCATTGAACAAGGCTAAATAATGTAGGACATTCTGTAAAACTTACATGTGTTGTAAATTGACAATTCCAGTCACTTGGTCAGGCTCCGTTTCGAATCACGAACGGTCGGATTGCATTATGCGGCGCTCAAAATGTTGTCATGCGGCCGCAATGAAACAGAAATCACATCCGGTATGGAATGTGCGCATTTTTAAAGGAAGCATTTCGGATAGCATTTGCGCACATTGTCTAACTGCGGTCTTGAACAGCTGCAGCCAGATGCTTTATACATAGGTCATAGGCCATTTCCTTCACAAGATTCTGTGAAGATCATCAGAGTATCCCAGCGTCCTGTTTGCAGGGCAGGGGGTACGAACGAACTATTCACCGTGCAATAGACCTTCCATTGCACTGTGCGCCTGCGCGCCACGCGTTGGTACGAATAATTCAATGGCATGTGATCAACTAGTGACGATCCACCAATCAGATGACGGGGATTTATTCAGGTGTTGTATAAAGCGCTCTTGTAATTTAATAGCTCTACACATTGTATGAGTGCTCGTGGCGGACAGCGCTCAGCGTGCACGTTGTATAGCTCACTTGCCAATGTGTGCCGTGTGTGCAACGCAAAGTCCACTATAAGGCCAACAAAAATAAGTCTCCGGTTTCTGACTTTCTGGTATGCGCGCGCGTCGCCATGCGCGTCGGCAAAATGAAAAAGGGTTTTTTTTCTTCAGAAAAAGATGATTTCTCAAAACCGCCAAACTCACTGGTTTGACTGGAATCCTGCTGCTGCACAATTTTAACGTGTTTTTAGATG